GTGTTAGAAAGGATGTAGGGTTTCGGGCTTTGGGATTTTCAGTGCCTGCTTGCTTTGTGGTTTTGTTTGGATGTCTCTCCACGGCACAGCTGACACGGAGCCAAGCTCAATGAAGAGCACATCACATGAGAGACGCTGTAGGCTTTGGGGCTCTAAGCCCTCCGTTTTTCATCTCGACCCCCATATCCCCTCAAACCCCTCCCACCATCACCTCCAAATAAAGGCCAGTGTGACTACCCTAGACTCCTGAAGCCCTAGCCCGACATCCACGGACCCCTAAACTCGAAACCCCAAAGCCCCTGAGCCCTCACCCCAAAGCGCCCAAAACCCTCTCAACTCTAGATGCTACACCCCCATAACCCCGCACCCTAACTTCCCCTAAACCTTGAGCCTTGCTGAACCCGCCTTAACCCCAAAAGCACTGCACCCTGTTATCCCTGAATCGCATCCCCGGCAAGCGCCTCCGACGCGGCCATGGTCCGAAGATACGAGCGGCTGCGCCACCTCAGCGCCGGCCCGCAGCCTGGAGGGCCGCCGGCCGGGGGGGGGCAAGGGGGGTGGGGAAGGTGTGGGGCGCCGTATTCCCCCCAAAACCAGCAAAAAGGGTGTCAGGCAGGGTTAAATTTCTCTTCGTTGTCGTCGTCGGAGCAGTAGGAGTAGTATGAGTAGTAGGAGTAGTAGGAGTAGTTGGAGGAGGAGTAGTAGTAGTAGTAGTAGTAGTAGTAGTAGTAGTAGTAGTAGTAGTAGTAGTAGTAGTAGTAGTAGTAGGAGTAGTAGGAGTAGTAGGAGTGGCTGGAGTAGCAGGAGCAGCAGGAGCAGCAGGAGTAGCAGGAGCAGTAGCAGTAGCAATAGTAATGGTATTAAAGAAAGTCAGAGCAAGAATCGTAATGATATAGGGGTCGGAATACATAGTTAGAGTATCTCCATGATTTGATTCTGTGCCTCAAGACCCTATTTCAGTTTTGAAGGACGGCTTTGAAAGTTTGGCCCATGGCGGTTAGAGGTTTGAGGGTTTGGAGGTTTGATTGGTCGACCCTCGAGTTGGTGCTCAAGCTTTTCTTCGATGCTTGCAATGTTTCAGCGTTTCGAGTAGGGTACGTTGGTGACAAAATAATGCAGCAGCAGCAGCAGCACCATCACCACAACTGAGTTTGCTAGGCACTGCTGGTTTCGACTTTGCCATTGTTGCAGCCGGACTCCCCGGCTCACTATCTTGGCGTATCGTGAGGATGCTGCGAATCACGGGGCTCTCCGGGGACCCTGTGACGATGGTACCAGTGGAGAAGGTAACGGACGTGAGAAGCTTGAAGCAGCACCTACATCAGCGGCATGGTTGCCCTCCACGATTTAGGCAGAGGCTTTTCCTCCATGGCAAGACATTGGAGGATTCTGTGGAGCTGGAATCCTCGATGGACTTGGATCTGGTTTTGCTAAGCTTCGCGGACGTTTCCCAAGCGCAGGCGGATGACTTAGCCGCCGCTGCTAAGCAGGGCAGGCTAGCGGAGGTGAGATGTGCTTAAACCTTGAATCCCATAAACAAAAAACAACAGGAGCCTCAGCAGTATGTCGGTAAAGCCTACGTGTCCCTTTTGATTGTCTGGAAAGCCCCACTCTTAGCATAAAACCTTTGCGGCGCCAAAAATGCCCACATGACAAGGGGCTAGGCCAAAGTGAGCCTTTAAGTCTTCAGCTTTCAGGCTTTTTTTCGGAGTTAATGGAACATGGAAACATACCGGTATCTTCGAGCCACCTCGACTGAAACCTTGGGCTCTGAGAATCACTGCTTTAGAGCTCGTGCTTTGGGATGAGTAGGACCCCTCCCCTCCAGGTTGAACCCATGCTGCAGCTGCCACAAGACCCAGACTTGCTTGACTCGAAAGGCTGGCGACCTCTGGGGTGGGCAGCGTTTGAAGGTCACGTCGAAACCGCACGCCTGCTGCTGCAGGCCGGCGCGGCGGCTGGCGCGACAGTCAGCGCCGTGGACGGAGGAACCTATTTGATGGTGGCATCTCGCATGGGCCATGTCGAAATCGTCCGCTTGCTTCTGGAGGCCAGCACCGACAAGGACCTGGTAGACATCAACGGCAACACGGCTTTGATGCTGGCGTCTGAATATGGCCATGTCCACGTTGTGCACTTGCTGCTGGAGGCAGGTGTCGACATGAATGTGAAAGACCCCACGGGATGCAGCGGTCACACTGCTTTAATTCTCGCAGCTTTGGAAGCTCGTGTGGAAGTCTTGCGTTCGCTGCTGGAGGCTGGTGCCGATAAGGACTTGGCGGACGACAACGGCTGCACAGCTTTGATGGTGGCATCCTACAAGGGTCATGTCGACGTCGTCCGTCTGCTACTGGACGCTGGCGCCAACAAGGATTTGGCAGACGACAGTGGCCTCACAGCTTTAATGCAAGCCACTTCAAAATGTCATGTGAAAGTCTTGCAGTCACTGCTGGAGGCCGGCGCCGACAAGAACCTGACAGACAGCAGAGGCTTCACAGCTTTGATGATGGCCTTTGTGCTGCGTCATGTCGAAGCATTTCGTTTGCTGCTGGACGCTGGGGCCAACAAGGACTTGGCGGACACGAGTGGCCGCACAGTCTTGCTGCTAGCAGCTTCGCAACGTGAAGTGGCCTTCTTGCGTTTACTGCTGGAGGCTGGTGCCGACAAAAACTTAGCAGACAGCAGCGGCTGCACAGCTTTGATGATGGCGTCTGCGCATCGCCACGTCGAAGTATTGCGTTTGCTGTTGGACGCTGGCGCCAACAAGGATCTGGTAGACAAGAAGGGGGACACAGCTTTGATGGTGGCGTCTTACAAAGGATATGTCGATGTCGTCCGCTTGCTGCTGGAGGCTGGTGCCAACAAGGACGTTGTAAAGGACAATGACAGCACAGCTTTGTCCATGGCAGTTTTGCAGGGTCATCGCGAAGTCGAGTGCTTGCTCCGGGAGGGGGTCGCCGCTAAGTAGGCGGCAAGCAACAGCGGCGAAACAGGTGGCATGCTGGACTTTGGAAATGCCATGTCTGCCCGAGAAGCCTTCGCGTGATAGCATGAGCTACCCTGCCTGCTGCTTTGTACCATCGCGAAAAGATTCTTCCTTCCCACACCACCCCCATGACAAGCAACAAGCACAAAAACAGCAGCATGTACAAGTACAACCACAAGACCAACACCAACACCACCCTAGTTGGGCTGCAGGATTAAGAACAGGTGTAGCTAAGCTCAACCTTGAACCTTGTTTCGTGTATGATCATCGATTTCCATGTGCTTTCAAACAAACTGTTACATAAAAGCCTCAACCCTTAATGCGTAGTGGTAGTCGTCGTGCAGTGGTAGGTCGTCGTCGTCATCGTCGTCGTCGTAGTACTAGTACTAGTACTAGTACTGGTACTGGTACTGGTACTAGTAGTAAGTAGTAGTAAGAAGTAGTAGTAGTAGTAGTAGTAGTAGTAGTAGTAGAAGAAGAAGTAGAAGTAGAAGTAGAAGTAGAAGTAGAAGTAGAAGTAGACGTAGTAGTAGTAGTAGTAGTAGTAGTAGTAGTAGTAGTAGTAGTAGTAGTAGTAGTAGTAGTAGTAGTAGTAGTAGTAGTAGTAGTAGTAGTAGGAGTAGTAGTAGTAGTAGTAGTAGTAGTAGTAGTAGTAGTGGTGATCGTCGTCGTCGTCGTCGTAGTAGTAGTAGTAGTAGTAGTAGTAGTCGTAGTCGTAGTCGTAGTAGTCGTAGTAGTCGTAGTAGTCGTCGTCGTCGTCGTCGTCGTCGTAGTAGTAGTAGTAGTAGTAGTAGTAGTAGGAGGAGTAGTAGTAGGAGTAGTAGGAGTAGGAGTAGGAGTAGGAGTAGGAGTAGGAGTAGTAGTAGTAGTAGTAGTAGTAGTAGTAGTAGTAGTAGTAGTAGTAGTAGTAGTAGTAGTAGTAGTAGTAGTAGTAGTAGTAGGAGTAGGAGTAGGAGTCGGAGTCGGAGTAGGAGTAGAAGGAGGAGGAGGAATAGGAGGAGCAAGAGGCGTAGCAGGAGTAGGAGGAGGAGGAGGAGCAGGCGGAGGAGGAGTAGCAGGAGGAGTAGCAGGAGGAGTAGCAGGAGGAGTAGCAGGAGGAGTAGCAGGAGGAGTAGCAGGAGGAGTAGGAGTAGGAGGAGGAGTAGGAGTAGGAGTAGGAGTAGGAGTAGGAGTAGGAGTAGGAGTAGGAGTAGGAGTCGGAGTAGGAGTAGGAGTAGGAGTAGGAGTAGGAGTAGGAGTAGGAGTAGGAGTAGGAGTAGGAGTAGGAGTAGGAGTAGGAGTAGGAGTAGGAGTAGGAGTAGGAGTAGGCGTGGAGTAGGACTAGGACTTGGACTTGGAGTTGGAGTAGGAGTAGGAGTAGGAGGCGGAGTAGGACTAGGACTAGGACTTGGCGTAGGAGTAGGACCAGGAGTAGGCGTAGGAGTAGGAGGAGGAGGAGGAGGAGGAGGAGGAGGAGGAGGAGGAGGAGGAGGAGGAGGAGGAGGAGGAGGAGTAGGACTAGGACTAGGAGTAGGAGTAGGAGTCGGAAGTCGGAGTCGAGTCGGAGTAGGACAAGGAGTAGGACCAGGACTTGGACGAGGACTCGGACTAGGAGTAGGAGTAGGAGTAGGAGTAGGAGTAGGAGTAGGATTAGGCGTCGGAGTAGGAGCAAGGAGTAGGAGTTGGAGTAGGAGTAGTAGCAGTAGTAGCAGTAGTAGCAGTTGTAGCAATAGTAGCAGTAGTAGCAGTAGTAGCAGTAGGAGCAGTAGTAGCAGCAGCAACAGCAGCAGTAGCGGCAGTAGCAGCAGCAGTAGCAGCAGTAGCAGTAGCAGCAGCAAGAGTGCTCGCAGTACTTGCAGCAGTAGTAATAGTAGATTGTAGTAAGAGTAGCAGAAAAATGCATTTCATCGCATGAGATCTGGGCCCATCTGGGCTCCAAACTCCTGCCGCGTTCACAGCGGATACTGCGTGTGGTTCACATGAGGGTTTAGGCTTTGGGTGATCATACTGAGGTTTTTGCATCGCCAGCTTTGTTATGGGGCAAAATGCCTGCAGCTGCTGTGCAGAAGAGCGCAATGAGATTGCCGAGAAAGATTTTGGAGCACTACCCGCTCCTGTCCACTTTCAAGAAGACCTGCGAGAACCGGCCCAAGCCACTGACGACTGTGACATGCCTTCTCCTTTTTGTGAGGATGATGCCACTCAGGGACCTGCGCACACGAAACTGTCAGGGTTAGCATCTGCAACTCTGATTAGTCCTGGCAGAAGCAGCCCCTCACGAGCCGAAGTATTGGGAAGTACTTCGCCCCTGAGGCGGGTGCCAACCAGAGAGGATCGATTGGAACAAGGCGCGCAGTTGTATGTTGACAGTGAACTTGTGCGCTCCATTTCTTTGGAGTCCACATTGTGGGGATGCGGGTGGCTTTGGCGGGTGCGTCCTGCGCAGATGAGCCAAGCTCAGCTGGATGCTTTATGGCGGAGGTCTGCTGAAGCAGACGCTTTTGACGTGTTCTTGTCGCATGCATGGTCAACGCCAGGGCATCAGAAGTATTTGTCCTTGCTGCTTAGTTCAGGTTGGCAATACGCGCTCCTGGCTTGGGCGTTTGCTGCCACGCTGGTGATGACCCTTTACATTTTGAATGTGTTGCCTCGTCCGATGACGGTGTCCAGGAACGAAGATTTACTTGCCAGCGGGGAGGCACGCATGGCGCCGTGGGGGTATTTGTCGACCTTTGTTTTTGCCCTCAGCGGACTAGCATGTGCGCCTCACATGTGTTCCAGCTGGCGCCGGACTCCGGGGTGCTTCTACGATGTGGCTTGTGTAAACCAGGGAGACCCAGAACAGCGAGAACGCGGAATTTACGGGATCGGAGGATTTCTGGCCATCACGAAGCAGCTTCGCATACTGTGGAGCCCGCCCTACCTCTCCCGCTTGTGGTGTGTGCCTTTCCTGTTCAGTGAGCAGAATCGGCGCTTGCATCGGTAGGAGTAGGGTGACGTCTTCGAAGGCTGTAGCAGGGCACAGAGTGAGAGATCCAACCTCTGAGCGCCGGGTAGCCTTGCTACAAAATGAGAAGTTGAAGGGGAAGTAGCAAGTTGATTACATGGTCATACTAAGGTTTTCGAAGTTGCCGCCTACCGCAAAGCCAACCCCAACGGCCAACTGAAACTGCAGCCAGTCTTCGTGGAGCGCACCATCCTGCTTGCTTGGATAAGCATGTTCCTCTTCATGGGCATCTTCATGTTTCTGAGGTTGTCAAGACTTCCGGTTGCTGTCGGCGTCTGTGCCTTCTACCCGGGTGCTCACATTGTTCGAAGAGGGTACCAGCAGCAAGAGCAGATGTTCCGAAGCCTTGCAGAGTTTGACCTGAACTCTATGTCTTGCACCAACGACTTTGACCAGCGATTTATCCTGTCGGCTGTGTGCCAATGGTATGGCAGCCTAGAGGGCTTCACTGACTACGTCCGCGGGCCTCTTAAGGAGGAACTGACACAAAGTGTTGTCCTTGCACGGGTACCGCTTCAATATTGCATCCAGGTTTGCATGTATTTGTGATATGCTTTTTCTAAACAGGAGGTACGAAACAGAAGTTCATCTTAACGCCAAGGTATCCTTATCGCCAGCCCGATCGCTGGATTTCAGCTGGACACCGTCGCATCGTTCTTAAACGCTGGTGCATCTTCTGATGTTGTTGTCCGGGTCATTTTGGCGAATTTGTTGGCAATGCCTACGATGGCTGTTTGTGTGATATACTATTTCTTCTGGTTATGTCAGCGCTTCGCAAGACCTTGCTTTTCAAGCTGCGCAATGGATTATGCACAGACGGCCATGGTCCTCTGTCTTTTTGGCTTGGGTTTGTTGCCTTTTGCTGCGGTTGTGAGAGCCCTCGCAGAAGGCTTGGCAGCAACGTTAGCTGCCGCAGGAGTCTCCCTCGCCATGTTTGTTGTCCTGTTAGTTCAGCTTCATTCCTTCCGTTGCTCGCGGATTTTCGGGCGGAGGTGACTGCGAAGTGCACGTCGCCCCCGGCAGTTCTGAGATGCGAAATTGCAGCTCAAGGCGGACCGGACGCAGCCAAAAGGCTTCCAAACATCTTGGTTGGACTGTCCAAGTTGGACTGCAGCTTCCAGGGTTCGTCAGAATTCTAGAAATGCCAGGTAGGAAAGAACCAAGACCCCTAAACAGCCTAAACATTGACCCTTAAAATAACCCTTTAAACCGTTTAAAAACCTGCAGGATTCCAAGCGTCAGCGCCACGAGCCTAGGCCGCTTCGGCGTGTCTCTGCTCATCAAAGATGTGGAGTCAGACACGCTGGCGGTGATGAAGACGATCGATGTCCGGGGGCCTGGGTAGATCCGAATAATGGGTTTAGGGCGTTTAGGGTTTCGGTTTTCGGGTTTAGGGCCCCCAGGGTTTAGGGACCCCAGAACCGCGAAGCCTTGAAGCCTTTCCCCAAACTCCGAAGCACCCAGCCTATATACAAGGCACCAAAGCTTGGAGCCGTTCGGGCTTGAGGGGTTTTCAGAAGGGGTTTCAAGCTTAAGGGGCTGCTCGGGCTTTCGAAGCTTTAGGGTTGAGGGTTTGGGGCCTGCACGACCAAGGACGGCAAAGCTGAGCGAACTTCAACGGCATCATCCCACAAAGCCAAACCCCCCCCCCCCCCCCTAAAAATCCTTAAAACCCCCCCAAAAACCCCCCTAAACATCCCCGCAAAACCTCCCCCCTGAAAGCCCCCAACCCTCTCCGCAAGTTCGAGGTGGCCGCGCTGCGCGGCGCAGAGCGGGCCGAGCTCCTTCGCGAGCTCCGAGGCGCCTTTCAGAGCAGAGGCTTTTTGTTGTTGGTTTTTTTTTTGGTGTTTGGCCTAATCTTTGGGATGTTGTTTGTTGTTTTTTTTCTCTCTTTTTTTGCGGGGTGGGAGGGTGGGGGGTGGAAAAGGGGGGTTGGGATTTTTGGGGCTTGTGGGGTTTTGGTGCGTTTACGGTTTGTTAGGGTTTTCGTGTTTTGGTTTCAGGGTCAGGGTTCAAGGTTTTAGGGTTTAGAGCTGCTTTTCGGGTTTAGGGTTCAGGCTTGGGTGCGAGTGAGGGGTTTGGTGGGGTTTAGGGGCTGGGGGTTTAGGGTGGGGGTTCGAAGGGCTTATGGATATTTCCTTCGCCCTCTCTGTCATCGACATTTGCATTTTGTTGGTCTTCTTCTCTCTTTCTCCCCAATGCATGTCTCAGAAGTTTGCTCTTCTGCCATTTCGAGAGCTTCGGGGCCAGTTCGCCTGGACACAATCCAGGCAACTGTAGGGTCATCAACTCAGAAAGCCGATGTTACATGTATGTGTACGTATATATACATATATATATATATGTGCTATCCATATATATGTGTATCTACAAGTACATACAAATATGTACTTGTTTGGCAAACGTATGGATAAATGTATATAGCCCGAAACCCGAAGCACTCAGTGCTGAGCCCCATCTCATTGCATAGCACTTAAGCCCTGAACCCAAACCCCAAAGCGCTGGTATAGTTTTAGCCGAATCCTTATCACTAAATGCTGAACCTTAAAGGGGTGTTGGGTGGCTCTTCCACGCCACTACCTCCCGCAGCAGAGCCCAATCGCCTTGAATGCTTATAAGGTTAAGGGCTTACATAGGGCTTATAGTTTGGGGTGTAAGTGCAGGGCTTACAGGTTTTAGGGCTTAGTATTCGTAGGGTTTAGGGTTCAGGTTTGGGCCCCTCGTAAGGGCTTAAAGGTTGCAGGATTTAGGGCTTTTGAGGGTTTTGGGTTGGAAGTTTAGGCTCGCTAAGCTTTGGGGTTGAAGCTTGGGGGGGTGTATGCGGTCTAGTGCCAGTTCCGAACCCCCGAACCCCTCCTTGCACTTCAGCGAGGAGGCTGAACGCCCGTCCTCAACCCATGCGCCACGATCAGGCCTTACCAAGCTCCGTCATCCCCACCTCCTGCCGTGCCCTGGCGGGCATCTTGCGATTCCCTAAAAGCTCTGTTAGGGTTTGGGGTCGAGGGTCCACAGGGTCCATGACCCTAAGCACCCAAAACTGCAAGGGTTGCAGGGTTCGGAGCCTTGCGGAGGCCTTCTGAGCCTTTTTTTGGGGCGAAGGTTGGGTGGCCAATCCACCCTAGGCTCGAAAAGCCCATGTGGGTCTCGGTCTCGTAGCCACAGGTGACAGCTTGATCTTCAAGGTTCTTATAGGGTTGAACCAGGCTCCAAGCGGGGTTTAGGCAGGGTGCAGGGTCTAGACTGTGGACTGGAATCAAAATCCAAGCAATCCCCCCCAAGAACCCCGAGAATGATCGAGTTCCATCTCTCAACAAAACCCAAGTGACCCGAAGACCCCTCGAGGCCCAGTTATCAAGAAAACGGCGCGCAGATTCGCGCGCCTCAAAGTCTGCCCTCCTCCTGGGAGCCCCTAAAGAAGGGCCCCCTTTAAAGAACCCTAAACAACCCCCCTTAAACCCCCAAACCCCTAAAGCCCCGCCCCCCCCCCTCTTAAACAGAGAGATGCTTCTCGCACCTCTGAAGGCTGCGGGAGTCCTTCCTCCACCAAGGCCCGGTCGGCCCGAAAGACCCCCCCCCCCAAGTCCTCAGCCGGGAGGGCCCTGAGAAACCCGAACCCCCCTGAACCCCCTTGAACGGGCTGATCGTCTAGGCCATGTAGGCCGTTTAAAAGAGTTCAAATGCGATTTAGGGTTTGGGGTGTATTGATACACTAGTCCCCAGTCATTGTCTGTATAGCTACGACGTATGGTGTAAGTTCAGGGTCGAGAGATTGCTGGTGGCACGTTTCCTTCCTCGGTTCGCAGCATCTTTGCTTGAAGTCCTTCTAGGATGGATCGTTAGTCGGAATCAGTGGCATGTGCATCACCGTGCATGCGACCTTGCTCAGTGGTCGCATGGTTCGGCTCCAGATCTCTCCAGAAAGCACAGTCAACGACCTGCGGCAGTTGGCTCAGGAGCGGCTGGGCGTAGGGATCGGCCGGCTGTGTACGGAGAAAGGAGACCTCCCGGCCACCGGCACGGCCGTCCTCTGCGCAGAGCAGGTCGTGACGTGCACCGTCCGGCGGCTGCAGATCGTCTCCTCTTGGGAGTCTTTGGTGAGCCTGCGCTCCTGGCCCTTCTTCCAGGATGTCTCGAGCCCGGAAGCCTTTGCAGCCGTCCTGCCGACGGGCGGGGTGGTCACCTGGGGCTTCGGCCTGGCTGGAGGCGACAGCGCAGAGGTTCAGGGAAGGCTGTCGGATGTCCAGGACGTGCAAGCCTCAGCTGGTGCCTTCGCGGCTCTTCGCTTCGACGGGCGTGTGGTGACCTGGGGGGATGCCGCGTATGGAGGCGACAGCGGTGGTGTCCAAGAGCATCTGTGCCTAGGCCTTTGCCAGTGAAAAAGTGTTAGCTTCGCTATCTTCGGAAGCCCTGTTTAAGTGGTCCCCCCTTCCCCCACCCCCTCGCCCATTATTTTTCAAGGGATCCAAGTGCCGCCCTCCCCCCAGACTTCAAAAGGGTAGGAAGGAAGGACAGAAAGAGAAAAGCGGAGGTTAAGGGGGTCAAGGGGTTGGTAAGGGCTCTTCTTGGTTCTGACTTGGCTGGGTCCCTGGTTTCGGTCTTGGAAACAAGCCTGGCCTTACGCAAACTTCAGGCCTCGGAAAAACACTTTGGCTTTTGCAGCGGACCCCCCCCCCCCCCCCCAAACAATCGCCCGATCCTGTTTACCCAGCAGGCTTGACCGGACCCCATTGCTAGTGAGCCAGCCCGACTCGGAAAAACACTTTAGCCAAGAGCCATTGCTAGCGAGCCAGCCCGATTTGGAAGCTGATCCAGGTACGGCGTGCAAGAGCTTCGAGGGTCCTCGAGCGCCTTCGCGGCCCTCCGTGCAGATGGCCGCGTGGTAACCTGGGGCTCTAAAGCGGCCGGAGGCGACAGCAGCTCCGTGCAGGACCAGCTGCAGGGCGTGGTGGCCCTCCGTGCCGCCTTCCTGGCCTTCGCTGCCGTTCGCAAGGATGGGAAGGTGGTTACCTGGGGTGAGGATGGGAACAGCCGCATGGTTCAGCACCAGCTGCAGCAGGTGCTGGAGGTTCGCATGTCATCCAGGGCTTTTGCAGCCATCACGGCCGATGGAGGCGTGGTCACATGGGGCTCTGCCTGCCACGGTGGCAACAGCGGCCCGGTCCAAGATCAGCTCAAGGATGTACAGGACATCCGAGCCTCAGCGACGGCCTTTGCTGCCCTCCGACGGGATGGGACAGTGGTTACCTGGGGCTTCGAGAGCGGTGGCGGGGACAGCAGTGCTGTTGGCTCGAGCCTGTCTGGAGTGGTGGCCTTGCAAGCCAGCTACGGTGCCTTTGCAGCCCTGAGGAGTGATGGGACAGTGGTGACCTGGGGACACCCGCTCTATGGTGGGGACAGCGGCACAGTGTCTGATCAGCTGATCGACGTCGCGGAGCTGCGAGCTTCGAGTCGTGCATTTGCAGCGCTCCGCAGAGATGGGTCCGTGGTCACTTGGGGCTTGCCAAGATGTGGGGGCGACAGTAGTAGCGTCCAGCAGCAACTGACACTTGGATGCTCTTGAGTCTTGAGCATCAGCCCAACTCCCAAACATCCGAGAAATCCCACAAGCAATCTACTGGCACCATAAACCTCATGAGCCCCATAAACCACCGAGCGCCCTTGGATACGTCCGTTGAGCTCTAGAGTAAGCCTTTCAAGCCCAAAGAAAGTACCAAACCTGAACCTCAATACTTGGGACCGAGCATTCGCGCTATGGTCTAAACGTCTTTCTGGAAGCCTGATTTCCATGACTGCGCTGACACTTTCGCCGAACACTCTCAGCCATTCCCCGTCCGCATCCACATGAGTGTTCAGGGTCGGGTGATGCCTTCCAGTTCCCTACAGAACCAAAACCTGACACCCCAAGCTCCTCCAAGCTCCTCCTAAACCCTAAGCCCTGAACCCTGAACCCTCAACCCTAAACCATTGGTTCCAAGGACGCACGTGGAGGATGTGAAGCCCTCGGCCTGTGCCTTTGCCGCCCTCCGCCGAGACGGTCGTGTGGTCACCTGGGGCTGCGGCCCTGCGGGCGGGGACAGCAGCCAGGCCCGGACCCCAGATTTCTACAATGTTGACAGTATTATCCTTGTGTATTCTTATGTTTCTTGTGCTTGGCTACTTTGCTACAAAACTGCCGAGATGAGAACTTCTCCCTTTACTCATCCGCTTTGTAGCTCTGTCCGCTTTGTAGCTCTGTGGACTTGTTTGGCTTGAAGGGGGGTGGGATGGGGGAAGGTGGGGGGGGGGGGGGGGTAGGGTAGGTTACGATCATGTTGCTCCGAACCATGCCCGCAACACTGGTATTTACAGCGTTGTTGCCTCTTTTTCCAACATGCTGCAAAAGGAAGTTCGACGTTTCTGGAACAAGACACAAGCCTTTTGCGAACATGCCCGCAATGGAATGTTCAGCATGTTTGCTTCTTTCTACATACTCAACCTTCACCAAGTATTATGTGAGCCAAAAACCCACAAACAACTCATCTAGTGAGTTGCCCATGATCAGTCCTGACAACACTGTATGTGTTGAGATCATCATCATCATCATCATCATCATCATCATCATCATCATCATCATCATCATCCAACAGCGGCAATCTCATTCTTATGCCAAGCCTGGGTGGGTGCCACGGAGTTTGGGAAGTCCTGAGGTTTCGGGCAAGCTCCCTGACAGCTTCCCAGGTTCAGGACCAGCTCAGGCAGGTCAACGAGATCTGGGCATCTTCGCGTGCCTTCGCGGCGGTCCGCGCGGATGGCTGCATCGTCACGTGGGGTGATGCGCTGCACGGGGGTGACAGCAGCGACGTCGCGGAGCAGCTGCGCCACGCCAGGTAGTCCCGAGCATTACCGAGGTGGGTGTGGTTCGAAGATTTTTGGGATGGGGAAAAACGGGTAAACTGCAATCAAAGCCCGCTCTCAATCTGTGAAGCTCTCTGAAACATGACGGCTCCCAGTGTGATGTAGGAATTTCTCGGGGTTCTGGGTCCGGGTTTTGAGGTTTAGTGCATTTAGGGTTTAGGATGGTTTCGGGGTGTAAACGGGGCTTACAGGTGTAGGGGTTTCGGGCCCACTCCGTCTGGCGCAGGCCCTCGGCCAAGCGTGGCAAGGCAAACTTCTCTATGAACTCTTCTGAAGCCTTCGCGCCGCTAGCGGCTAGCGGCAAAACCTGAAACCACAAGACCTGCGCCCTTGGTAGGTAGTTCCTAAACGTCGGACCTTGGAGGTCCAGCTTGAGTTGAAGTTTCACTTCCTGGCACATCTCTGTCAGGGCATCCTTGCCTTCTTTTTTTATGTCCCAGAGGCTTACGGGCCTTGAGCCATGAGAAACAATCGTACCAGATTGTCGTCGTCATCGTCATCATTATCAGCCCTAAGCAAAACCCCGGATCCCGAAACCCATCTTTCCCCCTAAGCCTAAATGCGCAAGGCCTGAAAGAGAACCCGAATTTCCCGATTCGTCGGGATCGTTTACGGTGTTTTTGGGTTAAGCGGACATCTCAGGCGCAGCCACGGCTGAGACTACTAGCCCGCCGCTAGCTACTTGTAGAGTGAAGACCGACAACGTACTGTACGACAAGGCAACCTGCATTGGGCTCCGGTGTTGACGGCTTAGGGTAAGGGCCGTAAATCCTCGACCCTGAGCTCAGAATTCTCGTATGTTTGCGGGTTGGGGAGCCTAGGACCCAGAGTAGGCCCTTTTTCCTCCTTTCTCTTTCTGCTTTGTTCTGGGAACCCTAGCCTTTGTTCAACGCAGAACCACCTCGCAAGCAGGGCGGCTTTGCCTGGTCATGGACTACCTGCCACGAGGCCCACGCTGCTGCTCTGTCATCGCATCAACCATACCCTGCAACCATACCCTACCCAATTTGGATATGCAAACATCAGAAAATCCAAGCCCTAAAGCTCCATGCTCAAACCCTCTCAACCAAGACCCTCAAGCCCCAGACTTCGACCCGCCCAGGCAGCCTCGCGGCCGAGGCCTCCCTTAGTTTGCTGCAGTTCTTTGCTCAGTGTGCAAGAGTGTTACTGTGGGCATCACTCGAGTCACTCGAGCTTTATGCTTCTTCGTAGTTTGTTGCGTGGTCCCACCAGGGGTAAGACAGGGGGATACAGGGCACATCATTCCCTAGTACATAGCATGTATTCGAAGCCGGTGCTTATGCAGCCAAATTTCTGGACAAGGATTGAGATGCTAAGCCAAACCAACCTCGGAATGTGAGACATTCCCTGCACTCGAAGCCATCGCAAACCCCAAGGCGTAAACCCTAGACCCTAAACCCTAATCACCTAAACCCTAATCCCTAAGCCCAATAACCCTAAACCCTAAGACCTGTAACGTTTCTCCGTAAACCCTGGAACCCTTGAGCCGCAGAGCCCTAAGCGCCCCGATGCAGCGGAGGTGGATGCGGCCCGCAGCTCTGGCATCACTTTAGTTTCTCTGAGTTCTTCCTGGGGCCAGGATCACCCAGCCCCTGCCCCCGACGCCCTAATCACCTAAACCCTGCAACCCGATAATCCCCCATGCGCTGTACGAAGCCCTACGAAGCCCCAAACTCCTCAAGCCCAGGCAGCTTCAAAGCTGACCTGGGACGCGAGAAGGTCCTGCAAGCCTTCGTGCAGGCGGCTTCAGTCCAAGTTTTCGGTTGGTGGTTGAAGGCTTAGGGTATGGGGTTATGGTAGGCTTGGGATTCAGGGTTTGGGGCTTAAGGTTTAGGATGGTGCAAACGTCTGCGTATTCAAGAAATTTGAGGGTTGTCTTTCGGGGAGAGTGGGGAGTCTTGCTCTTTCTTCAAAGGTTCTTAGCATTCGAGGGGCTGATGTTTTTTGGTAAAGGGCTTCTTCGAAGTTTTTGTTGGGGGGGGGGGGGGGAAGGTTTAGAGTCTCAGCAGTCAAGGTGTTTCAGGGGCCGTTGTTTCCTTGATCTTAACATCAAACATCTGAGTGGTTGGTTGTAGTTTCATCCATTTTGGTTTTAGGGTTATGTGGCGACCTCCGGATCCTAATTCCGAAACCCCGAAACCCTCGACCCTAAACACCCTAATCTTGGGATGTCCCTCTTATCGTACCCCTATTACGACCCCTATCAAGGAGCTGTTGGAAGAAAGGGGAACATCCCAACCCTAAACTCCGAACCTTTGAGGTTTCTTGGGTGCTCCAAGGCTGCCTTCTTGACACCGGGCCCCCCCCCCCCCCTTTAGGGTCGATGGGTGTTCGGGAGTTAGGGGTTTGGGGGTGGAGGGGTTCGTGAGAGCTTCGTGAAAGTTGAGGGGCTTGGGGCTTCTAGGGCTTTTAGGGCTTTAGGAGCCTGAGTCTCGGGTTTAAGGTTTCAGGGTTTTTGGTTCAAACCTTTTCACCCCCGCTTGAAACTCCTTTTGAAAGCCCCGAAGCCTTCCATAGAAACCTTGGTATATTGTGGTATACTAGTACAATACTAAACCACGCAAAGCTCAGCTATACCATACCCTATCCTAAGCCCTGTACTCCTGAATGACAAGCCCGAGCCCCTTGCACTGTGCGAGCCGGACGCAGGGTCTCCTGGGCCTCGCCTACCTGCACAGCTGCGGCGCGCTGCACCGCGACCTCCGCACCAAGCGCACTCTCGGCGGAGATTGGACTTGCCTTCGGGTCGGGGTGTACAGGTCTTTGCTTTTGCCAGGCCCCGCCCGGACCTCCCAAACCCCAGCCATAAACCCTCTGCAAACCTTTAAGCTGCCATTAAAAGACCCTAAAGCCTAGAACATAACCCGCTAAGCCCGCTAAGCCTAACCCTATCACCAGCTCCTTCAGAAGCTGAACCCGACGCCCTTCATACCCGAAAGCCCAAAGCCCTAAGAAACCACAGCCCTGAGCCCTGCTGAGACCCCCCCAAGTACCCCTCAAGATGCCCGAAGAAACTCCCAAGACCCTCACCTTAGCCCTAGACCCTGCGCTGAGGATTGCTGCGGACGCAAGCAGGGTATGGCCCCCAGGGTGTAGGGTTCGCGGGTTTAGGGTGGAGGGTTTGGGGTTTCGGGTTTATCTTTCAGGTTGAGCGTGTAGGGTTTAGGGTTTCCGGTTTGGGCTTGGCTGGTGGGTTGAGGCTTTAGGCTTTAGGCTTTCGGTTTTAGGGTTTCGGGGTTTAGGCTTTAGGGTTTCGGTTTTGGGGTTTCGGCGCTTAGGGTTTGGAATGCCAGAGTCTGCAATACCGCATAAATTACGGAATAGTCCTTAAAGCGTTATAAGTATCCCTATTTAGTCAGAAGAGATATTCAATCATTCGAGTCTGAGGTTTCGGGTGTTAATTTTTAGGGGTTTCGGGGTTTTATGGCTTAGGTTTCGGGTCGTCGGGTTTCAGGAGTTTCGGGGAATCCGGCTTCCTGAGCCATCCCCAATCTCCACCCTTCCAGAAGCTCAAAGCCCCAAACAGCCTATTCCTCAAGCGGTTAGAAGCCTGACCGAGCCCTAAACCCCAAACCCAAAACCTTCAACCCTAAACCTTAAGCCCTAAGCCTTAAAACCACCAACCCCAAACCCCAAAAGCTTCTTTCCTAGTTTGCCCTTGGGAGGCTTGTGGTGCTCACCGGTACAGCCTTGCCAGTGCCTCAGGGACTTGGGGAAGTTCTCTCCCCCGCTAGTGTCGGGGTGGAGTTCAGCGAGCCCTAGATCCTTAACCCTAAAGCCCCAAACGCCTGGACCCTATAACGCCAGACCTTACCAGCCCAAGCCTGCAACCCCTACACCTCTGAACGAACGCTTAAACCCTCAAACTTCAAGCCTTATAGTGCTTAACCCCTTAAGCCCCCAAACCCTAAAGCCGAAACCGCAAGGACCCCTAAGCCCTGAACCCTTAACCCCTAATCCGCAAGGACTCCTAAATCCCGCGAACCCCTAAGCCGCTTCACCCCTAAAACCCTATGCACGCTGCTACAAGTCTCATACAAATGGAGCCTCCTTGGGTTACGGCCTCCAGTGTGACGAGGGCGCAACTGGCCAGTGTGCCTCTGGTGGCGTTCAATGCCTTGGTACAGTGGAAGGTTGGTGCCCTTAGAGTCGACGGGTTCAGACATGCAAGCATAGAATCGCAGCAATGTCTAAGTGGCAGCGTGTGTCTCAAGTCAATTGAAGCAGCCGGTTGGGACGAAACCATTCTGCAATGCGATCGTTGGCACATTTGCATGGACTAGTGTGCATCTGAGCAATCCCCTTCTCTGTTCCTGAGTCCCCAGTCTCGATGGTGCTCTGCCAGGCATTCATCGCAAACCCATGAACCGAAACCCCAAAGTCTCTGGCTTGGGACCTTTGAGGGGTAAGATCTGCCAGGGCAGATCAAGTATTGGAGCTCAGAACTTTTCGATTTCGTGCTTGCCTCTGTGTTGCGGGGCAGTGAGGTCGGTGGTCGTGCGCCGGGCGCTTTTCTTCGAGAGGCGACTGGGACATTCCTCAGGAAGTAAATCTCAGAATTCCTTTATCGGAGAGTCGGGACAGGGGTTTAGGGTTCAGGGTGCTCTAAACCTTGCAGCCTGATACCTAGAACCCTTTGGAGAGGGGCTCTCACGACACACGAGCGATGATTCGTTTGGGTGGCCCGCAAGCCCTAGCCCCTCGATGCCTCAAGTAGTGGGTGGCAGAGGGGGTTCGTCGTATGGGATCCTAGAACCATGAAGCCCCTCGTCCCCACGAAGCCGCCGTGAGTTCTGACAGCACCTCGGCAAGTCTTGCCTTGGACTGTGGGTCTGGTTTAGTTTGGAGTAATCGAGATTGGAAGTTCACAGCTAGCTGGGGTGATAGGTTAGAAAGTCTAAGCTACCAGTTACAAATTATCGGTGCCATGAGTATTTTCATACACATAAAGTCCCTACCTCTGCGTACCTACGAGCAAACGGTCCCAGTGCCCAAAGCCTAAACCCTACATCCCGAGCCCTAAGCCCGAAGCTTGAGCCATACGCCGCCTTAAACCTAAACCTTAAGACTAAGCCCTAAGCCCTAACCCTAACTTACACCTTGAAGTCTTGCGAAGGGCTTGGGAGGGTTTAGGGTTTTAGGTTTCAAGGGTTTTAGGGGTTTGAGATTATAGAGCTTAGCGTGTAGGGACCTGGGCTTAGGGTGTCGACGCCTGAGATGGCGGCCTCGGACTTCGATTCCCTTCAGCAAACCCAGGCCCTGCTTGGAGGATCATGGGAGGTAAGTTTTTGCTGGAGGCTCGTGGGTACTGTAGACACGGCCATAAGCCCAGGCAGCCTAGGCTAGAAGCCCGTTTCGGGGGTCTTACAAGTCACAAGTAGAGCCCGGCACCCGCAGAATGAACCGCCTAACCCGGTTTGTCAAAGGGAACACACTTCGTTCAGGCACCACCCAGAAACCCTAAACCTGACCGCGTGAGGCCGAACATGGAGGCCCTGCCCTACCTGAGTCCGGAGCTTCTGGTGGACCCGGAGGCGGGTGGACCCTGAATGCCATAATCGGATATGTTAGGTAAAGGTTGCCTCGCTTAGCACCCTACTTGTAGTTCTTGCTGGGTTGTGGGTGCCATGGGAGAGGTTGGCCTCCTGAATTCCCAAACCCTCAAGTGCATGACAAGTATGCGTGTCTTCACGTGCCCTATAGAGTTTGCCACAACAAATCACACCGCAAGAGCCCAACAAACATCAAGCCCCCCCCCCCCCCCCTTCCCCCCGCAGCTCCGGATATTTCCGCATGAACCTCCCAGTAAGGTTACGAGGCCTTTCGCCGGCCGGAGACAGAGGGTTCAAGGAAGGCGTAAGGGGAATTGTTGGGCTGCAAATTCAGGTTTTATGGCTGCTCATGTTCCACCATGTGTATCATGGGACTCCAGGTCCCTTACGTTACCAAAACCTATGAGCCCTCAACTCTTAGACGCATACTAGGCCCACACGCCCGCCACCGACATGTGGGCGATGGGCGTCATCTTGTGCGCGACATCTTCAGAGTTGAGGGGGCTTCGGGAGGCAAACTTGTGGCGCCCCTTTTAATTAGAACGGGTATTGTGGATTGTTTGTATATCCTGATAGGGTTGCCCGGCGGGCGAACAGTGATACAATGATCATGATCTAGGCTCCTATACTATGGTTTTGGCTTTTGGTTTCAGGGCATGCGGAGCGTGCTGGGTTACACAAAAGGTTCGTGTTTCAAGCTGCACGAACATTTCAAATTCCTCAAGCACGGTAGACTTGGAGGTTCATGGTTTGACAAGTGGGATATGAAGCAGGGTTTATGTTATTGTTATTGGTGAGGGTGTATAAGGTTCCTTTTCAATATTGGTGATTGTATATACCGGGCGTCCTTTTGGGGGTACAAGAAATATATACCCTACTTCATATATGTCCTATTAAGGGTATCCAAAATTTCCCCAGTAAAACCCTATAAGCAGTTTTAAGTACTTAGAACGAGTCGTATCTTCTGAATCTCCGACTCTGAACCCTGGAGGTTAGGGGTGCAGGGTTTAGGGTTCAGATTTTGCGTTTAGAGTTGAGGGAGTGTAGATTTACCAAACCTTCAATTCCCAGCCCTAGAGCCCAGGCACCAATCCTAAGCCACAAAAGCCCCAAGCCCACGCGCAGGGTTTCAGGGTGTTCGGGGGCCGGAGGTACGAGCTCATGGCGCTGCGAACGCCCTGGGAGGACGAGGTGCGCGCCGGTTGCAGGGTTTACGGTCTACGCGTGGGCGGATCTGAGCACGCTGACAACTTTGAGCATCCTCCAGTCAACCCTAAACCCTGAACCCTCAACTCTAATTGCTTAACCCTTCAATCTTCAACCGAGAGCTCCTAAACCCTTCCTTGAATCCTGGAGCTCACTGCCTCAGCACGCGGTCCGGCTGCTGGAGCGGATACGGGACCAGCCGCTGCGGCCCTTGCCGGTGCAGTGCCCTGGGCTTAGGTGTAGGGTTTTAGGGTTTAGGGTTTAGGGTTTAGGGTCCCCCTTGAGCCTTCGAAAGAGGGGAGGACCTCGCTAAACGAGGCACCTGATAGAGCTTCAGGGTTCCTGCCTGAATCCCGAAAACCTCAGGCCTCTTCGAGACATGAGGTGCCAGGGTCTAGTGTCGAGGGCTTAGGGCTCAAGGCTTACAGTAGGGTTTAGAACAAAGGATCAGAAGGGTCCTGGAAGAACAGAACCTAGCAAGCTCAAACCATAAATCCCTATGTACACCCCCCTGTCGAAACCCGAAGCCCTAAACCCCCTCAGCCTCCCAACTCAGAGAGGTATTCGGAGGAGCTAGCGCCCATTTGCTACACGCTCCTCAAGCCAGCAGCCTCAGCTCCAGTAGGCTTTGACCCTTGAGCGGTTTTCTCTTTCGGGGGGATTGACTGGGATTATCGGGTCAGGGTTGGAGGCTTGAAGGTGTTTAGTGTTTAGGGTAAAATCATTACATAGGCTGTAGGGAGGGTTTGTAGGGTTTGTTCAGACCTTTGGGGCTGGTCTTTGTCCGCTTGCGTGTGTGGGTTGAGCTCAACCTGAAATCCCAATCCAATGTTTAGGGCCTTTTGGCGTTTGAGAGGATGTAGGTCGAGAGGGTTTAGGGTTTGAGGGTTCTAAGGGTTTGTATACTAGGGTTTGTAAGGTGATAAAAGGTTTGTCGGGCTCTAGGATTTCCCCAAGATTTTGTTGCAAAATCCCAACCCCCAAACCTGGAAAAGGCTCCTTTCGGGCTTTAGGGTTTCGGTGTTAAAGGTTGTTGGGGTTTTTAGGGTCAGGGTTGAAGGGCTTCTGCGCCTTCTAGGCCTTCTAGGGCTTTGGGTTTGGGGTTTGCCTCGACTAAACAGGGCAAAGGCCGAGGCCTTGTTCTAGTGACGCAGCGGTTTACCTTCAGTGTGTACCCCTGGAGGCTGGACAAGCGCGTAAGGGTTGAGGGTTTGGAGAGGCTACATTGCGGTCGTCTTTTTGAGGGGAAGCCCCTAGAACTCAACTCCAACACCACGATCGGTACAGTGCCAAAGGCTTGCCAAAGACCTCCAAGCCTATTAAACCCTCAACCCCAACCGACCTGCGCCGTTGAATTATGAAATACCCGAACCGCGTCAACCCCTCCCGAAAACCCTGAGCCCAAAACCCTGAAACCTTTTAAACCCTAAACCCTGCGCCTTCCACCCCAAAACCTCATCTGGAGGCGCAACCCGCAGAGCCGCCCCAGTGCAGATGAGCTTCTACTCCTACCGCCGATACAATCCAGGCCTCTGAGATGTTTGGGGGTTTGGGGGTTTGGGGGTTTGGGGGTTTGGGGGTTTGGGGGTTTGGGGGTTTGGGGGTTTGGGGGCGGGTTTAGGGCTTGTGGCTTTACAGGTCAGGCCTTACGAGCATCAGGGGTTTTGGGCTCTACAACTTAAGAAGCCAATCGGGCGGAGGGGGTTTGGGGGTTAAGGTTTTCGGACTTGAGGGGTTTCAAGGTTTGTGGGGTTTAGAGGATGCTTTGGGTTCTGGGCATAGGGTACGTTGTGCAACAAGGAGCGGTCGAGGGCATTTTGCTGTGCGACGGGTTTGACAATCGTTAGGATGAGGCGGCCCGGCCGACAAACCAAAAAAAACGTCCCCTTGAAGGGTTTGGTTTTAGAGACCTAAACTTTCAGTCAGCATTGTTCCTTTTCAATTCTGGTGACGCGTGGCGAGAGCTCTGGGAAATCTGAGTTTTTTGCAGTTTCCAGAGCACGCCTTCTGCGCACTTCTGGTGGGACTTCGGGGTTTTATCTCCTGTGCCCCCAGCCCCAAATCCCAAAACCTAGCAACACCGTGACAACCCCAAGATAGCCCCGAGCTGAAAGAGGTTGCATGTTAAGCCAGGGCCTATATGAGCCCTCTCAGTTCTTCCACACCAAATGCAGGATCGTCTCGCTGCTGGACATGGAGTCGGATGATGTCGCAGCAGGCTGACCAAATGCTAGACCCGAGCCCGAAGCTTACACACACACATACACACATACACATATACACATATACACATATACACACATACACATATACACATATACACATATCCACATATACACATATACACATATACACATATACACATATACACATGTACACATGTACACATGTACACATGTACACATGTACACATGTACACATGTACACATGTACACATCACATATACACATACACAAACAAACCCCAAACACCCCAATCACAGAGCTTCGTGTGCCAGAATGTTAGTGCTTAGGGACCTGCTGGCGCCAATGAACCCTGTTGACGTTTGGGCTTCGGATTTCGCGCAGAGTCCTTCATACAAGACTGGACCGTCAGATCTCTCCGAGCCCTGAAGCTATAAACTGGGCTGCTGCAAGGAAACAGTTAGCTTACCATGAAAGGGTTAGTTTAGGGTTTGGGGCGAGATGTGATGTGGTAGATGGTATGGATTCAATCCGCACCCTGCCAGGCGGTGCAGTGCCAGCGCAGGCGCTGTGCTGGAACTCGGGCGAGGAGGTCGGGGTCAGGCGGGGCCAGCAGGTTTCGGGCAAATCCCGAAACCTGAAGCCCGAAGCCCAAAACCCTGCAGTGGAAGGTTGAGGGGTTCAGGACCTCGAATGCCAAAAAAAGCAAAGCCCCCACCCCAAATTCTCAAATCCTAGTTTCCTTAGTTGCCCTAGACCCCGAAGCTCTCAACCCTAAGCTTCTCAGCAGCAATCCTCAACACCCTAAACCCCCTTCAAGACACCCTCATTCCTCAAGCCTCAACCCCGAGCCCCTCATGCCTCAGCAGACCCTAAACCTAAAACCCTAAACCTCGGTCTCCCTTGACAGGTCCAAGGCCCTCGGATGGCAGAGGCGGAAGGAGCCGTGCACCAAGGCCGAGAATTCAGGGCTTGGGTGGGGGGGGAGGGGTGGTTCAGGGTTTTAGGTTTTAGGGGTTTAGGGGTTTAGGGTTGAGGTTTTAGGGTTTGGGTTTAGGGTTTGGGGTTTAGGGGGTTTGGTGTTAGAGGCCTGTTGGAAGAGTGGGTTTAGTGTGCAGTGCGGGTTTTGAGGTGGTTGAGGGAGTTTAGGGGGAGTTTAGGGGGAGTTTAGGGGGAGTTTAGGGGGAGTTTAGGGGGAGTTTAGGGGGGGGGGGTTGTCTTAAGGGTTTCCTGTGCGTGTGGGGCATGAGGATGTGGAAAGTGTCTCTATCCCTCACCCTGAACTTAAGGCCCAAACCCTCAAACCCTTGAACCCTTCAGCCCCAAACCGCAGAGTGTTAAACTTTAAACCCACGCTTGGGTTTCTTTCATGCCTTTGGTATGGGGATGTCCCGGGCCTGTTTTGAGGTTCTAGGGTTTAGGGTCTCAACCTTAAACCTTGAAGCCACGTGCCCGCAAGTCTTGGGGCGGGAAACAGCACCCTCGCTTCGTCCTATCGCGTTTTGCAGTGTAGCAGCGACGACAGTTTAGAGGACCGTTGAATGGAGGTAGGGTTAGGATTTGTTTTGGTTTTGCTCTGGTGGCTGGTCTTGAAAGGGTTTACAGTTTTACAGGCCCTAAAAGAGGCCCTCAGCGCAGGGTTTCGAGGCCCGAACTCCAAAGTTTTGGCCTCATTGCAACCCCCCCCCCCTTCTGATTTTAGCGTTCAGGGACTAACCCCAGGATTGTGGCTCCCTCCCCCCTCAGCCCTAAGCCCAAACACGCAAACCCAGAACCCCAAACCTTTTAACGCCCCAGAGGGCCTAAATCCAAAACAGAGCCCTGAAACCTTGAGCCGCATCATCCGCAAATCCTGGGCCCAAAGGCTCCTGGAAGCCTCAATTTTCATTAGCTCTCAAAAGGGCTGAAGAGGGCTTAAGAGGGCTTACTGTGGGGGTAGGCCTGGGTGGGCTTGAGTGATTTAGGCGCTAAAACCTTAAACCCTATACTCTAAACCCTAAGCCTGGGGCTTGCGGTCTGCGCTCTAGGCAGTTGAACCGGATGTCCTACCGGGGACTCTATTTGCACGTGGGGGTTACTTTTAGGGGACTTTTCTCCAAGCTTGTCGGAATATGCCTTTTCATGAACCGGTAGTTGCCACTAAGCTGTGTGCAAGTAGAGTTGCAGGTGCATCCTGAATGCCCGAATCTCTCAGCTGCGGCTTGTACTTGTACATAGTCCGATGGCAGCGCTGCTGAGCCCTTGAAGCCATGGGACAATGCCGGCGCCTTAGCGGTTGGCTGCCCTTGGGCGTGTGTGGGGTGGTCGCTTGGAGTTCGTCGTAGTTTTGTGGCCAAGTTGCCCCGGGAATCTTGCGAGAAGTAGTGAAAGTAGCCTGTGCCATAAATCGTAAACCGTTAAAGGCCGCCTCCTCCGCCTGCAGCCTAAACCGGAGCCTCCCAAGCCGAATTCTTTTCAGCTCCTCACCCCAAGACCCGAAAACCAACGCCGCGGTAGTGATGTCCCGATCACATGGGCACTGAGTACAACGGGCTGGATTCCACCAGGACCCCTAAAGAACCTAACACAGAGGGCCGTGAATATAAGGGACAGCAACCATGAAACGGGACGGCGGCCATGAGATGTGGGAAAGTCGACTGTGCATCGAGAGCTTGTTGGGAAGCTGTTTAAAAGCCTTTTGGAAGTTGTTGCCTTCTCAATTTTGAAGCCTCTTCAAGGGCTTTTGTAGAGCCAGAAGGCTTCCTGAAGCCCTGTAGCCGAAGTGCCCCATAACCTTAAACCCTAACCCCGAAACTGAACGGTTCTTATCGGTTGTTTGGGACTGGAAGAGGCTTTCTAGGCTTCGGCTCCCCCACAAAAGCATTCACCGAACAAGGGCACCTCGTTAAACCCCATAAGCAGGGCAATCAAGGGCCTTGCACACCATTTCCCCCAAAGTTTGCCTTGTTTAAATGGTATGCCCTAAGCCCTGAACCAGGTTGCCCCGGTGCAGGGCCAGGCCGGCGTGGAACTGGTTGGTGGCTCTTTTTGCTCTCCCGGGCTTGCTGGGAACTTTGAGCTTTTTTTCGGTTGCGGCTGAAGAGGTTGGGTGCCATTTGCTGCGTCTGGAGCTGGATCTGAACACAAGCTCGCCGGTTTTGGTTTGGCGGGTGGCTTGGGGTTTGAAATTTGGGGTGTGGGGTCAGAATACTTGTTCAAGTTGGGGTAGGGGAGTCTCTCTTCCTTCTTGCGTCCAAGCATGCCCCGAAACCCAAAGACCCTGAAGCCTAGGGTCACCTCATGAGCCCACCCTTAAGACCCCCAAGTGCGGGGTTTATGATTCAAGCAGGCCCGATCTACAAGGCTCTCCGCCGCGGCCTGAGACGCAATGTTTGGGGTTCAGGTGGTTGGAATTGGGTTTCCGATACCTTAAATAGGGCTGTGGTGTAGCTTGCGCTTGCCTTACAACCTGGAGTTGTTTCTCGGTTGATGCCTGCGCAAAACCCTCAGAACCAGCCAGGGACATGTTTAAAGCCTCAACAAAAAGTTTTTCCAGTGCGTTTGGGCGGTCTTCATGTGGCTTTTATGCGGTTTCGGGGAAGTGCATGACATCCATTACTTAGCTAAGCGGAAAAACACAAGCCAATAGAAACCCAGAGGTCCACCTGCCATACCGCAGCGCACATCTGAACTTACTAATCTCCCAGCCCACTGCGCGTGACAGAGCGGCTGCCCATGGATGGTCGGGGCGATCTCTCAGACACGGGCCTTACTCGGCGGCAGCATGCCCCAGGCAAGGCAGATCAGCTGTTCAAACGCAGTGTCGCCGGGTAGTTCCAGGATTCGACGTAGATCACGGGGTTGCTTCAGCGGTGCCCCACATGCAAGAACGATGCCTATCCTCCGGCAAGCGGGTGGCGATGCCGAGCCTGGCGCTGATCACAAGCCAAAACGTTGCTCCAGAACTCCGAGCCACGTCGTGCCTGTGCAGCTTGCACTTCGTGGCGCATCTGCCGCAGGTGCCCCAGGTTCCAGGACGCATCTTTCAAGGACCCTCTCATGGATGTCTTCAGAGACGCGCCGCCACTCTAACGAGGGGGCCCTGGGCATCTGGGGTGTGCTTGTGCTAAGCCGCGATCCAGGCGCGTCTCTCTTTTCTTCTGGGGAGAGGACCCCAAGCAGTTCCTGTTTGGGAACAAGGAATGAACATGTGAACGAGCAAATGTTGCAATGAAAATACCATAGTCACCAGCCAGAAAACTGTCTTTAGTGGGCCCAACAAGACGTCCTCAGCGTTGTTCATGAAGGTTCCAATCTTTCAAATCTGTTTACATTTCCCTGCAGAAACAGCAATACGCAAGAACTGGGGAACCTAGAGCCTCTTAAGGGTTATTGGTTCAGGGGGCTACACCAAACAACCATCTACCCAAAAAATAGGGCGTTTAATGACCGCGCCCTGAAGCTCCGAGCCCCGAAGCAGCCCCCACCAGCGCTCTTAAACAAAGCCCCCAAGTCTAACCCTAAAAGAACCTACAAGGGGAATTTTTTTCGCCTATGAGTCTTGCATAATTGCCAGAACCTCTAAACCCTATAAACTCCTATAGGCTCTTTTGCCCCTGAAACACTTTTGAGGTCCTGTAACGCCCTGAAAGGCTCTGTGCACTCTCCGAGAAGCCCTGCAACCCTCAACCCTGAAAGCCCACAATATTGCTTGCTCCAAGGCCACAACACCCTGGCGCGGGTGACCACCAACATGGACTTGAGCACCTCTGGCTCACAAGTGCTCAACGGTTTAGAGTTTTACGGCTTTCTGACGGGACCCTAGACACGGATTCTGGTCCAGGCTTCTGCTGGTTTCCAATAAACCCAGCCCAAAGTGCTGAGTCACCTTCGGACCACCCCCAGAAGGCTATAGTAGGCCCCCTACTTGGAGGTTCCTGGGGAGTACTTGGGCAGGTGAGCACGTCGGGGTTGATTGAAAAACAGGGGGCCCTTGTGGAGGCCCCAATAATCGGACCCTCGAAACCTCCAAGTAAGCGTTCCCCGAAACCCTGAGCCCCAAGAACGCCAAACCCGAAAACACAATGTATCTGCGCCAACAAAGCCGGAGGCCTCTTGCGCTTAAACTTCGACCCATCGAGGTGCCATGGCACTTTCAGACAAAATTCCGAGGGTATCGGCTTGGGTTGAGGGCCCTGGGGTTGAAGCTGCTTGTGCCATTTGTGAAGGGTCCCGCCGAAGTGCTTGGAGCTCGGGAATGTCATATCCTAGTGTTGCTTACTAAATGCCAGTGTTTGGTGGCGTTTTTCGGTCTGGAGCTCATGGTTTTGGGCATTGGTTTCGGGTAAGCGACCTCGTAGAGTTTACATGCAAGCTCTGGGTACCAAGTAGAAACGTGTTTTTGATTTTTAAAGTTGCTTAGTTATAAGACCCTGGTTATACAGAGATTCGATGTAGCTTCTGGGCGTGCAGTGCATATAGCATGTCGGGTCGAAAGAACCCGTTCCCTGTTTGGGTCACTTGTTATATGTAGTACGCCCCCTTACATTTAGTGTGCCCCAAATGTCCGATAGTTGAGCGAGCTGACCAGGAAAACCTATCCTCGAACCCTGAGCCCTAAACCCTAAGATGGAACCGACTTATGCCCCAGACCCTGGAAACTCTAGGCCCCCCTCCCTTCGTCGGGCCTAACCCTAGAACCCGTACCGTTTGGGAAGTCAAGGCCCCTTGAGGTCGCAAGCGACCTTTCATCTTTTCGGGGGCTTACCTGGAGCTTCCTCAATGTTCGCAATTTACACCGGAGCTCTTCTTAGGATACTTGTAGCTTAATTAGCTAGGATCCATCCCAGAACCCCCCCCCCCCTCAAAACTCCGCCGAAGGCACTTCCGCCAGGTCTACTGCCTCGGGCGGGAGCTGGGTGAAGGGAGCTTTGGCTCCGTGCCGGGGAGCCCAGCTCGTGGGCTTTAAGGACAAGGGCGTCTTTGTCTTTGGAGGCTCATGATGTCAAGGATGCGAATAAGTCGGGTATGTGATAAACCCATAAAGGGTGCCTCACGTTTTCTTTCGTGTTCGAGCCACGAAACTCCAAGACTCCAAGAGTTCCAAAGTGCCGAAGCCCTATGAAATCCCGGGTCATGCCTAGGCTCTCATCCTTCAGTGCAATGCTCTTGCTCGAGTGCCAAGGTACACATGCACGCGACGTCTGACAGGGGAGGCTCGGTCAAAGTTGCTGATGAGGGTCGGGATTTGGGGCACCCTAAGCCGTAACCCTAAACCCTAGATTCTTGCCCGGGCCACTGTCCCATATCCTGTCCATTACAAGGGTGGGCAGCAACTGTTGATTCCCGGCAGCTTGCAACCCCTTTTGGGGCAAAAACTCATCTGCGCTGCTCTGCTGCCAGTGCGGTCTGGAGATTCCCGAAGTTTCGGAAGGCTTCTGGAGGCCTCTGGTCAACCTGCCTTGCGGTTTCCCGGGTGCTCCGGGTTGGTAGTGGCCTGCACCGTGCGCAGTGGGTAAGAAGAAATGGCAAGGTTCTCTGCGCTCTGGCTCACTGCTGTCATCGTTGCAGACTTACAATATGCCATATGCCACCAGCCCTACACTCTGGAGTCGTGGTGGCACCACATGGTGGCGCTACATGTGCAGGAGGTCTTCTTCCGGAAGACTGCCAAGCCCTAAAGGGGCCCTAAAGAGGCACATCTCTCAACCTTAAGGTTCGTGGTGACACACGTGGGCCCATGAGAAAGTCATGCTCTACTATGACACGATTTGGGGTAGATACTAGCTTCAGTCGTAACTACCTGTGAAATCCCATGAACTTGCAAGAAGCCTGCAATCCCCGGGCCAGTCGTGGAACCTTGCAGCCCGCCAGGTCGTTTGTAGTGGTTTGGGGTTTATGGGCTGTCCTTTATGCTTCGAAGAAGACGCAGAACCTACAAAGCAGCTTTTTCAGCTTCGAGGTTGAGGGCGCAGGGTTCCATCAGCTTCAACTCACGTCCTGCGGCTTCGATGCCGGAGCCTCCCTAAATCGCAAGCATGCTACGTCCGGCAATTCCCAGTTCGAACTTTACGCGTAAAGCCGGTTACACCATGTTATGTCGATGTGTGACTAACCTATAAGTAAGCCCGAAACCCTGAACACTGAATCTTGCCATAAAGCATGAACCCTCTCAACCCCTACTGCCTTGAACAGGAGCGGGCAGTGAAGCAGCTGCTGAAATCCCGCATGAAGGCTTGTAGAGTTGAGGGTTTGTGGGCGATACCCAGACCTCACTTGTCTTCTTGCGACTGTCGGTAGCTGGCTGGCCATGGCTTTGGTTTTTCAGACAATGCAAAGTTCGGAGTTTCGGTTTCCTAGGACCCCAAGAGCCCGTAGGGCATGGGGTTTTCGCTTTTCACTGCAGTTGGGTGTTTGGTTGCCTGATGCCCCGGAGCCTTCAAACCCTACAAGACCGCCAAGCTTCATAGGAGGCTTGAGAAGGTGTTCGCTTGGTTTCCTTGTACGGGGGGATGGTTGTTTTTGGGGATTCAAAGTCTTTAAGTGCTGAGCAACGAAAAAGTCCCAAACTGTTTTCACTGCCTTCATGCGGTCCCTTTATATCTAGGGTACCGTGAAGGGGGAACAAAATCTGGAGAGCTGACCACCTATATACCTTAAAGCTCAACATCAGCCAACCCCTGACAGCCATGGTCCCTTTCGTTTGGGGTTCGTGTTTTCATACGCCCTTGTACAATTTGGGTGCCCAAAAATGCATTGGCATAGGCCCTTGGATTTTGACAGGCTGCACTTCAGCACAAAAAACCAAGCCTCAAAGAAGCCCCCTTAATCATAGGTTGGGTTGTGTTTGCATGGGGTAGCCCAAATTCTAAGCCCCGAAATCTCGAATGGGTCTGGGGTTTCGGCAGGACGGAGGCGAGGATGTTCTAAATGAGCTGGAGGTCCTCGCGAAGTCTGGGAGCCCAGGGTTTAGGCTTTCGTTTTTCGCGTTGTTTTGATTCATGGTTTAGGGGTTTAAGTTTGGGGTGCAATTACTCTCCTACTATAGTAGTGATATAGGGAGGCATATAGGCCGAGGAAGTGAGCCGTAGAAACGTGTATCTAACAAACAAACAAAAACAAACAAACAAACCATATATATATATATATATATATATATGTATATATACACATACATATATACATATATACATATATACATATGCACATATATACATATACACATATATACATATATATATACACACACACCCGCATATGTAAAACATTTACAATCTGGATGTGAACATGTTTATACATGTATAAAATTCAAATGGACATGAAGTGACCCCAAAGTCCAAGAAGGCTTGGTCTTTGGATTCTGGGCCTACAACTAGGGCATCCTACCCTACAATTGTGGAGGGGGGGAGGAAGGAGGTTGAGGGGGGGGGGGGTGGGGGTGGGGCTCCTAAAGGGGTTTGCCCATCTGCTCGTGGGGAGGCTGGACCATCCCAACGTGGTGAAGTTTTTCGAGCCGTCGGCTTGGACTTGGAGGGTTTGGAAGTTTGGGGGTTTAGGATGTAGCCTAGGGGGTTGAAGGATCATTGTACGGGACTGAGGGCCAACGTTCAGAGTTAATGGACGTGTTAGTGTGGCTTATCGGGCAGGTAGGTTCCGAGACCCCCTATACCCCGAACTCTAAACCAATAAGTTCAGCCCCCCTCGCAACCTAGGCCAAGATGCACAAAGAGGTCGGAAAAATACAGGGTTTCTTTTTTAAAGCCGTGGCATGGCTGCAAAGTGGACTGCGCCCAGCCCCGTTTACCGGGGCTGGAGGGGACCCTGGCAAGGTTTTTCGAAGATGACCTTGCCGTGCTCGCTGTGACGGAGCTTTGCGAAGAGGTGCGTCATCGTGCCCTAAACCCGAAGCCCGACAGCCATACCTGGCACCGAGATTCGTAGCCATGGTTTGCAAGTCCAAAGCCCAAACTGCAACCCCTAAACCCTAAACCCTTGGAAGGTTTGGGTTTCCGGGGCAGGGAACTGCTGGCTGATTGTCGGACTTTAGGCTCAAACCCTGAAACCCTGAAGCTCCGAAGTCCTTCCTCAGGCCCTTTCAAACCCCAGACGATTGAGGCCGACTCGAACACTTGTAACTCCCTTGGCCCTCAGGGAGACTTCACCTCTTTGCTGCCGCGGGGCACTGCCGAGGAGACGGAAGTTGGGGGAGAAGGGGGGCGGGGTGTTCGCTCTGGCTTTCGGAGTTTGCGGGCTCCCCAAGGTTTGGCAGCTTAGGGTTTTGGGTCTGGTGTTTGGTTTTTTTGGCTTAGGCCTGTAGGGCAAAGCAGTTGCGATTTCCCAGGCAGAAGTGGACACCGACATGACTGCATGTATCATGCGTGCAGAAGTTACAGGCTGTGTACAAAGCGGCTGACGGTGACAATTGGACTCAGCGAAGTGAACCTCATGAGCATGTAGACCCTGGTCTCGACATACAGCGGTTTTGAGCAGTCAGGAACTTGTTGGCTTTGGGGTTTGGGGGGGCTTAGCGGTTTAGGACTTAGCTATCAGGGTTTTCGGTTTAGGGGCTACAGCGCCCAAGATTTGGCCCTGAAGCAGAGGAGTCCGTCCGCCTCCTGTGTCGACCTTGGCCGGTTGGGCGAACGGAAGCCTTATTGTCGGTAGCCTACGTGTATCCTACGTGTAGCCAGCGTGTAGCCAGCGTGTAGCCTACACCCCCTACACCCCCCTACAGCCCCTACAGCCCCCAAGCTCCGGCAGCCCTGCTGCTTGGTACCGAGTCGGGCTCGTTTTGAAGCTCCCTATGGAAGCTCGGTTGTGAAGCATTGGGAGTTGTAGAAAGGTATACCTACGTGGTCTCAAGGCCTCGGAGCCAGAGCTCTCTGGGCCGGGGGAGGTTCTAGGGGGGTTTAAGGGCGCTATCCAGGCAAATGAGGGCCTAAACTCCCTAAGCTTCAGAACGTAAACTCCAAACTTAATGGCCCGCAACCCTGAGATTTGAAAGCCCTCAAGTGATTTGACTTCCACCTGAACAAGGAACCCCTAAGCCTACCGAGAATCCCTGGACCTAGGACTATATGATCAAGAAGTGGTCCCCCCCAACTCGCCAGAGGTACAGGGACGTTATGTTGGGCCTGGCCTATTGCCACTCCTTCGGCATTGTTCACAGAGACCTGAAGTTCGCCAACTGCGCCAGGCTCCCAGAAGTTTGAGCAGCTTTGTTCAAATGGAGGAATCGGAACTTGGAGGTTCATGGCTACGTTTCAGCAAAATTATGACTCAGTTCTGCGAAAGGTAGGCTGTTCCTTGGGTACTCAACCTGAGTAAAGCTACAGTAAACCCTGACCCTAAGCCCTAACCCTTAAGTGAAAGCCCCACTGACCGACGTGTAACCACCACGAACCTACTAGTAGAGCCGTTGCCTGTTGGCTCCTGTCGGCCGAAGTTCCTAAACTGAGCCCCCCAAAACCCAGAACCACACAAAGACCATCCCAAAATCCTATATCTGTCCGAAAGCCCCGACAGCCCCAACCTGAAAGCCCCCCGAAAACACCGAAAGCCCAACAGAAACCCTCAGGTCGTTACCAAAGGGCACGACCGGGCGATGGCGAAGATCATTGACTTTGGACTCTCTGCCGGGGCTCCTGTTGAGGGTCAGGGGCCTGCAGAGGGCTTTAGAACTTTGTTTGGGGCCCTTTTGGGGAGTTTGCAGCACGAGCCGGCCCCGCCTCAAACTCACACCGCAAAGAGCATCAAGGAGCGTCAAGGAGCATCAAGGAGCATCAAGGGCATCCTCACAGGTTGTCCGGTTGGGGCCAACCGGAGGGTGGTGGCCGTGGGGGAGGGGAAGGCCAGCGGTGCCAAGCAGCTCAAGCTCACTGATGCTGACATGATGAAGTAGAAGCAACGCAGTGGAGGGTTTGAGGGGCTTAGGGTCTGATTTAAGGCGAAGTGGAGAAGGGGGGGGGGGCGGAGATTCAGGGGATAGTTCAGGTTCAGGGCTGCAGGCTCTGAGGGTTTAGGGCTGGAGGAGCTCGAGGGTTTAAGGTTTGAGGCAGAGGGTTTAAGGGTTGAATGGCTTCAGTTTAGGACTGGAGGAGCTGAAGAAGGGTAAAAAGCTTGAAGGTGCCGAGGGTTTATGGTTCAGGGGCTTAGGGTTTACAATTCGAGGGCTCAGGGTTCAGGGTTTATGGTTTTTTTGGGGTTAAGGCTTAAGGGGCTGAAGCTTTGCGATTGAGGTTTCTGCGCTTGAGAGGCTTTCGGTCTTCAGGTTTGAGCAGCTCAGGATGTGAGGCGCGAGGGTCTGGGGTTCACGGCTTGAGGGGCTTCAGGTTTGTAGGGGTTGAGGCTGGAGCGTGTGGGGTTTAGAGTGTCGGCTTGAGTGGATTCGGAGTTTTTGGTGGTTTTAGGGGTTTTGGGTTTGGTGGTTCCGGGCGGTTTTCGATTGTGCCGTTGTTGTTTCCGATGTTCCGCTGATTCGAATCTTTACATGCGAAGTACACGATGCTTCACCAAAGCCCCGAGAATTCGTGTGCCGAGCTTGCTTGCTCTTCCTCCTGCTGTGGTTCTCGTCATACAACCCCTGAGATGGAAGCACCCGTACGATAGGAAAATGTGTAGCTGGGTAGCGAGAAGGTTGAGTACATAACACAATCTACGAGTAGATAGGTTTGATCTTGCAGAGAAAAGAACATCATCTAATGATTCTAATGTTGTCTTTGCAGTTCATACAACACGCTTGCAATAGAAAGCGAGCTCAATGCAAAACTCCCGGAACTAAAGAAAACAAAAGCGCGGTGAAAAACAAGCAAGTACGGCAGCGTGCTCTTTCTACAAAAGGCCGGCCTTTTGCAAACAAGCCCCTCAGACCAGAGCAGCTTTAACACCCAAACCCTGTAATCAGTTAGGAATTTCGGCCAGCTCCCAGACCGGTTGAATCAATCATGGGGGGGAGGGGCGGGGGTAGCAGTAGGGAAGACCGTTTCTTGGGCGTCACGAACCCCAACGCGCAACCTGCGCGTGTTTGAGCCAGAATGTGTGGCGTGTCATCCTTGCGCGTATGTGGCTTGATAGAGTTAGAGCTCGTCGGGGCCATGTGCAGAGCATTGCCGCGGCACAGACTGACTGTGACTGTGTGACTGTGTCTACGAGTTCCAGTCAGCTCACGCCCCTGCTGAGCCTTGCCTGGCCTTGCCCATCCACCGACCGTGAGATTGTCCGAGTGGGAGTGGTGGCCGAAACCATGCAATGGCAGCATAGCACTTGTCGTCGTCTAATCGAAGGACAGACTCGATGAATTCCGAAAGCGGACGTACCGATTGCAGGCTCGTTGACACTTGTGCGAAGGTTTTGGTGGTCTAGGCTTAACAAAAGGCCCAAAACCCCCCAAACTCTATACCTTTAAGGACTGAAGCCCTGAGCTTCAAGCCCAGAATTACTTGCCCCCAGGTGTTCCGTCGGGCAGAAGATCAGGGCGAAGAATGGCTCTACGAGGACCGCTAGTTTTTGTGTTTTAGGGTGTTATGGTTTAGGGGTTTAGGATTTTGGGTTCTGGGGTTCAGGGGTTGCACGATTTTGGGGCTTAGAGGTGTAGGGTTTAGGGTTTTTTGGGTTCAGGGTGTGTCTGCGTTGGGCTTGTCAGGTTTTTGGGGTTTGTTAGTTTCTGTGTCGGGTTTAGAATGCTTTCGGTTTTAGGGCGTACATGTAACCTGTTTTTTTAGGGCTCTTCGGGCTTTGTAGCGCGCTGAGAGGGACCCTTCAGCAGCTCGACCTGACAAACCCATATCGATCATACGCATTCATACGCTATTCGGGGATCCCCAACAGTTCCAACATTTCAGATCAAGCCCGTAGTTGTTACAGCTCCCGTGCACAGACCTGCGGCACGGCTGCTTTCCAAGCACCGGAGGCCTGCTGGGTTTGCCGCGGGTTTTAAAGCTTAAGGTCCTTCAACGCCAAACCCAGTATACTGTGAATAAGGGTGTTGGGCATATGACAGGCCAGGGTTGAGGCTTCAGGTTGCGTTGCGGCCCTTTTCTCAGAGCTTACGGGATTGAGGGTTCGGGGTATGGGGGCCTCGGGCGCTCCCTGCGCTATGCGTGCTTCTCCCTTCGTAGCTGTGCCTGTCTGCCTCTCTGCCTTCTTGCCAGAAATCAGTGCGCGTGCGCGTGCGCGTGCGTGCACGTGCGCGTGTGCGCGCATGCGCGCATGCGCGTGCGTGTGCGTGTGCATGTGCGTGCGTGTCCCAACCAAAAGAGGATCACCGGCACACCCCGCCAAATCCCAGACTCCCAACAGTCCGGGGTGCCCAAGTCGTGACTTCCCTGCTCAGAACCAACATAATCACTTGCGAACTCATGGGTATATTTAGGCTTTAGGGTCAAGTGACCCATACCACAACTTTCGGGTAGTTACTTGCAACATATAGCCCCCCCCTCCCCGAGTTCTAGCTGCCCACAAAGTAAGCAAACCTCCAAGCAAAGTCCAAAACCCACCCTAAAACCCTGAAACCCTAAAACCCTCAAACCTTAAAAACCCTGGAACCCTACAAAACCCTAAACCCTTAAACCCCTAAAACGCAGCCTCGAACTAAAGGTCTTGGAGCGAAGCTACGGCGAGAAGTGCGATGTCTGGTGGGCGGGCCCAGAGCCCTACTCGGGGGGTCGATTTCGGGGTCCGTTGGGGTTCCAGGGGTTTTAGGGTTCTAGGGGTTGAGGGTTGTATCCCCTAAACCCAACCCTACAATTCAGCGGATTTGGGGATTCAGGGTTCCAGGGCCTGAGGGTGCAGGGTTGGAGGGGGTTCAGGGCATCAGCTTCTTGGACTTGAGGGTTCAGGGCTGGGCTTCAGGTTTTGGGTTCTAGGGTCTTTTAGGGTTGAGGGGTTGACATGGGATGCTGGGCTTTGGTTTACATAGGATTCTGGGCTTCAGGAAGCATATGCATTTTGCATTCTGCGGGTCTCCCGGGTTATACGGTGTAGGGTCTAGGGTACGGTTCAGGGTTTAGTGGCCCTAATGCCCTAAACCCTCAACCCTTTTCGGGCTCTGAGCAAGCGACCTGGTAGACGTTCACCAAACCAGGAGAAAGTCGCTTTTTGTGTAGATTGAGTCAGCAAGTCGAACATGTCAACCAACGTCTCAGCCCGCCCAGTGTCGGGTTTAGGGAATATGCTGCGCGTGGGGTTAGGTTCAAACAGAGTGCATTTGGCTTGATACTGATGGTAATGGAAGTCAGGACAGAAAGACACCACCGACAGTGTCGGGGCTTCGTGCTTTCGGGCTGCGTTTAGGGCTGAGGGGGTTGGGGTTTCGGGATCCTCCGTAAGATTCTGCAAGAGCAAGGGGCTGTGTTTAAACCCCAGCCCTAAACTCCACCTGCAAATTCGAAAGAGACCCCTTGACTTAGGTTTCTTTTTTTCAGTCTATCTATTTTTGAGGAGCGATAAAACGGCCTTTAAGCCCCCCGCGCAAGGCTCCCAAAGGCCCCGCAACTTTCAAAGGTCTTTTGGCATCATGGTCCTGATGCAACTGCAGGCTAGGGGTTTCGGGTTACGGCTTTGTTTGGGTTGGGTGTTAAGGGGGCTCAGGGTTTTGGGGGGTTCGGTTTCGGGACTTTGGGCTGGATTTGCGGCTTTGGGTTCAGGTAGAATTGGCCCCAAAACTTTGAATCGCAGGGAGTGCCCGGGTTTAGCTAAATCCTCAAGCCTCTTGAGCCCACTGCAAACTGGTCCCTAACCCTGAACCCGAATGAAGCCCGAACCCCTTACCCCGAATTCTGCCGTAATCCCTAAAAACCCAAATCTGTAAACCCGAAACCCTGCCCACTCCCAAAAAAGCCCGAGATCTGAAAGTGGCGCTTGTTTCGCGCAGGGCTCCGACGCCGCCCTCGCGCGCGCGGCCTCTTTCGGGCCCGGCCCTCAGATCCTGCAGGACTCCCTGGACTACTGGCTTGTGGTTCAGGGTTTGGAATGGCTGAGGGCTTTACGGCTTGAGTGTGTTTTTGGTTCAGGGTGAAAAGCCTAGACCTCGTCAGGCCCTGCGAAACCAAAAGCCTTAAAACCCTCACAGCCCTTAACTTCGTCACCTCATCCGGAAGCTTGTGCTGAGGTCAGCGCGATTCGAGCAGTTGGAGATGCACATGGACCTGGGGGGTCGCAGGGGGAGGGGGGGGGGCATATGGGGGCCAAGTGATGCACAGCCTTAGCCGCAGGCCGAAGGTACGACCGTTGGGTCTAAATAGCTGAAGCCTTAAAACTTCCCTAAGACGCAACCCAAAGCCAGCCAAAACCCGCAGCTCCCGGCCTCCGCAGGACGCGATGTCCCGGGAGCTGGAAGGCAACCAAGCCTTCCGGTTGGCCTGAGCCCTAGCTTGCAGCGCAGAGAATGTTCCAGGGAGCCTGAACCTTCTAAATATCCCCCGGATTGGGATGTTCCCCTTTTACTAACAGTCCTTAGTAGCGGTTAATGTCTGTAGTGAAGAAGGAGAATCTCTACGGCAGCCATATCAACTCTCCAGTTCGTCGCAAAATTCGGCACCTCGATCTCGGATGAGATATGTTTCACACTTCCTTTATTACTTGTGTGCTCAAAGACAGATTATCGCAAACGAAAACCGCGAGTTATATGGTTGAGTTTTCTCTTCAATGTTCAGTCTGCTGCGAAGTATCCTCGTGATTCTACACGATCTCCGGTTGCACAGGAAGATCGCATCTGTTCTGTGGACCTCATCACCAGATTTGTCCAGGTTGTTGACCTCTGGTGGCATCGGTAGACAAATCTAGGGGTCCTACTAGTTGGAAACTGCAACCCTGGTGAACAATTAGGCCTCATTTCCCAGAGGAATTAACGCCGCAGCTGACCCCCCAACCAGGCCCAACGACTCCTTTGCCGAGATCCGGCAAAGCGGCCTGACGCACAGGCCTGCTGAAGAATCTCAGGGCCAGGTTGTTCAGGACCCTATACCCTGAACCCTAAACCCTAAACTCTAAACCCTAAACCCTAGAGGCTAAGGTTTTGAGAGCTTGCTGAGTTTAGGGTTTAGAGCTGAGGGTTTCGGATTCTGCTCGGCTTTGGGGCTTCAGGGTTCGGAGTTCGGGGCTTGGCCCCTTCCCCTAAACCCCAGAGGGTCCTTTTCAGAACTTTCTTCGAGGTCCATTATGGGCACCATATGTACACAGGGTTATTGCAGAGTGTATTTTACTTATGTCCCTGCTTTTAGGTCCAGTTCCCTTGTATGCTAAATCCAAGCTTTCACCACCACATCGGGTATCAAAGTTCCAGATCCGTTCGCAAGGGATCAGTTCAAGCACCTTCGCCTAGATCCCGCGATGGGAAGGAAACGCCTAAACTTGCTAACCTCACTTGGGTCCTTGAATTTTACACGTTGAACCCCGAACCCCCAAGTATGTAAATTTCAAGTCGGATCCACATACCATTTTTGGTTTTATGGCTCACGAACTGTACTGCGTAAAGATCTCAAGTTTATGTGCATTTTAAGAACAAGAAAGCCTAGCACCAACATCAACAACACACACATATTGTTCCCAAAGCCCCAAAGCCCCAAAGCCCCAAAGCCCCTAAGCCCCTAAGCCCCTGACCGCGAAAGGCTGCTTTAAAGACCTCCTGGCTTCGGTGGCCGGCTCAGGGCTGCGAGGGACCTTTGACGCCAAACCCTAGAGCCCAAACCCTAATCCCCACAAAGAAGCCCTAACCCTGATTCCTAAAACCTTACACCCCAAACCCTGAACCCCACAAAGAAGCCCTACCCTGAACCCTAAGCTGATTTGGAGTTGGGGGGTCGTTACTTTGACAGGTGGACGTCTAACCCGAAACCCCTGAACCCTCTTATCCCCTTAAACCTTGAGTCTCGAAACCCCAAAGCCTCAAACGCTAGACATGGGTAAATGTTTATGTTTTGAGTATAAGCTCTGAGGGGTTTCGCGGGGTCATGGGGCTCGCTGGGCACTGCTGAGTCCCTCTCTGGCTCCCTCCCTCTCTCTCCCCCTCTGGCTGTCTCTGCGTTTGCTTGTTTGCCTTATTTTCACACGCGTATGGGTTGTTTTGCCTATCCGCCTGTTTTCTACGACAATGTTCCACACCTGCCGAAGTGGCGATAGTAGAAACCAAGCTGGTAGCCAGAAAAGTATATGTTAGTAAGTACATAGTATATGTTTACATAGGCACTCGCTAGCGTCCAGAGACTAGAGTCACTAGAGTATCGGAATACAGCAGCCCAGGCCACCAAGTGTGCAAGCGCAGGAGGCGGGCGGCAAATTTTTGGGGGCGGTGCCGGGGGGCCTTGTGAAGTTGTTTTGTTTTGGGGGAGGGGGGAACGGCTTTTCAAGGCCATGTGGAGTCGGGGAGCGCCAGTGCTCCGTAAATACCCTAAATCCCAAACCCTAATCTCGAGACCCTAGTGCCAAGCCCCCAGCCTGAGTCTGTGACCACTTTGCGGATTGATGATAAAACAAATGGTGGGTCTGCAGTTGAACCCTAAGGGACACTTCTAGTTTGTCCAAATGGTGGAAGACGGTGGGGGGGGGGTGAAGGGGCTTAGCGGTGGTTTAAGGCATAAGACTTAAACTGAAAGCCTTAAATCGCTTAGCTTAGGGCTTAGGTTGGGTTTGGGACTCTGCTCCTGTGTCGAGGCGGCCCCAAACAGCCTGACGCGAAAGGCGGGGCGGGACTGAACAAGTTGACGGGGCTGTCTGCAAGGATAGAAGGGCTAACGCTCATTCAACGCGAAGCCCTCGAATCACCGGCTAAACCCGAAACCCAGAACCCTGAACCCTGAATCCCCTGAAACCTTCAACCCTTACACCCTTAGAACCCTGAACTGTCGAGCAAGGACAGCAGTTCTCTGCGCCGAAGCCTCTCAGCCTACACGAAGCTCTCGCACTTCGACAAGGCCGTGCTTGCCTTCTGGAGTTAAGAGAGTTTAGGGTTCAGGGCTAAGGGTTGAGGATATGGGGGGCGTCGGGGTTGTTTATGGTCTGGGATAGGCATGTTCACAGGTTTCTGCTCAATGTCGTGCCCTAAGCCCTGCGGCCGGGGTTCAGCTAAAGTCCTGAAAGCCGTACAGCCATCCCAAAACCCGAAAAACCCGCACAAGCCAAAGAAAACCCTGGAGTCTTTCAGCTGAAGGTCACTGTCCGAACTTAGGTTGGCTTCTGTTTGTCATCAAGGGCTGAAGGTTTTGTTTTCGGGGATTGGGGGAGTTTAGGGGTTTGGGGGTTTTCTGTTTGGGTGGTTGAAGGGCTTCTTCGGTGCTGCTTCTCCCCTGCTCTGAGGGGTTTAGGCTTGAGGGCAGGGTTTTAGGGGTTTGGGGGCCAAAATGGTAGTTGTCAAAGGAGGGATACATTTGATTTTCCCCAACATGAGGGGAAGAGCTGGTTCTTAAGCCTTTACGCCCTGAGCCCTCCTAGTCCAGTTCGTGCACGAGGTCGTTCTGCTGATGGCGTCAAACGTGTCGTCAGCAGCTCATTCTTCTCAGAAGCTCTGGGGTTGAGGGGGGAACCGGGGTTGGAGAATTTGCGGGTCGTTTTGAGGCACAGCTGCACTCGGGGCTGGAAACTGTCAAGTCCTCCCCACCGCCCTAGGCCCAACGCACCCCTCCCTCAAGTAGGGCTTCATGGTGTAATCTCTACGCCTTTCGAACCGCCCCCCAAGCTCGTCATCCTAGATGTCCTAGACCCTAGAAACCTATCTAGGGCACGGCCCTGGGTTGCGTCCCGCCCCTGGTACAGCTAGCTGTGAATCTCCAAGCAAAGTTCTAAGCCCGAAAACCCTAGAAGCCTGGGGCCAAAAGGCCCCAAAGCCAGAAAGCGTAAACTCGAAGACGGGTTTAGGGTTTAGGGTTACCCTAAACCCTAAACCCTAAACCCTAAACCCTAAACCCTAAACCCTAAACTCTAAACCCTAAACCCTCTTTGGTGCAGGGCTCAGCGCAGCGACTTCTGCCGCAAGACGTCGAAGATATTTATGTGGCCGCCTCGGGTTGAGAGTTTTTTGGGCCTTAAGAGCTTAGCGTATCGGTCTGTTAGAGTAGGGGTTTGGGGGTTTACAGTCGACAGTTTGGGGGCTGGGGATGTCAAGCTTTCAGGGTGTGTATAGTTCGGCGTAGACATGTTTGGTTCTTTGAACCCTGATCGGGTGCCCCAACTATGAGGCGCCAGATAGTCAGGAGTTTACCGCATGGCCCCTTAACGCTCAAGTTAAAGACTCGTCTCATGCAGGAGTCTAAACCACTACCATTGTTATCCCTTTGGACTCCCTCTAATTGAACTGCAAACTATGCAAAAATCCGCATTTTATTCTGAGTGGCCGCTACATTAGTTCTGTCAACTAAGGCGCCTGGAGGGGGAGAGGTTCGGGCTGGGGTTCTAGGCTTTCGGGTTTGGGTTTTTTGGTTTGGGCTTGCCGGTTAAGGCCTTTGAAAACAACCTTGTGTCAGGAGGGACAGTAGGTGCCTTAGAGAGCCTTCGCTTCCACCAAAAGGTCAGCCTGGGAGGCTCCATACTCAGAACCCTCCCAAAAAATTATGATTCTGTTGACGAAGTTGGATTCCCATCGGTCTTTCTAGAACCCCCAACCCTCAACCGCAACCCTGGGCCCTCCCGCCCCAAATCCTAACCCTGCACTCCTAAGCCCCCCCCGAAACCCTGCAATCCTAAACTCTAAACCCTCTAAGCCCTAAACCCTAAGCCCACGCCCGAAGCCTGAACCCAATAAGCCGTAAACCCTGACCCCAAATAAACCCCAAACCCTACAAGCCAACAAAAGGTCCACAGACACCGACTCAAGCGGCTTCCTCAACCAAGAGGAGCTCCGACGTGGCCTGGGCAAGCTTGGCCTAGGCGAAGAGGGGGCTTAGGCCTTTTTGGAGTTCAGGGCTTTTTTTGGGGGTTTGGGGTTTAGGGGGGCCTTTTGGGGGCTTGCAGGCGTTTAGGGGTTGAGGGGTTCAGAGTTTTAGGAATTTAGGGTCTTAGGATAAACTTGTGGTGTTGATCTCTTTTTTGTATGGTGATGGGTACTACGACTGTTGTTCTAACTATTGCGATTACGCCTTTGAGGGCTTCGCAGTGGAGATGCTAAGCCTGCCTACGCCGTGCTCCAGACCAATCAAGCACATGCAAATGCGGGAAAGGAAGGCCGCACTTTTTTCAGCCTTCTTCTGTGAACGTGGCCCTTGGCTGCTTTAGCGTGAGCAGCGCCTGCGATTGGCAGCCAGCAGTTTCTACTGTCATGGATGCCAGAAGAAAAGTGGCGGACGGAGGCTTTGAGATTTAGTTGATATTTCAGGGTTGCAGGCTTAGAATCTACAAGCTTCCGGTTTAGTGTCTACAGGGCCTGGGGCACAGCAGGGGTTTATGATTCTGGAGCCGAGGGCTGTGAAGGGTCGTGTGATCCATACTCATGAGCCCGAGCCCTAAACCCTAAGCCCTTGTCTCCTGAACCCCTGACCCTCCAAGCCCTGAACCCTACACTTAAAGCTCAAGATGGCAAAGGGACCTGCGAGGCTCCGCACGCCCAGCGTTTCGGGTCCATCGGGCGTACAAATAAGTCGGGGTGTTTATGCGTGGTTGATGGGTGAACAAGGTCTGTCCCCCCCCCAAACCTTGCAGCCCGAAACCCTACACCCCAACCCCCCCCACGAATCACAAAGCTGCCAGGTGCCCTAGCGGCCTGCGGGCTAAAGGCGCGAGGGCATGACCCGGGGGGGGGGGGATCGGCGGGTGGGGGTGGGGCGGGGGTTGTCTCAGGCTAAGCCCAGCCCTCAGCCCTAGAGTTCCCGAAGCCCAGCAACTACCAACATGGTACCACTTCATCGTTAGAACCTAGACATCGCAGCAACTCCTACAAGGGCCGGGCCCACAAAGAAAGCCCCAACATCAGGGGTGGTCTACCTGCAAGCATACAGGGGCGCATGAATCCTTAGCAAGACTTGGACCTGAACCCTTAACCCCTAAACCCCTTCATTTGGGTTCCCTTGGGGGCATCCTCCTCGTAATGAAGACTGTGACAGTCCAGAATCGTCAAGGCGGATGATGCCGAAGCAGAAGGCCAGCAGGGGTTGAGGCTTCAAGCTTTACGATTTCAGTGTTGTAGGGCTTTGAGATGTGAGGGATAGGGGTTGATCATACAATCCTTGTCTGAATTACTCTTATCCAGGAAATCGTAAGGACGCACACGATGTTGTCGGTGATAGTCCTATAGGGCCTCTCCTCGAAACCTGGCTGAGCCCCGGGGCCTGTATGATAATCATAATGCCCATATCTGGGGGTTTGGGGACGGCAGTTTGGATAACCTCGATCACTTTTGTTTGCCAGAGGAGCAGCTTCACCCTACACCTCCGAGCCCAACTCCAAGTCCCCTAAACCCTATAAGTCCGAGGGTCTTTCGGGTTTTGGGCTTCATGACCTCAACCCTGCAAGCTCCGAGAACCCAAGCCTCCCTTGCAGAACTCTGGCGCGCGCTGGACGCCAGCGAGGACGGGCGCGTCACTCACAGCGAGTGGGTGAGCACGGCGCCCAGCTGTGGCGCCGAACCCGGAACCAGACCCCAAATTCTCCCAGGGGCTTTTTACACAACCCAATGGGCTCGCCTGCTTCGAGTGAAGGCGCCACATTGGCTCCCGGCGCGCTCAAGTCGGCCAAGGTTGCCCAGGACTTCCCCCCTCAAAGCCCCAATATGCCCTTGGGCTGAAAACCCCCAAGGCCTACGAGGGTTGGCGTTGTGGGGTTTAGGATTGTTGGTTTGTGTTTTTATGTTCGAGGTTCAGGGCTTGTGGCTTTGGAACTTGGGTGTTCGGAGCTGCGGGGTGAAGGGATTTCGGGTTTTGGGGTGTATGTGAAGAGGAGCTCTTTAAGGGATCCGATTGAGCGCCGGGCACAAAAGAACTCAACAGCCCGAACGCTTGATTTTCTGCGTTCCCACGTTCCTTTCCCCAAGCCCTAAACCCTGAACCCTAAACCTCTTTTCGTTAGTCCTCTATTAAACCCCAAGCCGCCATCAGAGTCGAAGGAGCTCTTTGCCTGGCTGGACACGGATGGCAGCGGTTCAGCCGCCGGGTGGCACTTCTTTGCGGGGGATTTGGGGTTTAGAATTTACGGCTCAGGGGCTTTGGGGGCATTCTAAGGGGTTTGAGTGTTTTTTCAGGTTTTCCGGTTTAATTGTAGCGTCCTTACGGGAGGGTCCAAAGATCCTCGGGTTTCCAGGATTTAAATCAAATCCTGCGCCAGAATCCTTCAGCTAACCTTGTTAAAGGTCCACTTGCAACCCCAACGCAAAAAGTAGACCAAAAACCGTCAAGAACGTGTTCCTTCTTTAAGGAATCCCACGCAACAAAGCGGCCCTGCAGCCCTGCTTTAGTTGAAACCTCAGGTGAGCCTGCAGGAGCTGAGGCGGCTGGTGTCGGAGGAAGATGCCTTGGAGGCGAGGTGAAGGGCACAGGATCCCCACCACAACCGCAACTCCATGGCTCCCTAGACCGTTTTTGGAGGTGGCTCCGGATTTGCGCTTTATTTTTTTCGCACCAGACCAGGACGCTGTCACCCCTCAACCCCTCCCCCGCTCCTGCCCAAACCCTGAACCGTACAAGCCCAGCCCCGCAACCCAAAACCCTCGTAAACAAGCTCGCAATCTTCACTCAAATTCAAAAAAAACACGGCGCCGAGCCTCCTTGAACCCTAAACCCTGATTGTGAACCTGGCGATTTTGCACATGGCGTTTCTGGGTGCAACCTACGAAAAGGTGGAAGGCGGAAAATTAGGTAGTTGGAGCGCACGCATTCGCCGGGGGTGACTTTCTGCGCTCAAAATCAGCACTGCCACCAGGCTTTCGCGTTCTGTGTGTGATCGAAAAGTGACGCGCGCGCAGCGATGTTTACGATAGACTACAGTAAGTCCGATTTTCGAAGTCCTTGCTTCTTTGCTTTTTGAACGCATTTGCTGATTGTTTTCTGCCTCAGGTCATTGGACGTACAGGTCAGTTCAAATCCATGGCTTTCGTGTCTTCGCAACAACAAAGAGCAGGGACTGTGACGAGTTCGATGTCGCGCTGTGTTCTTTTTCCCTGGGCTTTCCTAGACCCTAAAACCCTAAGCCCTGAACCCTAAACTCCCAAGCCCCAAGCTTTACAAACCCGTAGATGCCCAAGTACATACCCCAGTTCAAAGCAAGTTTCACGCCCTTGTTAAAGCCAGGTCCTGGATTCTGCCGACACCTCCCGGGACGGCCTGCTTAGCTTCGAGGTGAGGGACGTGGGGGCTAGGGGTGAGGGGTTGCTTCCGTTAAAAGAGGTGCTCAGAGCTACCCACCATCTCCAAGGAGGGCTTCCTGCGCTCTAAGCCCTCTGACCATGAATCTAGAATCTAGATATACATGCTGCAGCCCCTGTTCTTTCGCCTGAAAGGAATGAGCTCTGAGAGCCCGCCAGTTTTCAGGCTCCATGCATGCCTTCTACATGTCGATAACCCCCTGAACCCGAATCTCCTGAACCCTCAACCAAGCCCCAAACCCCAAGCCCAAAACCCTGTGAAGCCCTGAGCCCTTTGGGGTCAGCTTTGAGCCGTTCCGGAGGAGTTCACCTACCTCATCCGTTCCATCGCCCGCGCCCGATCTCTCCTTCTGCTTCAAGAGTTGTAGGGGTCAGGGTTTCAGGTTTTTCAGGTCTGCGGCTACGTACTGGTAAGGCAACGTGTTATGCTTGATGGGGTACAGCCAGTTAAAGCCGCCTCTGAACCCAGAAACCTGAATCCTTAGCCATGGAACCCCCCAAGCAGCAAGCAGCGAAAATCCCAAAGCCCTGAAGCACCCCAAAACCCAACCTTGTGCCCCCAACCCTAACCCCTTCGACCTTATGCCGTGGACTCCTAAGCCCTGTAACCCTCCAAACCCTGCACCCCCTGTACCCTTAACATCTAAACCCTCGAACCCTCTAACCCTCTTGTCCGATAACTTGACACCCGTGCCAAGGCCAGCCGCCGCTACGGCGAGGGGCTGGCGTCCAGTAGCGACAGTGAGGACGAGGCAGCGGACTGATCCCCGAATTGGGGATCTGGGCTTGGGGTTTAGGGTTTAGGTTTGGGGTTTAGGGTTTGGGGTGTAGGGTTTAAGGTTTAGGGTTTTGCGGTTCAGCATCCACCCAGCCATTGCCACATCATCAGGTACAATACATCACATCAAGCCAAGATGCGCCAAGAAACAAATTATTAAGCCAAGATGCTCCTGTACCGAGAAAGAACCTTCAGCGAAGACGCGCCCACAAGCAATCAACCGCAGGTATGCCTACCTGCACGAAACCCTGTAAACAAGACCTTCTTAAAAGGGCTTCCCTTATTGGCTTCGCTTGAAGGCTGCCGGCCTCCTTTAAGGGCCTCCTCTAAGGTTGGCTTCAGGGGCTTCCTTGTAGCGGCTTGCTTTTGGGGGGCCTGGTGTGTAGACTTTAAACGGGTATCCGGCTATGACCACACCCGCATCAGGCCTCATATTTCATATATGAAAGAGAGAGTGTAGGGGGGGTTTAGAGATTAGGACTTAGGCCCGAAACGCTTGCAAATCAGGGGCCCAAGGGCCCCATTAGGTGGTAGCTGAACTCCGCAGTGCGGAGCTAAGCCGTGAAGCCCCGGCCCCGCACCCCAAGCCCTGCGCCCTGCGCCCTGAGCCCTCAGCCCTGAGCCCCCAAGCACAAGCCCTGACGAGGAATCACCTTCGGCAACGGCGCCGACGAGTGCAGAGTCGCAAAATGCTTGCCGCGCAGTTCCCAAACTTCTGGCCACCCTTTTGATTCCAACACCTTACACCCTGGGTGTACTTGTAGGTTCACGGGCGAAAAGGAGAGCAAGCATTCTGCAACCCTATTTAGGACATAACGCCCTCCCCCCCCCACCCTCCCCGCCAGATTCTTCAGATGCCAAGATATTTGTTTTGCAGCTTCAGCGTTAGCGATTTATTTCCCGGGGTTTTTTCGACGTCTGATGGACTTGGCCAGCTGTTCAGACGAAGCTGCCCAAGCAGGGTTTCGGGTTTTGGGGCTTCTTGGATTGTGAGGGTTTGCAACCTCAACCAGCAACCACTTCGAACCCTAAACCTTCAGGGTCTGGGTTCCGGAGGCGGCCAAAGAGCTGCCCACGCCACGGGCCACGCCGCTGGGCAGGCAGGGTTCAGGGTTCAGGGTTGAGGGTGTAGAGTTTAGGGTTTGTTGGTTAGGCCGGATAGCTTGCTGGTTTGGTATTTGGGGTTTTCAGGGTTTGGGGCTCTGGAGGGCTGGGGTTTCGCATCTGGAGTTCCATGATTCCAGGCTCTTGTGGTCTTAGTCTCGGGGTTTAGTGCTGTTGGTCCACGCTGATTGCAGGGCCCCTCGATTGAGGTGTACGTCTTATAGCTCTGGAATCTTGTTAGGGATAGGGCTTGACTAGGGCTTCTTTCTTTGTTAAAGCTCGAGTGGAGGACGATGAATTGGCGGCTGGACAACTTGCCCCCCGCCATGCGAAAAACAATGTGACACGCCCGGGACCTCAGCGAGTGTGTCGGATTGTCGGTTCGGGTCGAGGGGTATAGGTTTAGGCTCCAGAGCTTGAGTGTTCGGGGTGGCGGGGGGGGGGCGTCAAGGAGAAGAGTACCTCGGGAATCTTGAGGAACTTTAGTCAGTAGTATGGATCAAAGGGTTACCTCCCTCCGACCTTACGATTGGGCCCCTTCAACGCCTCGTAAGTCGGGGAGAATGCAGCACAGGCGAGTGCGCCGAGTCGTTTCACCCTCCGTGAGCCGTTGCGTTAACCCTAAGCCCGGAATTCCTGGAGAGCAAGATGCGTCCAGGCAGGTGTCCAAAGGGCCACCGCATCTGAAAGCGAGCTCCAATCTCAGCCCAAGAGTACCAAAACCCTAAAGCCTAAGCCCCCCTAAGAACGGCCCAGCTCCTGCAAAAACCCCAAACCCCAAGGCTTAGGGTCTAATGCTTAGGAAGCATGAGCTACCCAAGCCCCCCCAACCCTAAACCTGAAAAGGCCCGAAATGCTTGGAGCACGCCGGATGCTAAGGGGAAGTCCTCACAGCGGTGCGCCTTAAAAAAGTTGAAGTGGGCGTTGCAAGGCCTAAACTCTCAGACCCTCAACCCGACATAGGATTTTGAAGGTGGCTAGTGGGTTTACCAGCAAAGCTGAAGGAGCCAGTTGACAATGTTGGAGCTTGATCCAGGAAAGTCTGCAGGGCAAAAGAGTTCAGGGCTTTACAGGGCTCAGGGATTGAGAGCCTATGTGGTTCAGGCCGTCGCTCTTCCGCAACATGGTTGAGGCATAGAACTCTGTGCCCGGCGCATGTGCTCCATCTTCCAACCAGCTGCAGAGAGTAGCACTCGAATTGTGAGGCGCAACTCCAGCAACTTTGAGTCCCCAGCCACCCACTTAAGGGCCAAACCCTCCGTTCACAATTCGCAATGCCCAGCAATCTCAGCAAGCTCAGTACCGGAAATGTGGTGATCCCCGATAACTGATCATCTTCAATGCTCCGCATTCACCCACCCATGGCACGTGGCAGCCGCGCTTTCCGCTGGGGCCGCGTGCTGCAGGTGGGCAGAGTTTCTGGATAATGTTGAAGACTGGGAGTTTGTTTGCTGTCGCCACAGTCGTTTTGTGGGGCATCTGTCTGTGAAGGTGGATTCTTGCTGCTTGAAGGTAGGACAGCTTTCCTACAATTGCGGGTTGCGTGAGAGCAGGAGTGGGAGCGAGGGAGCGCTTGTTTAGTCGTTAGATTTAGACCTAGGGAGTGAGAGAGCGAGGGAGCGAGGGAGCGAGGGAGAGAGGGAGAGAGGGAGAGAGGGAGAGGGGGAGGTCATTGGAGTTCTTGGCTGAAGTCGAGAGCAGCTGGTCAAAACGGCCCTAAACCCTACGAAGCCGCAAGTTTCAGGTGGTGCTGTGGCCTGCCATGGCTGCCAGCCTCGCGTTCAGCTGCGTCAGCGGCTTGGGGTGATGGGGAGGTAGAAAAAAACAGAAAACTTGGGCTTTGGGCTGTCGAAGACTCTGAAGCTCTCAATTCACGGATGCGTCAAAAAGGATTAAGACTTGGGGTGCAAGGTTTTGTTCTGGTGGGGTTAAGCCCTCAACCCGAGGATCTTCTCCAGCTGAAAGCTGGTTGAACACCAGAACCCCCATTCTGCTTCCGCCAGAACCACTCTCAATCGTAGACGGTGAGTCTAGGCAACCTGTTGATCTGTTTGGACTGCTTTTCGCAGCCGAAGCCGTAGGCCTTAAAACCTGAACTTGGCTCAGGTTCATAGCACATTTGGGTTAGACTCGCAGACGAAGTCATTACGACTGCCCGCGAACTTCCCAGCACTAGCCTATAGCTAGACACAACGTAGCCCAAGCTAAGCCACCTCGCCCTCGAAGATGCGGGGCGCAGCTGGACATTGAACTGCAAAACCTCAGACCTTGGACCCCCTAAACGTGCTTGATATCCTCTAAGCCTGTCGGAACCCAGGTCCCCCGCCGTGCTGGCGCGGGAACTGTGCCGCTCGCCCGGACCTGTAAGCGACCGTAGGGGACCCATTTTTAAGCAATCCGTGAAGGTTCGCTTGGCCGTCTCAATGTGGAGTTTCCTTCCCGAAAACGAGCTTTGCAACAAGGACCCAAAGCGACGGAAGCTACTTTTGTGACCCTCAAGCCGCGACAGTTCTGCACACCGAAAGGCTACCCATCCCTGCAACGCTTTCGCGGCACGACGCGGACCACGGAATGGCTTTGGCACTTGAAGCGACGCAAGCACCATGTCCAAACCTGTGAACCTGACTATTCTTGGAGGCTCATGGGTACTTATAGAAGTAATTGGGACTCGAGTAAAACACGGACACCTCCAGTTATCTTCATCGTAATCATGGCAATAATCATACACACTGACAATAATCATACTGATAATGCCAATGAAGCAGGGTCGTACTGGCAGAACCCTGCGTAGGGCTAGCTACTTAGAGCCCCAGCAACAAACGGAAAACACCCAAAACCCAAAACCCAACGCAAACTCTAGGCTCCGTTCCAAAAACCCTGTAAACCCCAAGCACTAGCCCGAAACGCCCCAGACCAAAAGGGCCCACATTTTTTGTGGTCTGTTGCTGCGCAGGCAGTTTGTGGGGCAGCCCTAAACCCTAAGCCCTAAGCCCTAGGACGACAAGCCGGAGCTGGCGACAGGTCCATGAGGACGCCCATTGAGGCTTTTTGGGATGTTTAGGGGTGAAGGGTTTAGGTTTTGATGAAGGCTTGAGGAAGCTTTTGCCGGGTGGGTTGGGGGTTCAGTCTTTGCTCAAACCTAAACTCTGAACCATTGACCTTGCAACCCTCCCCCACCCCCACAAGAGAAAGAAATCACAAACAACCCTAAACCCTACACCCTAAACCCTAAACCCTAAACCCTAAACCCTGAACCCTGAACCCTGAACCCTGAACCCTGAACCCTGAACCCTGAACCCTGAACCCTGAACCCTGAACCCGAAGCCCTAAACCCCCAGCCGCTGGGAGCGGAGGAGGCCAAGGGCTTGGAGCAGCGCCTCAAGGCCGCGATGCTGGAGAGCAGCCAGAGGGCAGCAGACCCAGAGAGGCTTCTTCAAGGGGGGGGTTTCGGGGGGTTTCGGGGGGTTTAGGGGTTCAGGGGCTTAAGGGGGGTTTAGGGGCTTAGGGGTTTACGGGTTCAGGGGTTTAGGGGTTTAGGGGTTTAGAGGCTTAGGGGTTTAGGGGTTTAAGGTTTAGGGGTTAGGCCTCAATTCGGGTTTGGGGGTTTTGGGTTAGTGTTTAGGCTTATCCGAAAACGTTAAGAACTTGGAGCGGATTTGCTCCGTGGTTGTGACAAGCCTCGTGCTCAACGAGCCGCCCCTGAGCGGCTCCAGGGGGGTGGCAACCGGTCAATCCTGCTCCAGAGAAACCCCCCAGACCCCGAACCTATGAGCCCTAAACCCTTCAGCCGGGTTTTCCAGGGGTTCCCTGCGTTTTGACGTTGGGGGAAAGGAGAGGGTTTCCTCCCTAGGCCCGGACCGTACTTCCGCCCATAAATCACAGGTACGGGAACTGGACGCCATGTTCTTAGATGAGCCCACGAAGTCCGGGCCCTAAACCCTAAAAGCCCTAGGGTTGGGTTTAGGGTTGTGTATTTCGGGTTCGTGTTGCTGGGGGCTTGCAGGCTTTCAGCTGTCCGTTTATTACCAGGAAGGACTTTCGAGGGTGCTGTGGATGGTTGAGGTCCATTTTTCTAAGAGTTTCCTGGGTTTAGGGTTTAGGGCGGTTTCTTGGGGTGGCGCAGGTTGAGCTTTATTGGGTTTAGGATATTCGTAGGGTTCGGGGCTTTGAGGGTCGAAGTTTTCTTGACTGAAGGTTATGTTTCTGACCCCCAAACCTAAAACTCTAGACCTTAAACCCTAAATCAGAACCTTTTTACAAGGAACGGTGTTTGTCAAATGTGCCATGATGGCTGGTCCGAGCCTTATGGGCTCTCAACCCCAAGCCCTAAGACTAAGCACGGAACTCTTCCCCGCTAAGCTGGGGGTTCTGGGACACCGAAACACAGAACCGCAAATCCCGAAACCTCACAAACCCCAAGCCCTAAACCCCCCGTCGAATCGCTAAGCCTGCAGCCCTACAAGCCCTTAAAGCGTGGTGACCCTAAACCCAAGACCACATAAGCCCCATAAGGCCCAGAAGCCCTGGAAGCCCTTGAGCCCTAAACCGCCGTGGGGGTTTAGGCCCAAGAAGCGGCAGAAGACGCCGGCGGAGCTTCAGGCCCCAGAGTACGAGTGATGAAGTCTATTTCGGGTTTACAAGTTTAGCGTTTCGGGGTTAGGACTTAGGGCGGAGGGTCGAAGGGGGTTTCGGCTTCCAAGGTTATTCCTTCATGTTCCTTACTAGCTACCCCCCCCCCCCCATCCTTGCCCCCTGTTCGGCTATGTTCAATCCTAAATATGGGACCTGGTTGTTGACGGCTGTGGGGGCTTTAAGGGTTTTGGGGATTTCAGGTGAGCCCTACAAGGCCGTGCCCCCCCCCCCCCCGCAGGAGGAGAAGAAGGCGTGCGGGAGCCCGGCTCTAGTTTGGGGGTTAGGAGATAAGGGACCTGAATCGTCGGTTCCTAGTGACTTCTTCAGGTTGATGCGACCGGGTGCCCCAACAGGCACGCTGCCCGTCTACCTCGTTACCCAGACTAGATGCAGGAGTTTCGCCTTGGTGGGTAGTTCCCCCTTATGGAACTTGTACCGTCCTCCCAGAACCTTTGCAACCCTCATTCGACCCCCCCCCCCCCGCTCCCACCCCTTGTCGAAGCCTGAGAACAGGTACCCTACCTGGGAACTCGCCCCCAAAGACGGTCTTAAAACCCTAGCACTGCTACCTTACATTCCTAAACCCTAAGTGCAATTGGGCCGGGGGCGGGGGGGGGTTCTTAGGAAGGGTAACAAGGGCCCTGCGATACCCTGAAAAGAATTGCCCTTAGATAGGTAACGAGAAAGGCTCCAGATTGGGGCGAAACCTGGGGGCTGAGTAGTTGGGGTCAAGGCAATATTGAAAGAGTTCAAGCTTAGAGCTTCTGTACGCTTAGGGTTTGGGTTCAGGAGTCAGGATTTAGGGTGATTTAGGAGGGTTTAGGGTTCAAGCGTCCAAGGCGGGAGGTAGAGAAGGAGTTGGATCCGCTCGGGTGGGGCCGCATGCTCAAGGCGCGCTGTATCTTGGGATGTGTTTGATATACTATACCTAAATTATATATATATACACACATACATACATACATACATACATACATACGTACAATGCATGTATACTCGATAATATAGAAAATGTAGAACATAGGAGATTCAAAAGTATATATGTATATATGTATATATTGCTGGGCTTCGAATTTGGAATCTGGGGGGTTTGAGGTCGGCTTGTTGTGTTTTGTAGATTTTGGGTTTTAGGTTTCAGGGTTGGTGGGTTGAGCACCCTTTGCTTCTACAACTGTGGGGTTTCGCAACTGGAGAGTTGGTGTGCGCGGGACCCACATCCTTCTGTGGTAGACGCTCGTATTGCCCCCAGCATGTGTTGATCGTGAGTCCATTCGTCGGGTTTCGGCGTTCTGGGGTCTCTTGGACATTGTTTGTTCGTTGAAGGGTTGGGGGTTGCGTATTGTGATCCATGGCGGGGGGTGGGGGGGGTGCCCGCAAAAAAAAAGGTCTCCTGACTCGATCCTCAACCGGGCAAGATCATGGGCTTGCGGTGGATGTCGTTTATCAGGGCTGAGGGCTTAATTCTTGAACTCCTGAACTTACCGAACCCCCATAACTACGTCCCAAGTCTCTTTTCCCCCACTCCCAAGCTCTAAACTCTAACCCTAAACCCTAATCCCGAATCCCCAAGCCCTAAACCTTAGAACTGCAAGTGGCCGTCTTGTTCTGCATCACAGGCGCGAGCACCGGAGCCTCTCTTTCCAGATGTGGAGGCCCACGTTGGAACTTTGGCTGTCGGGTTTGAGGGTTCCAGGCTCTCAGGGTTTTGGACTAATAAAAAAACACAAAACTAAATAAATATAAAACAACAGTATATATATATATATATATATATAGAGTCTCGATGTTTGGGATCTTTTGCGGCTTGGGTTTTAGGCTCTCGGGCTATAGGGTTTAAGCTTCGAGGTTCATAGCCGGAGAGCCCTTCAGGCTTTCTATTCTAAGTCGGAGCACGGTGCTTCCTTCAGAAGCTTGCCGAAGCCCCTGCGAACCGAGCAAGGTCTGAGGGGTTTTACGGCTCAGCACCGGTCTCTAGGTTTATGTTTATACATTTTATGTGGTGTGTTTTGTTGGGTTTGGCAGCTTAGGGCAGTGTAGGATTTAGGTTTTATGGTCTAGAATGATGCCTATGGTGCAGGATTGAGGATGTCGGGCTTTCAGGGGCTCCGGGACTTGGAACAGAAGGTGCCCCACACCCGAAACCCAGCCCGGCAAACATGTGGGGGGTTCTTAGGCCTTCAACTGCTCGACGTTTCTGGAAGAGGGCCAGGGGCAAGCCATGCTCCAGCTTGGCGTGGCCCTGCTCAGCGGCAGGGAGGCTCGTATTGCCATTGGCTGGGAGTCTTCGGTGGAGGACGTGCGACAGGCGGCGGAGCGCCAGCTTGGGGTGGGCCTCCAGTCGCTGGTCAGCTGCTCGGGCTGCGTTCTGCAGCCCCGCGACTCCCTGAGTGCCGCAGGCCTCCGGGACGGGGAGCTGCTGCGCGCGGTTGCGCGACGTCCGCGGGTGGTGGCTACCGACACGGCGTGGGCCCTGCTGCGCAGTGACGGCTCCGTTGTGGCTTGGGGTGAGGCGCAGCATCCGGCCACCGCGATGCCCAATGCTCCGGAGCTGAATGGTCAGGTGAAGCAGCTGTGTGCCACAGGGGGTGCTTTCGCTGCGCTCTTGCAAAGTGGCTCTGTTGTGGTCTGGGGGAACAAGATGCTTGGTGCCGACCCCAGTTGCGCTGGGGCATTGCGGGACGTGCAGCAGATCCACGCCAACTTCAATGCCTTTGCAGCCATCCTCGCGGATGGCTCCGTCGTCACTTGGGGCTTTGAGGCGGCCGGTGGCAACAGCCGCCGCGTCCAGGGGCAGCTTCGGGACGTGTGCCAGATCCAAGGCACAGACTCGGCCTTCGCGGCCCTCCGAAAAGATGGTACGGTCGTAACTTGGGGCAGCGGGTCCGGTGGGGATAGCGGCTTCGTGCAAGATCGGCTCAGGGAAGTGACGAAGATCCGCGCCACGTCTGGTGCTTTCGCAGCGATCTGCGCGGACGGATCTGTGGTGACGTGGGGCGACCCCCGGTTAGGTGGGAATAGTGACCACGTGCAGGCAGAGCTCAGGAATGTGCAGGAGATTCAGGGAACCTGGGGAGAATTTAGCTATGGCTCCTTTGCTGCACTTCGTGCCGACGGATCTGTGGTTACTTGGGGCATGCCTGAGCAAGGAGGGGACAGCAGCTCCGTCCAGGAACAGCTCCAAGATGTGCGGCTCCTGCAGAGTTCAGGCACCGCGTTTGCTGCCCTGCGCAGTGACGGTTCCGTCGTGACTTGGGGGGTGCCGTCGGAGGGTGGCGACAGCAGCTTTGTGCAAGAGCAGCTTCAGGGAGTCCAGTCTCTCTACTCCACCCGAGGTGCCTTCGCCGCGCTGCGCAGCGACGGCTCCGTGGTCACTTGGGGCCTTGAAGAGTTTGGTGCAGACAGCTCTGCAGTGCAGGCGCAGCTGCAGGATGTCCAGGAGATCTTCGCATCAGAGATGTCCTTCGCCGCTGTTGTGGGAGATGGCTCGTTGGTCACCTGGCCGTACGCCATCTACAACGCCGATCCTAGCGCCGTGCGAGCTGTGCAGGAGCAGCTTCGGGACGTGCACCGTGCGCCCATTCAAGCCGCGCAGGGCAGCAATGATCATGGGGTCCCAGTGCGCTGATATACACCTCAAGCCACTCTACCCTTCATCCTTACAGTACAGCCTTAGCGGCATGCCAAGCATTCCTTTCTGAGATTCTGCGTTCTACGGATGACTCTTTTGACTTAGCTGCCCTCAACGCCTGCAAGCTTAACCCCCTCACGGAGCGAATCCGACGATGTCATCGCCATCCCGACCCAAGCCCTGATGGACACGCCACATTAACTAAAATGCCGACTGTGTAGGCAGAATTGCTAAACGTCGGTGCCACTCGGTAACCCTGTCGGGCCCGACACACCAAGTCCAACCGTTGTAAACTCCCTACTTCTGTCGGGTCAGGGCGTTAGGGGGTTTGATGAGGCTTTTGGGGTTTGGGGTCCATGGGCCCTTAAGGAGCTCTATTGGATATCAATCTCAACCCTGAGCACCTTACCTAGAGCAACCTGCAATCTGAAAACCAGGAGTGAAAAGGTGCCTTTGGTGTTATTATCGCGGTATACTGTCCCTATCCTGAAGTGCAGGATTCTAACTGGAAGGGTGAGGCACCCCACGGTACCTACAAGGCCCCCATGTTGGGTTATCTTGGAACCTGAACCCCAAGGCCGCAAAATGAACATTCCTCAGGCGAACCCGCCCATACTGGCTGGAGAGTTCGCGAACGAAGGCAGCTTCACGCCCCGGGATCACTGGACTTACGAAGGGCTCGTGGCTCTTGTGCCTTAGGGGCCCAGGGTCTTTCGATGATGTAAGGCGAATGGGGGGGGGGCTTAAGGTGTATAGCTGCATGGGATGCCCTGCCCCGACATCCCTAAACCCGAAACCAGGGGCTTAGGGGGGTTGGAAGGGTGGCCAGCGGGATGCCAGGTCTTGGGTCTTCCGGAAACATTTTTGGGAATTGCGTGCTGGAGCTTTGTGGAAGCACCAGAGCCTCAGAACTCCAAATGACGGGGTTTGAGAGTTGGAGGGGTTTAGAACTACTACGGGGGAATGGATGCAAAGGTTAACGGGCGGCTAGCAACAAAGCTAAACCTGGCCGCTCAGCAGGGTTGGCGCCAAGGCGGCTCCTTCGAAGGCTATGCCTTAAACTTAAACATATGCGATTATATTGATTTTGGGGACGTGGGGGTTCTTGTCGGGGTCATGAAACCCTGAACCCCAAGCTATGTTCCCCAGTAGGCAGTAGGGGCTTTTCAGGGTTTAGGGTTGAGGGTTTCAGTTTAGGGTTTAGGGTTTCAGGTTTAGGGTTTTAGAGGTTTCTCGGCTTTTTGAGGGTCTCACAGTTCTCCAGTTGTACAGCCTTGTTCCACTGCTGCGTGTTCTGTTACCACATAAAGCCATCAACCCAACAAAGAGGTTCCGTACATGGACAGACCAATCCCGGAAGTCCAGAACTCTAAAAAACCCCTAGGCCCCAGATCCCCAAGTATCCCCAAACTTGAAAGGAGAGAGCCTCCACATCCTCTTTTTCCCTAAATCCCCCAAACCCCCTGTCCCGAAAAATCACGCGCGCCTCCGCCCAGAGCCCATTGTGGGCATGTACTCTTCCAGCCCCAGCTGCAGCATCCCGGCGCGGCCGCCCAGACATCCCTCTGTTGCTTTTGGTGGAACCCTAAGTTATGTTGTTTGGTTTGTTTTTGGTTAAAATGAAACCCAAGAAATAGTGAAGACATTCGTATGTTATGGTCTAAGGGGAAGTATAGAAACCTTGAGCCCTCAACCAGACCCGAAAACCCTCAAGATTGTTCTGTTTTTGAGACCTTCAAGCTTAGCAAAGCCGAAGCCCCTAAGCCCCTAAACCCCGAAACCCCGAAACCCCCCCCTTTTTTTGGGCAGCAGGGTGTGGGGCGTCGAGGTTTGGAGTTCGGGCTCTCGACGCCTTACGTGGTTCTGAGGCGAGGCGGGGCTTGCAACCTCGTAGACTTAGAGGCTCAGGGGTCAGGGTTTTGGGCCATGACGCTCCTGCCGCCCGAAAATCAGGACAGCCCCCCCCGCCCACCCCAAAAAAGCAAAACAAAGTAAATACAAACAATCGATCTTCTTATATAGAGTGTAGGAATAGATTCGGGGCTTGAGGGCCACAAGATGAGGAGCAAGCAGTTCGTCTAAGTTATGGTTCCTATGATGGGTTCATCTAAGGAGTGGCTCGTGCTTGGGTTTACGGTTCATGCAATTTTTTTGGTTGTGGGGTTACAGTTTAAGGATCCTAAGCCAACCCTTTTTTCGCCTCTGCGTTAGTACGGAGCGTCTGGTGATCCGTGGCAAGTGATGATGCTGGCCTGCTGGACTTGAGACGCTGAATCCTAAGCCCGAAGCTTCATACGGTACCCATTTGCCTTAACTCCAAAACCCTGAACCCCCCAAACCCAAACCCAAACCCTGAACCCTAAAACCCCAAACCCCAAACACACCCAGGCCCGTGTCTACCGCGAGGCCAGAGCTCTCACCTCTTCTGGTGGGGGGGGTCTAGGTTTCGGGTTTACGGGTTTGGGGGTTTGGGGTTTAGGGGTTTAAGGGTTTTAGGGGTTGGGGGTTGAGGGACTCGGAGTTTGGAGTTTGAGGTTTAGGGGTTTTAGCCGTTTGAGGGGTTTTCGGGGTTTTAGGGTTTTAGGATTTTTAAAATGTTGTAGGGTTTTTGTGGGTTTAAGGGGTTAGGCCGAACCGCCCATCCCCCGCCCCAGGTATCAGCAGAGCTTTTCGTGGGTGCATGTGGGAGCGCAAAGCTGGGGTTTAGTCGGTTTGCGTGCGCGTGCGCGTGTGCGTGCGCGTGCGCGAGCGCGTGTGGGTGTGGGTGCGGGTGCGGGTGCGGGTGCGGGTTGCGGGTGCGGGTGCGGGTGCGGGTGCGGGTGCGGGTGTGGGTGTGGGTGTGGGTGTTTGTAACGGGTTCGGGTTTGGGGGGTTGCAAGTATCGGAAGTATCGCCGACCACATTTGTCAGTCACCACTGGGTTTTCGTCCGCCAGGGTTGAAGCCATGCTTTGCCAAAGAGTTTTTGGTCACCTCGGGAACGACGGTATAGCCGCACTTTGTATGATTCAGAGTTTAGGGTTGAAGAACTGCCTAGTAGGCCTATTAGTACCCTGACGACACCACATGCAACGCAGCCATACTCCTGACCTTCGGCCTCCCCAGACCTTCAGCTTCATGAAGGGAACTGGCCGTATTATAAGCTTTTGCTTCCATTCGGTGAGGGCGTAATATCAGGAGGAAGGGAATGAACGACAGCCCGAACTTCGGGCTTGTCTGGTCTTTTGGTTTCTTCCAGGCCCTTTGAGGGTTTGAAGGGCTTTGAGTTTAGGCTTTGGGGTCATGGTTTAGGATTTAAGGCTTCAGAAAAGGACGCCGTTTTGTGGGTTGCAGAAAGCATCGAGTTTAGGGTTTAGGTTCGAGGGCTTCCGAGGTTTTAGGGTCTTAGGGTTGCGTCAGGATCTCCTGCAGAGCGCCCGGGATGATCCGTCAGCCTCCAAGGAGGTCCTCCGTGTTCCGGCAATCCCCGAGATGGCAGGGTACCGGAAGTCTTTCGCAAGGGCTCGGTAAAGGGTTTGGGGTTAACGGTTTGGGGGTTTCGAGTTGATGGGGTTAACCCTGAAGGTGTAGGACTTTGTCTCTTTTTTTGGCGGGGGGGTCACTTGTGAGGACTAACCCCAATATACCTACAGCGCTTCGTCTATAGTTATAGCTGCAGTCAGTCAAAGGAGGCAGTTTTTCCATTAAAACGCATGTAGGTCGTGTTACAGATCGGTCCACAATGTGGAAATCCAGAAGCCCAACTACGCGCAAACGAGGAGAACGAGCTCTGGCAGAATGCCGTCGAGCTCCTCACTCAGACGTTTCGGCCTCAGGACAAGGATCCCTTCTTGGGATGTTCCCCCTGAGACTAGCAGTCCTTAGTGGGGACTAAGAGAAGCCTAAATCCTAAACCTCTCGACTTTTGATGAAGCAAAAAAGCTCCCCACCCACGGAGGCTTGAGCCCATGTGGCCGGAGGCCGAGGACGAAGCCTCAGATCCCCTGTGGTCTGAGAGGGCTCTTTAGGGTTATGAGGAGTTTAGGGTTTAGGGTTTAGGGTTTCTTTAGGGATAGGGTTTCTAAAGGGGTTATCAGGGTTGTTCGGGTTATTAGGGGTATCAGGGTTGTGTTGGGAGAGTTGTCAGAGTTATGAGGGTCATGAGGGTTCTGCGGGTTATGCGGGTTATGAGGGTTGTTAGGGCTTAAGGGTTGACGAGCTTTAGGGTCTAAGGATATTCGGGTGTTAGAGTTTAGGGTCTACGGATATTGGGGTTTTCGGGGTTATTCGAGGTAGGGATTCGGGTGTCTGGGGTTACTTCGGAGATTAGGGCCATTCGGGGTTTTTCGGGTTTAGGGGAAGAGGGTATTTTTGCTTTCAGATGATTTAGATGGGGAGTTGTCCTGTCCTGCAGCTACTCATCCCATCTCAATATTCAGTGGGGCTATTGGTTTCCGTAGTCCTAAAGTCTTAGTACCTAGGCAACCTTTTCACCTTCAGTTTAGGGCGCAGTCGTACTGCAATGTTGTAAGCCTCAGGAACACAAGCCATCAACCCTAATTCCGACATTCCGCAAACCCTCAACCCAAGGACCAAACTCAATAAGCCGTGTGGCCACGCTGAGTCCCTGAACTTCAACCCCGCCCTGAACCCCAAGTGTTGTAAAGCACAGGACATTAAGCCCTTAACCCTAAACCCTAAATCCTACTCTGCGCCCTAGACCCCAGCACAACTCCAAGCTTTACATACCCACGCGCATGCCCACGCCCACGCACACTGTAACAATGCGCCTTAAATCCTAAATGCCTGGCTCTAAAGCGAGCCCTCTACCCACAAGCCTGTCGCCCTACACTCCCAAACCGAGGAGCGTGTGATGGCACTGGTCACAGCGGAGTACAAGGCCGAGCAACGGTCGGGAAGCCAAGTGTGTAGGCTTCAGAATTTGGTGTTTAAGGAGCAGGATTTAAGGCTTAGAATTCAGGTTTAGGCTCTAGGACAGCCTAGGTTTATGTGCCGCCGGCCGTGGCCGGCGGCATTTATCATACCTGAGACTCAGACGGTCAGGCGCCTGACCCCAAAGCCTTGCAGGCACTCTACGTGCCCACAGTTTCATGGGTGCCCGAGTAGCTTGGACATTGCATCAGTCATCGGATAAACACCTTAGCAGCACGGATTTTCAAGACCCCTGATCGTGTCCCTTGTGCCGGTTGCTAGTGGACCTGAACCCCATCCATTAAAGCCGAAACCCGAAACCCTAGACTCCCAACCCGAGCCCTACCCTCTGATTTCTCGATCGCCCAGGCGCGATGCCAAGTTGGGCCAGGTCCGCAAGCGCGTGCTGCAAATGATGGCCTCTCGGTGGCCCAGGAGTTACTTTGGGGCTTAGGTTTGGAGGGTTTAAGGGTTGAGGTTTGGAGGGTTTAGGGTTGAAAGGGTTTGTATAGGTTCAATGTCGGGGGTTTGGAGTTTGAGGGTTTAGGGTATTTAGGGTTTTGCTGGTGAAAGGGTTTAGTGTTCAGGGGGCTGAATGTTGATGGTTTAGGGTTTTGAGGCCCTTTTTTTCCGCCCAGCCCCTCAAACCTCGAACCCTCATACCCTTCCTCATCAGATCGATGTTTTTTTTATCAGATCGATGTCAGAAAGCCCAAAACACCCTGGCCCCCTAAAGCCCTGAAGCCCTTGAAAGCCCCGAACCGGCAAAGACCCCAAGCCCTAATCCCTTACACCCCTAAAGCCCCCCTCTACAGCTTCAAAACCCCTAAAGCCCCTAAACTTTGAAATCCCTTATACCCCTAAAATGCCCAAAGTCTTCAAAGCCCTAAAGCCCCTAAAATCTCCAAAGTCCTCAAAAGCCCCTAAAGCCCCGAAGCTAAGATCCCAGAACGACCCAAAGTTCCGCCGCCTGAAGGTCAAGGCCAACACCGGCCTGCGGTCCGAGGTGCCGCGGCCCCCTTGCCTTTAAGGGGTTTAGGGTTGAGCTCCGACGGGTGAGGGTTTTTGGGTTGAGGGTTGAGGGTTTACAAGGGGCTGTTAGGGTTTAGGGCTTAGGATATGTGAGGCTTATATCTACACATCAGATAGCCCCTACACGGGTAAAACTACCATAAAACGGCCCTAGTAAACCCCGAGCGCCCATGAGAAGGTTTCCTGCTTCAGTCTCGTGCAGTCAGGAGGAGCTCGACCGGCTGCTGACAATCCTTCAGACCGACGAGCGCCCGGGCCTCTTGGGGGTCCTGGGTCGCCTAAAGTGACCCCCCGCTTACTGCATGAGTTCTTGGAGGCTCAGGGGGGGGGGGCACCTGAAAGATCATGTACGCTGTCAGCGCAGGGGGGGCCAACTTGTGCGTCTTCTCATACGCCCGAACTTTCAACCTTTAACCCCGGTCTAAACCCCGAAACCAAATGGTGAGGGTCCGCTGTGTTAGGGTATCCAAAGCCTAAATTTCGATCGCCCGTAACCTGAACTTAAAACCACGCCCTAAACCCTAAACTTGAACCTTTTAAAAGGTCTGGAACCCTAAACTCTGAAGCCCGAACCAGCAAGGCCTTCTCAAGTACCTCGGCCTACTGGAAAAATGCTGTTTCGAGGCGGAGAAGATTCAGGCGGGCCTGGGGTTCGGGTTTCTGGGGGTTTAGGGTTTCGGGTTTGGTGCATGGTTTGGGGTTTGCGGGGTTTTAGGGTTAGGGCAGGGGTTTTGGGATTAGGGTTGCTTAGAGCCCATGAAGCCAAGCCCCAAGCCATGTAGCCACAATGCAGGCGGTTTGCTCCTTAAACCCTAAACCCTAAACCTGAAACCCTAAATCCACCCCGAAACTGGGGTTGATTTGCAACCGGTCTTCGAAGCTTCCTGGCCCCTAGGCGCTTCATGGAAATTCAGTTCATGTAGGGCCCCCAAGCCCACCCCAACAGACCCTAAGACTCAAAAGCCCCTAAACCTCAAGCCCTGCACGTCCCAAACCATAAGCCCCAACCCGACACCCACGAGTTCAGCCGATTGAGCCCAGGGGCGCATGGACAAGCGCCAGCAGCAGGCCATGTCCGGTCGAGGTTTCAGGGTTCAGGGTTTAGAGTTGTTCTTGGATCTTGAATCACTGGTTGCCGCCTTCAGCCCTATATTTTAGCACCCCAGTGGTGTCCTATCTTCTCATTTTTCCCCCTTGCAACAACAATAGTTCTTGTTCCGGGGGCCCTGAGCCCTGGTTGGTTAAGCTCCCAAAGTTCCGAAGCCCTGAAGCCGTGAACTTTCAGGTTTTCCTTGAGGGCCCAAGCCCCCGAACGTGAAGGCCCTTGTTACCCTCCTACCCAGACCCCACAGGTGCTTCACACCTTCAGCACCAAACTGCTCAGTAGTATGTGGATGGTATAATACCACAATAACCCCAAATCCGAAACCCGAAGCCCTAAACCTAACCGCCCTAAGCCCTGAGCCCTGAGCCCTCCCTAAACCCTCAGCCCTAAGCCCCAGCACCACCGGCCGCCAGTTCCGGAAGAGCCGGGAGGCCAGCTACGCCCAGGAGCGAGCCGAGGAGGCTCCGGCTTTGGGGGTTTTAGGGGTTTGAGGGGTTTCAGTTTAGGGTTTAGGGGTCTCACTTTCCGGGCTCTAAAGGGGCTTTCAGGCTCTTTCAGTGTTTTATTAATTTTTTGGGGAGCGGGGGGGGGGGTTTGGGGTTTGGGTTGGTGGGTTTGGGGTTCTTAGGGTTTGAGGTTTGGGCTTCGGGGACTTCAGATTTTTGTTTTCGGGGTTTCAGGGATTACCATGAGAGAGAAAGTCGTCTACAGGAAATTGACCACCTATCCTAACAAAACACCAAGTGAAAGAAACCAAAAGCACAGATCACAGATAGAAACCACCAAATCTACTGGACGTCTTAAGTTTAAATTAGAGTGACATTGAAAGACTTTGCATAAAGTAAAACAGGATGAAGATGGAACTAAATAAGACAATGAATCTAAATTTGTAATTCTATTTGGCCAAAATCCCCAAGCCTCTGTGCTCAGTTCGCAGGGGCCTCGCGTGAGGACAGCCATGTGCCGCATGATCAGGGTGCGCCAGCGCCGCCACAAGGCGTGAGGCGCAAGGCTGAAGGCTGCGGAGCCAACAGGTGGAGCCCGCAAGCGTGCGCGCCGCGCTGAGCCCTTGCAAACACGCCGTGGGCGCACATGCAGCTTCACCCAAAAACCGGGCTTAACGAGCGAAGCGGGCGGAGTCACCGCAGCAAAGGCAAGGTCCTGAATTTGGCGACAAAGGCCAGAGGCAGGAGTCCGGCGAGCGCTGGACGCAAATCCACAAGACTCACAAGACCATGCCGCGGATGTCCAAGAAGCTTCGACAGGTGACAGCAGCAACGTGGGTTCCGGAAGGCACGCAGGCATCCTCCCAGCAGCACTCACTGCAGAGACTGTGGATTTGGAGCCGAGATCTCAGTCCCCTCGGGACCCTGCTGAAGTGACTCAAGCCCTGGAGGCGGCCAAGGCTAGCGGCACATGTGAGCTGGAGCTCGACGACGTTGGCGCGGACCTGCCATGAACAAGCGTGCCGAGCATGTCCTGCAAAAAGTTCGACTTCCAGGTATGCCGCGTGTCCACCCCTGGCCACGAATCATCCCCAGATCGTGGCCGTGGGAAGTGGTGGGAACCAAGCAGATCCACCCCCTGCTGGTCGGCAGCTTTGATTTGGGCCATCATTCACGAACTTGCCCAGCGCATTATCTAGAAGGCCGCGGACAAAGCAGGGCAAACGGTGGAGTTGGATTTGGAGCGAGGCGTGGGTGCTGTCGGAAACTGGCGTGTGTCAGGTGCAACAACAACGTTGTCGTGGCGAAGTGACGACGCGGGCAGACTGTTTTGACCATGGCTGATGACAAGATCACTACGCAACTGGACCAAAAGCCCAAGCGTTCAGGGCCTTCATGGATGACAGGCGACCGGTTCCAGACTTCCTTCTTTGATTCTTGCGGGGGCGCACGCGTGCAAAACTTACCACGCACTCCTACTACCGCAATCAAGCGTGTCGGGCACGGCTCGCAATCATTGCCCAATATGTTTAGTGGAAGTCCTGCAGCTGTAGTAACTGTGGTAGCTAATAGTCTCGCTGCAGTGGCCTTGGCGTGCAAGCGTTGGTGCAGGAAGTGTCGCTAAAATTCGAGCTGATCGACGCGGATTTCAACCAATGCGCTCGCATGGCCACCCTCCGGATGGCCTTCAGACATGAGGTTTACCTCGCTACACGTTCGTCCTGCCAGGCCGCCGCGGGATGCTTGATTGGCCTCGCCTGCGGAGCGAGCCACATCCTCATGGCGCTCCTGGCTTGCTCCCAAGACAGGCCACGCGCCCGGCCGATGGAGACCCAACATCGGCTTGCAGGGCAATCGGAGGTCAGTGTTGAGTTTGGACATCAGCTGCCCTCTGCAGGTCAAAAATGGAGGCCTATTTGTTTTTAGGATTTTGTTATCGTTGTGTTTTTAGTGGGGCTGAAGCCTCAAAGACTGCTTTGACAAGCGGCTTTCGCGTCTGCAAATCGGGAGGGCTGCACCCCCTCCCCAACCCCCCCCCCCGCACTTATTCAAGCCGCGCAAGCCTGCTTCAAAGCGCAGGAGTCTGGTTGAAACCCATCATGCGAGCATGGTGTTTGCAAATAGGGTGGGCTGCGCCCCCTCCCCAAACTCCCCACTTTTTTGAAGCCGCGCAAGCCTGCTTCAAAGCGTGGGAATCCTTTTGAAGCCCATCATGCGCGCGTGGTGTTTGCAAATGGGGGAGGGTGGGCTGCGCCCCCCCCCCCCCCCCAACCCCCCCACCCCCCGGTTGTCTTTTTTTAACAAGCCGTGCAAGCTTGCTTCAGAGCATGTGTTTTTGAAAAACATCTTGCAAGAATCGTCCAAGTTTCATTGTGCTTGCAAAGTCGGTTTTCAAACTGCGCTGCAGCCAATCAGCCAATCAGCCTGTCGGCTGATCGGCTGATCGGCTGATTGGCTGATCGGCTGATTGGCTGATCTGGTCTGCTGCTGGTGCTACTCCTACTACTGCGAGTACTGCTAGTACTACTCCTACGACTGCAGGGAACTACTACTTCTACCACTACTACTACTACTACTACTACTACTCTACTACTACTACTACTACTACTACTACTACTACTACTACTACTACTACTACTACTACTACTACTACTACTACTACTACTACTACTACTACTACTACTACCTACTACTACTACTACTACTACTACTACTACTACTACTACTACTACTACTACTACTACTACTACTACTACTACTACTACTACTACGACTACGACTACGACTACTACTACGACTACTACTACGACTACTACCACTACTACTACTACTACTACTACTACTACTACTACTACTACTACTACTACTACTACTACTACTACTACTACTACTACTACTACTACTACTACTACTACTACTACTACTACTACTCCCGCTGCCGCTACTACTACTACTACTACTACTACTACTACTACTACTACTACTACTACTACTACTACTACTACTACTACTACTACTACTATTACTACGACTACTGCTGCGACTACTACTACTGCTACTACTGCTACTACTACTACTACAACTACTACTACTACTACTCCTACTCCTGCTGCTGCTGCTGCTACTGCTCCTGCTGCTGCTGCTACTGCTACTATTTTTACTACTACTGCTACTGCTACTACTAATACTGCTGCTGCTGCTGCAAGTGCTCCTCCTCCTCCTCCTGCTTCTCCTCCTACTACTACTACACTGCTACTACTACTACTACTACTACTACTACTACTACTACTACTACTACTACTACCACTACTACCGCTACCGCTACCACTACCACTACCACTGCCACTGCCACTGCCACTGCCGCTGCCACTGCCACTGCCACTGCCACTGCCACTGCCACTGCCACTACACTACCACTACCGCTACCGCTACCGCTACCACTACCACTACCACTATCACGCGCCTCCCCATGCCGCTAGCGATACTTGACCCCCGCCCAAGTTTGCCTACGGGCTATTTGCTTACGCGCCATGACAGATTGGCCTACACAAATCATCAACCCTCAACCCTCAACCCTCAACCCTCAACCCTCAACCCTCCACCCTCCACCCTCCACCCTCAACCCTCAACCCTCAACCCTCAACCCTCAACCCTCAACCCTCAACCCTCAACCCTCAACCCGCAACCCGCAACCCGCAACCCGCAACCCACAACCCGCAACTCCCCCCACCCCCCCACTCGCATCATGAGGGCTATTTGCTTACGCACCATGACAGATTGGCTTACACAAGCCGTCAACCCTCAATCCTCAACCCTCAACCACCCTAAATCACGAAGTGGCTTAACATCTAACTGTTTTCTCATGGCGTCGATCAAAGATACCAGGCCGAAGCTAGGACTGATTAGCTGTTATCTCCTGGCCTTGAACTGACAAACCTACGGCCTGTTCGGCCGAGCAATCCGAACCCTACGGCCTGCTAGGCCGAAACCCCACCTAGGGATTTATTCGGGTTTAGGATTAAGCAAAAAACTACGTCCAGCCTAGCACGGTACCCACGCGTTACACATTGTAAACTTTATTAAACCATAGGCACTTGCCTCAAACAATTCGCTGTGTGCCTCACATCCGTTTCAAATTATGATTGCTCTTGCCTCAAAATTCCATTGAATTCGCTGTCATGTTCTCATAGCAAAACTTATTTTACAAATAGTGTGTTGCCGAACCCGAAAGAATTATTTCTTCAAACTTGCAATTGAGTGTAGTTGGAAGGAGAAGACAAAAATGTATTTGTTTAAAAATGCACCCCCCACCCCCCCGCCCACCTCCCACCCCACCCCCCCCCCCCCCCCCCCCACCACCCCCCCCAACCACCGCCACCCCCACCCCCACCCCCCACCCCTCCCCCCCAACCTCCCCCCCCCCCCCCCCCCCCCAGCACGCCCCACCCAATCAGCCAATCATCGCCGATCAGCTGATTGGCTGATTGGCTGATCGGCTGGTTGGCTGATCGGCTGATCGGCTGATCGGCTGATTGGCTGATTGTTGCGGCCGAAAAGCCACGCACACTGCAAAATTTGAAGCCCATCATGCGAGCATTGATTGTGTTAGCAAATGGGGGGGGGGGGGCTGCGCCCCCCCCCCCCCCCCAACCCACCCGCTTTTATTGAACCGTGCAGGCTAGCTTCATGAATCTCCCTGAGCCCTAAGCCCGAAACCCGAGACCCTAAATTTGAAGCCCATCATGCGAACATTGTGCTTGCAAACGGGCCCCCAACCCTTTTTTTCAGCCGTACGCATATGCATACTTTGTTGGAAACCCATCATGCGAGAATCGTGTTTGCAACCCCCCTCCCCCAACCTCCGCTTTTTCATAGGAAAACCCCTTATTTTTTCTGGATGTTAGTAGGAAAACCGTTATTTTCTATGGATTTTAATAGGAAAACCTCCATTTCCTCTACATTTCAAGAAGGAAACCCTCAATTTCTCTATATTTTCAATAGGGATCCACAAAAAGGGTTAAAACGACAAAAAAGGGTTAAACTAAAGGCAGTCGTGGACGTCTTCGCGAGGGCCCAGGGCCTGGAGTTGCGCATCCAAGCGTGTTGCAGCCGGGAACCCCAGAAAACCATGGGTTCTCTGGGGGTACTGGTGTTTAATAGCGTTAATATGGGCTTTATCAAGGTCTAGGGTGGACAATCTTCAGGGCTTAGGGTTTAGTAGGAAGTTGTAGTGTGTTTGGGTTTTTTTGGCTTAAGGTTTGTGCTGGAGAGGAGGGCATACGAGGGGCATCTTGGGCTGCGCCGAGGAGCCTTGCGACATGCAGCGCTTACCAAAATCCTCCGAATTCCCCCCAAGGCTTTTGTAATCCCCCTCCCGACACAATAGTAACTCTTCCCCGTTGCGCGAGTAGGAATGTTTGAAAAACCGGGTTTGTTGCTTTGCTTTGCAGTTTAGGGCCACCCCCTTAAGATTGGGTCTTGGGCGCTGTTTGCGATTAATGTTTGCGGGCCGTGCAAGTTCAGCTTCGGCCTGCTGCTGGCATTAGCTACCAGGTTCCGCAAACCTGAGCCCCAAACCCTTCTGCAAGAGTTCTAAGGAAGGAGCTCCCGCCCCAACCTTTCCTCACCCCGAAAAAAGAGCACTTGACGGTTAGAAGCCCTATAAGGGGAACATCTCAACTTAAACCTGCTTTTAAAGTTTCTTTGCAAATCGAGGGGGAACGGAGGGGGGCGTAGGAAGCCGCGGGCTCCGAGGTGCAGCCGAGGAGCTGCCAGAGACGTACGCGGCCGCCTTACCTGGCCAAGAGTTGAACTTCAAACAGTGTTTGGGGATTAAGGGCTTTAAGGGTTTTGGGGGTTTAGGAGCTTCAGGGGTTTTGGAGTTTAAGGTTTTTAGAGGGGTTTAGAGGGGTTTAGAGGGGTTTAGAGGGGTTTAGAGGGGTTTAGAGGGGTTTAGAGGGGTTTTAGGGGTTTTAGGGGTTTTAGGGGTTTTAGGGGTTTTAGGGGTTTCAGGGGTGTTAGGGGTTTTAGGGGTTTTAGGGGTTTAGGGCTTCAGGAGTTTTAAGGGTTCGGGGTTTCGGAATGTACAGTTGCACTTTAAGTTGAATTGGGGGTTTCTTGGTCGATGAAACTGACTCCATGCCCCAAGCCCAAAACCTCTTGTCATGAACAACCATGCCACAGGCGATCGGCCCAACTCTGTATCCCTAACTCCCCCACAAGGGCGGAGGGCTTAGGGTCAAGTGATGAGGGCCTTCGTGTTATTTGTGAAGCCGCCTTCATTCACATGCCTGTCTGAATCTCTACATCCTCAGGACCGGAGAAACCCTGAATCCCAAAACCCTAGATAGCTGCTGAACCCCCAAACGCCTTAACTCTAAACGTTCGGGCACGAAACATGAAAAACCCTAACCCCTAAACCCGACACCCTTCACAATCCGAGCCCCACAAAGCCCCCAGCCGCTCAGGATTCCATGGACGACATGGGCGACTTCTTCAACAACCTCAACCCTTTTCGCTAGGAGCGCTGGTGGGGAAGAGCTTTCTGCCCAGGGCGCAGAGAGATTCGTTTTTCAAACATGCGGGTTTGGTGGTTTGAGGGTTGGGGGTTGGCCGAGCAGCTAGGATCACCAGAGAGCACTTTAAACCCCCTTAGACAACAAAGGAGATGGGGAGAATCTAGAGCGCTGAGTACGCCTTACAGCTGCTTGTAATCAGTAGGAAGGTATCCTTTTAACTCATACTTATTCTCCCATTCACCGATACTTTAAACTTTGCACTTTGAACCCAGAATTCCTTGCTCACAACCGAGGTCCCAAGCCCTACCTACCCATGAACCTTCAAAGTAAGAACACAAGCCCCAAAATCAAAGTCCAGAACCCTTGAACCCCACTTCCCTGCGGCCAGGCCCCCCCCAAGCACAGCAAAACAACCCATACATGGTCAGCAGTCGAAAGTATGGCCCCTTCTTGGATCTTGGATGCCTTCGAGAAGGTGAGCCGGGCTTAGGGTTGATGATGTTGGGGTAGTTGTAACCTGGGGTTTCGATCTATCTCAATAGGGTTGCAGATTCGTTTACGCGTAACACTACTTAGAAGTACGTACAATTCAACCTCCAAGCCGGGGACCTGCAGATATGTGAGCTTTTGGGGTTTTGAGAGTTGTAGAGGAATCCTAAACCCTAAGCCCTCATCGATGGCAGGAGCTTGCGAAGCTCAAGTGATCAGCTGCATCTTCGTTGTTACTTAGCCATGGGCTTCAGTACCTAGGTCGGCTGGGAGCCGCCTTCAGTAGACTGTCGTGGTTTTGGGGTTATGGGGTATAGGGGTTTAGGTTTTTTTATGGGGTTGGAGACTCAGGAAGGAATAGGGTTTAGGGTTTGGGGGATTAGGACCGATTTTCACCGACGATGTTCGGCAGATTTTCGATTGCGGATGGTCCCGTCTCAGACCTTCGTGGCTGCTAAGGCCACGCGCCCGAAACTGAAAACCACAAGTGCAAATCCTGAACACCTAAACTCTGACCCCAAATTGCAGACTCCAAGCCGTACACCCCTGCTGCCGGAAAGCTCAACGCCGCACCCCACCCCGCTCGCACCACACCCCGCACAGCCACTGGATCATCGGGACGTGTTTACCTTACAGATGACTCGTGGAACTCCAAATCCCCCAAGGCCCGAAACAGAGATCCATCTCGTGAAAGACCTGAAAGACATTTTAACTCTAGTATAATTGGGTTAGTGTAGGCTTCAGAGTCTCAATGTTTGAGCTATGAAAACGCCCTTCCTGTACGTGGACAACAAAGCTTATAAGGCATGGTTGTAGGGCTGAAGGTTGAAAGCATAGGTACCTGTCTTTTCGCAACCGAGGCTTCAGGGTTTAGGGCCTTTAGGGCTTATAGGGTATATAGAGCTCTGGGGCTTCATAGGGACAGAATCTGGGCCTTTTTGGGTTTCCCCATCGTATGTTCCTTAGACTTTACAGGCGCCCGAAAGAGGCCACAGCTTTGTTTTTTCACGCCCCAAACACCCTGAACAACCCCATGCCCCCCAAAATATGGGTCGTACACCCCAAAATTCTCAACCTTACGCCCTTAAGCCCTGATTTGGGGGCCTCAAGAGTTCGGGCTTCCGTGGCAAGAGCCTGTACAGCTGAGCGCGATCCTTGAGGTTGCCGGGGTTGAAGGTAGAGGAGCGCGATGCGTGGGTTTTTGGCTATAGGCTCTCATAGGCTTCCTATCAGGTTCGTGGTGTGTTTCTAGGCTGTAAGGTTGAGTTGAGGATGTAGGACCTTGGGATATTCCATAGTTCTCTTATTAGGCTCTAAGGGATCTTACTGACGACTGGGTCTCAGAAGATTTTTAGTTTAGGGTGTCACAGTATCGACTTTGAGCCGTTGAGGGTGTTTAGGTTTAGGAGAGCGGAGTCAGAGGTGAGCTCTCTCTGGGGTGCAAGGTGAGGGCGCATATCTCAGACCCAAACGCCGTGCGCGGCGAGCGGAAAAAGGAAGGTTTTTTTTGAGCAACAAGCTTAGAAGGGTACTAGCCTTCAGAACCCGAGCCTTACTATTTGCATCTTGCACCTCAGATCCACAATGCCACTACCCCAGAAGTCGAAGTCCTCCCAAAGCCCAGTAACCATCAGCAAGCCTACCTCTTGAAGGTAAGGAAGAGCTTTAGGAGTTGAAGTCTTCAAGTGATTTGTGCTTTAACTCGGGTCGAGGTGGTGGAGGTGAGTGGCGAGGTGAGTGGCGAGGTGGTGGGGGCGGGGTACGGGAAAAGGCACTCAGTGTTTTGGTGCTTAGTTGGTGTCGCATATGTATGCAAGTGCTTTGAAAGGCACTCGCGCTCTCATACCGGACCTCTTTAACTTGACACTGAGTTTCATGGCTCGAGGACAGAGCAATTAGTTGCGGAGACGGCAGAGATCCTCTCGATTTGAGAACCTCAGGCACTCATGCAGGCACCATTGCTCGATGCTGGAGGCTCAGAAGACCCTGGCATTCATGCGGTTCTTACCGTTGGCCCCCGCCGCGTTGATGTCGCGAATGCACTCTACAACATGATTTGTTTCACAGTCGGGGCAGGCATGCTGGGACTGCCGCACGCGCTGCTCTTTGCGAGAGAGCTTTTCATCGTGCCCGTGGTGCTGGGCGGGTTCTTGTGCTACTACACGGCTGAAGTGCTGCATCGTGTCCAGGTTCACCATGGAGCATGCAGTTATGAAGCGATCGGGGCGATGTGTGGGCCGGCATGGTTGCCGTTGTTCATCCGTGTAACCCTGGCTGCAAACCAGCTTGGCATCGCTATTCTTTACATCATTACGATCTGCAAAAACTTGGAGCTGTTGTGGGGAGCCGATCCTCATGCAGAACCAAGATGGCAGTTCTTTGCCGTTGTTGCGGCGATTACCTTCTTGCCTCTGAGCTGTGGCGGACGCATGTCTGGCCTGGTCTCTTTCATGTCACTTGTCGGCGTGGTCTCAGTTCTTGCAGTTGGACTGCTGGTGGTGTGGGCAGCGCAACCGCGAGAGACGGATGCGGGGTGCGTATGTGCATCCGTTTCAATGCCTCAGATGCTTTCAGGAATGGGTACAGCAATTTTTGCATATGGTGGCCATCCTGTGTATCCAAGTGTACAAGGAAGCATGCATGTTCAAGGCGATTTCGATTTGGTGCTGAAGGGAGCATTTTTCTTGATGATTCTCCTTTTCGTCCTGGTGCTTCACAGTTCATGGCGTGCTTTCGGCTGCTCCGTGCATGGATACGTGCTCGACGACTTGGATGACAATATTTGGCGCAGTGCGGCTGTGATAGGGATCACTTTGCACCTAGTAGCTGCCCTACCTGTGGTCTTGATACCCGCACTGCACGCGATGGAATCTGCTGAAGAATGCTGCGCCTTGCGCTTCGCGGTGGTGACCCTAGTCACCATGCTGGCATTCATGCTGCCCTTCTTCACCGATTTTGTGGCACTGATTGGCGGCTTGACTGAGAATGCACTGGTCTTCTTGCTTCCCCTTGTGTTCCACCACTGCACTTTCAGCCATTCCGGAGTTCGGACCGCAGCTTTTCACATTTCCATCGCGCTGTTGGCACTGGCAATACTCTGGCTTGGCACAGTGGCTTCTCTAGATGATATCTCGCACAGACTGGCTGGATACCATGTCCGATGGTCCTTGTGAGAGTCGCAATCCGTGCCTACGCGTGAGCAGAATGGCATTGAATGGTGTTGATTTAATATTGAGCTTTGCGTGCCCGTCCATTCGGGGCACGAGCCAAAAGGCAGAGACTGTGGTGCTGAGTCAGCACCTGGAAAGATGGGACAGCAAACCTACGTAGCAGCTACCGAAAGATTGCCCGACGCTGGTTAAAGGTTCGAACCAATTCATCGGACTGTGGCTTTGTGTGGGGGGGGGGGTTGATGCTGGTCTTCTTGGCCTTGGGGCCGGTCGACTGCACCCGAAACCTTGTTTCATTTTTCTAAGCGACTGTGCACAGCTCGGAACCCCGGTAATACCCCTTGTTACTCCTTTTGGGGCTTAGGGCTTAGGATTAGGGATCGCGGATGCAGGCCTGCGATGCAGACGATAGGGTTTGGGGTTTTCAAGCTTAGGGCCCAGCACTCCTTGATATAAGCAGCAGAAAACACTTTGCTAGAAGAGCAGGGTTTCTGGGCATGAGCAGCACGCTTGGCCAAGGACATCCGCAGCAGCTCCCGGAGTGCTCTTCTCTTGTCAAGCTTTGAGCTTGAGAGTTGCTGAGTGTTGCACGGCTCTTTCCGCTAGGGGACTTCACGAGAGAACAGTCTTCTGCGCACACTGCCCGAGAACAGTTCCCGAAACCCGAAGCCCTAAACCCTGGAAAAAGGACTTTGCAAAGTACTTAAGCGCCGTTCAACCCCGAGCAAAGCTTCGGGTTTGGAGCTTTTGGCTCAGCCGACCCCAAAGACAGAGCCCCAAGTTGAACACCACCCAAAGCCCACGAATTCCAATCCCGAAGGAAAAGCGCTCCTTGAAGCTTACAGCACAGGGCTATGTTGCGTATCATCTACTAGTTACCGAGTCCAACCTCGAAAATAGTCACCCAACTAAGCCTTGAACACTGAACCCCTGCACCCTGAACCTCACACTCCGAACCTGGAACCCTAAAGCACAAACTTAAACCCCACGCCCCCTCCCTTTCTGCTTGCCTGCCATGGTCAAGGGCAAGGCGTGAGGGACGGGGTTTGCTCTCTGGGGTTCGAAGAGTTTTGTGGCGTGGGGCTTCCCCACCCCGCTGAACCGAAAGTCTAGGGGTGTTTGCAGTTTGCCTTTTGCTTAGAAGCCTCCGGACACCGAGCTCCATCATACTTTTAAAGCCTCCCACTGCCCCTCCCCTTCTCCCAACAGCCCCAGTTCAGGGTTTCTTACGTAGTGTGCACGGCTGGTCCCTTCAGACCTTCAGAGAGCCCAGTGTCCCTTGGTTAAGGAATAGTCGGTTTCGTGATACGGACCGATATAGCTGTGTATATATCTACTATATACATATATATATATAGACATATTTTGTGTTTTAACGGCTAATCCTTCACAAAGGGTATTGGGCTCTCACAGCCAGCCCGCGCCCGGAACAGCCAAGAAAGCCGCGCAGCGGGGAAATCCCGGAACCACCAAAGCTTCCGAGGCCTTCCGGAAGCAGTGGAAGGCGGGCTGGACTGGTGTATGAATGATCGAGCCAATATCTTCGAGTCGCTTCATCGTGCCGAGGTTAGTTTTCACTTCCCCTAAGCCCTAGACCCTGCACCCTGAACCCCAGGAAGCTGGGCAAGTAAGGTGCTTAGGTTTCTGGTTGAGAGTCCAGGTTTGGGGTAGAGATTTCAGGGTTGAGGATGTAGGCTGGAGAGTAGCTTGCATATGGCAGGAGAAGCGGAAGCCCACGAACACGCGAGCCTCCTCCCGGGCGAAGAGCTTGCGACGGGCGAGGGGCCCAGTTTGACTAAACCCTCAAGCCCTATGGGCCCCGATATGGGGGTTGTGTTAAGTCAGGGGTCGGCTTTTTGCCTTAATTACACGCGTTGCAAGCTCTAAGCGGATTTAAGTGCTTAGGGACTGACAGGGTTCGGTTGTCCCCAAAACCCGAACCCTCAACCGTCCAAACCCAAGACACAGAGGGACCAATGATGGCCTTCGACAAAGCACGCTTACGCTGACTATAGCTTTCAACTTTTATAAGCAGGCTTAGATTGTGCATTGCACAAGAGGGGACATGAACCGCATATTTCAAGTTCAGCTACAGTTACGTTACCGTTATTGCCGCCAAGTTGAGCTCTTTAACTGCTTAACCTTCAACTTAACCTCCCACACGCCCAATCCATGACACCTGGGCTTTGGGCTTAAGTTTTACCCTTAAACCCTTTCACCCTTATACCTAGAAGCCGTTGAACCCTGAACCGTAGAATCCACAGCCCCCACACAGCGAAGGTTCCCTTCGAGGAGCGCCAGAAGAGCAAGCGGGTCCGGCGGCTCAGCTTTCGGTCCTCCAGGTTCCCGCTCCAACGGCGCTTGATTCGCCTTAATTGGACGAGGAACCTGTAAACCTTGCCCCCATACTCCCATATGCGATCAGCCTTTATTTCAGGCCCCTGAAAAAGGGTACCCCAATCACAAAGCCCTAGACCTCATTCCGTCCCCTGTCATGACCCCCCCTCCCCACCTGCAAGGAGCTCGAGGAGGTCAAAGCCAAGGCCAAGGAGCTCGAGCAGGCGCACGTTGACAGCTCGGTGTGTGTGTGTGTGTGTGTGTGTGTGTGTGTGTGTCTGTTTTTTCCTGGAGGCCCCTAGACAAGGGTTTTGGGGTTGAGGGCTGAGGTGCAAGTGTAGCTGGGGTCATACCTACCCGAGGTGTGACCATACGTAGTAGAGTTGGAAGCATGGCAGGATTCAGGGCTGAGGGGGTTTACAGTAGACGGTTGAAAAAACAGTGGTCAAGATAACCGGGATGGGCGCCCCTGAAGCAGGTTTCCTTTGCTGGAGGAGTTTGGGCTTGTGGCTTCTAGGATTCAAACCCTTCTTTGCCTTTCCATCAGCCCTGAACCGTCGGATGCGTCGTATTCTCCGGGCACAAGGTCCCCTCATCTCAAGGGAATCCATAAAATACCTAATCCCGGCGACAACTCCCTAAACCCGAAGCCCAAAGCTCTAAGCCCTCAATATTTCAACCCCGAGTGTGTGAACACAAAACTGGGCGGCAGGCAAAGAAGGAGGTCAAGAGGCAGAAGGCCAAGAAGAAGTGGGGGACTCGGACTTTGCTCGAGGGGTCCAGGGAGGTTTAGGCTGGGTTTCGGGTTTAGGGTTTAAGGGTTTAGGGTTCAGGGTGAACCCATTAGGTTGAGGGTGTTGGCTTGAGTTGAGCGTGGGGTTATAGGTTTAGGCGCCCCGAAGCCACAAATCTTGAAAAAGCGCAACCCTGAATCTTGGGCTGGGCTTCTAGTGCCCCAGGTGCCCAGTGGTGCACCCTTAACAAACAAGAGGGTTTCCTTTTTGCCTAAGATACTGGTGAAGCCTAACACCCCGAAACCTTTAAACCGCGTTGACCCCTAAACCCAAAAAAACCCATATACCCCAAACCCCTAACCCCTAAATCCCTAGTCCTTTCGTATTTACACCCCAAGGTCCGCATGACAGGTCGCATAATGATAAACCCCTAAATCCCTAAATCCCTAAACCGTAAACCCCTACCCCCCCTGAACCCTGAGCCCCCCCCCAGGGAGGAGAAGAAGCGGAGGAAGGAGGAGAACGCCATCAAAGCGGGCCAGTTCCAGGCTGAGAGTTGCTGGCGCCGTCTAAGTGGCCGTTTTCGGCTTTTCAAAGGGTGCTTAAAAGGTTGTTTTGGAGTTTCTTGCCTTTCTTTAACGGTTTTTGAGGATTTAGGGTTCAGGGGTTTTAGGGCTTTGGGGGTTTAGGACATTAGGGCTTTAATTAGTGTTTTTTTTAGGTTTTTGGTTTTTTTGGGGGGTGGTTAGGGTTGAAAGGGCTTTAGGGTTGTTAGGGGGTTTGTCTGCGCCCCTCAACTCTGAACCTTGCAAGCCCTTGTAACTCGGGAGTTCCGGAAGGCGAAAGTCTCGGAGAACCTCCAGTTTACCCAAATGAAGCCGGAATGTCGAGCTGGTGATTTTCAACCTTGGTGGCAGTTTTGGGATTCAGAGGGTCTTGGTTCATCTAAGAATCTATGATCGGATTTTGGGGGTTTGGGGCTTGGCGCGCATCCCCCAAGGAGCTTGCGCATTCAGATTATGGCCTGGGGTGGGGCGTCATGGGTCGTGGGCAGGTCATCAAAAAGACGGAGAAGGTGCGGAAGTGGCACAAGAACGCCAGGCAAGCTTCTTCAAATTTCGGGTTGACCTAAATATGGGCCTGTTTGAGACCTCATATTATGAGCTGGGAACAGAAATTGACTTAGAGGGTTATGAATACCGAAGCTCTAAGTCGAGACCCTAAACACCCGCCGCAAGAAGCCACGAATCCTGAGCCCAACTCTGTGCTCGGTGAGGAAGATGCTCCGGACGATGAGCTCGGAGCAGATCGACCGGCTGCTGACGTCAAGCCAATACTGACCTTCTTGGGTTTCGGGTTTTAGGATGGCAGGGTTTTCAAGGCTTCGAGCTCTCCCCCGTTTCACACCGCGCCAGCAGCTTGAGAAGCTTCCGGGTTGGTCAACCCTCAGCCCTACATCCTAAAACCCCAAACCCTAAGACCCCGCCCAGCTTTTCAGGTCCCAAACCTCCCCCAAACACGGCTAAGGGTTTAGGGTTTGCTGTTTAGAGCTGAGAAGAATCTAAGCTTGGGGAGGGTCATCCTTTTGGCAAGAAGTTTGGGAGACTCCAATTGCACAGAGTTCATCTGGGATTCTTACGCACGTCAAACCTTTGTACAGGGCACGACTGCTTTGGCACTCAAGAGCTTGCAGGTGTTGGGTTTGAGGGTTTACGGTTCAGGGTTTGAGTTCGGGGGGCGTATACGGGGTATGGAACTGAAAATGTAGCTTGGAGCCTTCCATGCCGCTGGCGCCTGCTTCTGGAGTGAGTGCTGCTACCCTGCAGTTAGGGCCCCGTATTGGCACATACACCAATTATGAAGCCCTCAAGAGCCCAACAGTACACCTGGAACCCTCAACTGCTAATCCCTCTGCAGCCATACGGGGCCCTAGCTGCACCCGCTAAGCCGGCGCCACATCAAGGAGCCTCGGAAGATTGCGCAACAAGGCGTTGGCTTGTAGGCCAGGGGTTTTTTAGGCCGTGCAAAGCTGTGGGTTCCAACCGCCGCCCTTGGGTTTTCAGGAGGCCCCGGTCCTCTGTTTCCTTGCGGTGTTGAATGCTTGAAGTTCTTGTGTGGGTTTTCGTCGTAGTCGAGGAAGCAACCTTTACCCTCTCTTGGGTAGTATAGCCCCTATCGAGTCCCTATTTGTGGCTAACCTTCGGTTCCCCGAAGGGAAATGGACAAGTAGGTAGCCTCCTTAGCTCCGGCGACGTAACTCTCAACTCCTCGGACTTGCAGCTGCTCGAAGTTGCTCGGCCCTTACAGGGCCCGAAAGAGAGCAACTGAACCCAAATCCCCACCCACCTGCTGTGCCCGCTTGCCACTTTGCCTTCCCTTGCTTTCCAGAGGGGCGAGTTGCAGGCCCTTCCAAGGGAATTTAGGGGTTTGCTGGGACCAAGGGTCCCTTCCAGGGCTTCCTCCTGCATGAAATTGCTTCTTCGTAGAAATTCAGGGAGTTAGGGAGTTAGGTGCCCTATTTTAACCCAGAAATGATCTTATGGGCGGATTTCAGCCAATTGCAAGAGCCGGCAAGAGAAAGAACAAGAGCCCTACCCCCGACCGCACGCCCTTTGGAACTACACAGAAAAATAAGCCCTAAAGCCTAAATGCTGTGGCAGCTCCGGCCCAAACATTTTTCATTGGCCACCCGGGCCGCGCGTCCGAATTCCCCTGGCCGCCGGCCCAGCGCTGCCTTTCGAGGGGGGTTTGGGAGCCTTGGCCCTACGAACCCCGCAGTGCAACTTCGAGAGGCCATACACTGCAAACCTCTTCTAGGGGGTTGAGGGATTGAGGGTTCAAGTGTGGGGGGAGTTAGGAAGTCTGGGGGTTTTGAGGGCTTGATCATTGCAGGCTTTTTGCTTTTGATTAGTCTTTTGGCATTGAGGGTGGCTTGGAATGTGGGGAGGCTCGATAGCGAAAGAACCCTGGCGCTCAGCAATCGGCCAATCAGGTTTAGGCTTTACGGTTTCATGTTTCTTGACCGTTGAGAAGCGCAGCCCTTTGCACCCGGTGAGTCAGCAGCTTGCATCGCAGATGTGGTCGCGTAGCACCCTCAAACAGGAAATCCAGAAACCGTGATAAGCCACCCTACGCCCTCAAGCCTTGGCAATCCAAAGCCCCTAACGCCTGCAACCGCCAATCCGGGTTTCATGCCTGAGCGCATTACCAGGGGGTGTAGCCTAAACCCCAAACCCTAAACCCTAAACCCCAAACCCTAAACGCTAAACGCTAAACCCTAAACCCTAAACCCAAAACCCTAAACCCTTTCTTTCTACAGATTTTATACAGCTAAGGGCGAAGGTTCCGAGTCGGGATGGCCCGCATCCTTTGGTCTTTAGACTCACGCTTCACTTGCAAGCGCAGGTGCCTTCCAGCTCAAGGCGTTTCTTGTGTAGTTTTTCACATTTCTAAAACATATTGAATTGTGTTCTAATACATTTTTTATATTGTACTTGTGTTATCTGTATTTTATTATACTTCACATCGACACGGATGATGCCCCTGCACGTGAGGGTTGTTGGGTCGTGGAGTTTACGTTGTGGGGCGACTTGTTTTGCCCGGACACCAGCCCAAACCTCATCTCAGGAGCATCCTCATCTCAGGAGCATCCCGCCCCTAAACCCCTAAACCCTAACCCCCAAAAGCCCAAAGAAGCAGTAAACCCCGAAGCCCCAGAACCCCGAATCCCCCCAAAGCCACCGATGCCAAGGCACGTCCAGGCCTCGCTCGGCCGCAGGGCCATGGCGGGGGTCGATGACTGCGGCAGGGAGCCTCGGATTGGGGCTTTTGGGAGCGGCTTAGGGCATAGGGGTTTTGAAGACTGAGCCCTACACCTTCTTAGAAGCCCTAAAGAGGAAAGCTGAAGCTGAAGGACTCAACTTGAGGCTTTGAGACCTCCAGGATTTGATGGGGGATGGGCAGCTCGGTTTAAATACTCTGAGCTGAGGTGCAGGGTTTATTGTTTTCGCTTATACGCCCCAGCTCTGGTTTCCGAGCTCACATGGGAACCGAGTAGCCCGAGCCGAAAATCCCTAGACCGCAGGCTCTAAGCCCGAACTTCCTAGCCTCCAAGCACCCTAACCCACTTCGAGGGTTCGAGAGAGAGAGAGAGAGAGAGAGAGAGAGGGAGAGAGAGAGCGAGGGGGGTTAGGTGCGCAGAAAGAAAGAAAAAGAAAGAGCGAGAGAGCGGGAGGCGAGAGAGCGAGAGAGAGAGAGAAGAAAAGAGAGACTAAATCTCCTTCCCTGCGCCCTCTCAAACTTGTCATGTTCCCTGAGCCCTAAAATGCCTGTAAAGCCCGAAGAGCCCCCCGAGTGCACCCTGTGGCCAAGACACGCGGTCGGTGACGTCTTCGACGTCGAAGTCGTCGAAGTCGTCCAAGTACTCGGTTCGGAGCTTCATGTCCAAGGACGGGGATGTTTTTTTTTATTGAGGGTTCTTGTGTAGGGCTTAAACGGTCTGAACGCTTATGAGCCCTCGACCCTCAACCCTACGCTCTAAACCTTGAACCTACCAATAAGGGGATACCATTCGTACCTGAATCCTAAGCCCCCAAAGCCCGGACAGAAATGGAATCTGGAAGGTTTAGGGCTTTAAATCACGGGCGTGGGCCCTCAACCATAGACCCGAAACCCCAAAACCCCTAGCCCCCCAACCCCTAAACATTTTTCGGATTGAGATGGCCCCAAGATTCCGATGCCTGGCGCAGGCTTCTTCCATGTCTCAGTCTATGAAGAGAGGCCCGGCCCCCAAAGAGGGATCTCTGTAGCTGCGTCATTGGCAGGTTTATTGGAGCCCAAAAGTAGGTATCCTTTGAATACTTGGAGCCCCAGTTCAGCAGTATAGGATCTAGGGGTTAAGAGGTAGGATCCAGGGCTTCGGATCTAGAGTCTGAGGATCTATGAGCATATTGATCGCAGCGCCAGCTCGAAGGTTTCATGCCCAGCAGGGTTGGGAGATTTGGTGCCCGCTCTCGGACAGCCCCTAACCCCAAAACCCCCAAAACCCCTAAATCCCCACACCTTGAGCCCCTACAAGCAAAGCCTGAAATTTCCCTGCAACTTTGTCAACCCCCAACCCATCCCTGAGCTTAAAGCACTTCCTACTATTTGCTTAAGAACCCCCTTCCCCCTCCCTCCCCCCCCCCCTTCCCCCTCCCCCCCCCTCCCTCCCCCCAAAAAAAACAAAAACAGAACGAAAGAGAAAAAACTAAAAAAGATGACAGAAATAGGAAATAATATTTCCATTGTTGCACCTACAGGAAGAATGTTTTTTTGGGTTTCCAACGCCAATTGGTCGCTTCCGGTACCTTCAGATCGTCTGAGGCCTGAGCGCGCTCACGGGCTCCTCACGGAAAACGACCGCGTCAGTCGCGGCCATGGTGGATGCGCTCGCCGGCACGTCTTGCTGCTAGAGTGTGCACGGGAGGGTTTAGGGTTTAGGGTTCAGGGTTCAGGGTTTAGGGTTCAGGGTTCAGGGTTTAGGGATACCGAAGTCCCCGAGTCTTGCTGTCTAAGGCTCAAACACGGAACACTAGATAGGTTTGTTTAAGGGGGGGTTTCGTTTAGGTGTCTGGGCGAGGAGACGGTCCTTCTTGACTTCATGGGCTGTTACAGTAAGGGCTGAGGAGCTTTAAATGGTTCGGTTTTCGGGGCTGAGATCATGGAAGTGTAAGTGCAGTCCCAAACCTGGTCGATGGCGTGGAGGGGTTTAGGGTTTCAAATTTCGGGCTGGGATCTCCCTTCGTTAGGGTTTGGGTTTGCAGGTGCCTAAAACCGACCAATCGCAGCACCGTAAGCCCCATGAGCCGTAAACCCAAACCGGTGTTGGGTTCACTGATGTAGCCACGCGACAGATGGTGGCCGGCGACATCTGCGAGAGCGTGTCTCTGGTCACTATCCGGCGGGAGGCCCGAACCGTTTTCACCTGAGGGTTTAAAGTCAGGGCTTAAGTCCGTATTAAGGGAGTAGGGTACAATCCGGTTTAGTGAATGGTAGGGCTTGGGCAACTTTGTGGCGCAGGCGTCGGAGCTAAGCCCAAGATCTGAAGCTCTCCCCCACCGGCCTTAGGCTTTTCATGCTTTTTGTTGGGGGTTTAGGGTTTAGGGTTTGCGGTGTAGAGCTTAGGGTTTAGAGTGGAAAGAAAGCTCGCCAGACTCGGCTTTGCAAGGTGGAAAGTTCCGAGATAGAATTCGCCCGCGCCCCCCAAAGCCGCAAACACCAACACAGGCTTCGGGTTTAGGATTTTAAGGTTTAAGCTTCAGGTTTAGGAGAGGTTTAGGGTTTGGGGTTTAGGGTTTTGGGTTTTGGGTTTGGGGTTTAGGGTTAGGGCTGCTGGCAGGAGAGCTTGGATAGCGGACTCGTTTGCGAGACGCCTCCTGGCCAGACCCTGGAGATCATAGAGGCCTCGGGGGATTTTGCGGCCTTGGGGTTGAGGATTCCAGGGAGGTTCTGGATGTCCTGAAGTTTGAAAGGGTCGTGCAGTGCCCACCTCGTGTCGCGCCCCCTCGTTTTCGAAGGCTTTGTGGCCTGTGGTAGCCTGAGAGGGCACGGCCTCCCCCCTCCCCCCCCTAGGACCCCGTAAACTCTCAAAACCCCCTAAAAACCCCCTAAACTCCTGACTTTCTGACCCTAAACTGCAGGTTGGCCAAGGCCGGCGCGTCAAGGTCAGGACCAACTCAGGCCCCAAGCTGTCCTTCACAAGGGGTGAGAGAAAAGTTTACTCGGAAAGCTTGATCTGGGCTTCTCCGGCTCTTTCAGTCTCGGGGGGTTGGTTTAGTTTTTTTTTTCTCATTTTTTTTTTGGGGGGGGGGGGGGTGCAGGCCTTTCAAGTCCTAAGGTTGAGGGGGAACCTCCCCTCAACCTTGGAGGGGGTGGGGGGTCGGGTGCCAGAGCATACCTGTCATCACAAGGAGATCTAGTGACCCTAGTATGGAATGCCGTCCGGAGCCTTGCAGCATCATCAGCATGTTGTCGATAGTCGCGGGGGCCGTGTTCAGACAGGGACCCCCCCCCCCCCCCCAATAAAAGTATAAGGTGCGCAATGTAGAGATCTGCCGCCCTGAGCCCTGAGCCAATCATTACCCTACACCTTAAGGGTTCTGGGACTCGGGGAAATGGCGACAGGAGTTGAGGGATTCGGGTCAACCAAACCAAACCAAAACCCGAAACGCCAGGAATTGAAGGTTGGATCAGCACCAAGACAAAGCTCAACGAGCCTCTAGTGGTGAAACGCCCGGGCCCCAGCCTTCCTGACCTGCGGGTTTAGGCCTGAAGGGTTAAGGACAAGATTTCTCAGGAACTTTGTGTAAACGAAGGAGCTTCTGTAAACGATTTGCAGCTTCTGAGCTTCGAGCTACAACTTCCCAACAGATTCCCGACCAAGAGGCCATACAATGGACCGCCCCAATGCTACGATTGCAACCACCAAGTCTTGAAACCGACGTCCGACAAGGACAGAAGGAAGTCGAGTTCGCAATGGACGGCTGGGAGACAGGGAGCCAGCATGAGGCAGGGACGGTTGGGTTTTGGGTCTTGGGTTGAGGGTGTAGGTTTCAGAGGATAACGGAGACCTACAAAGTGCCTATGATGTGCAGGGTTGAGGGGTTTTTCGTTCTTCAGCAGCTAGAGTCTTAAGGAAAAGCACCTTGCTTTAATTCTTCTGGCCCAAGACCTGATTCGTGCCCCAGCTGCCTTCACGAAGAGCCTGAACCCTAAGCCAGCAACAGTTGGTCAATTGGCTAACCTGACTTCCTATGTTGCACTTTCCCTCTGATCCCTGAACCCGCAACCTCTAAACTCCAAACACATGAACCCTGCACCTGACCAGCTTGCCCTGGGCAGGTCAAGTCTATGGTCACCGTCAGGCGCCAGCTCTTCAGCTTTCGGGCGGCATCACATCGACCTGAATCACGACCACCGGGTCTAAGGTCACCAGAAGTACCGTGTGCCTGCAACCCTAAACCAGAGGCCCGAATCTATACGCTCCCTTGCTTTGCAAGCCCTAGTTTAGGGTTTTAACTTAATAACACGGGTTCGCCGCTTTAAGCAGGACTGGGGAGAGTTTGGACAGCGACGTGATCGGTGAGCTGAAGCCAGGTGCCGGAATGCAGGAAGTGTCTGATGTTTAAAGCCGCAACAAAGCCCTAAACTCCTCAACCCCGGACGCATCCTGAAGGCCTTCCGAAGTATCCCTGAACCACCACGCGCCCTTAAATCTTCCTGTCAGCCCCTACATCCTAAACCCTCCAACCCCTAAACCCCAATACCTAAATCTAAACCCTTAGCCACCAACCCCCAAAACCCAAGGCACTTCAATCCTAAAGGCCTGGACGCAAAACCCTTGAATCGAAACCACAACACCCCCCCCCCCCCCCCTCGCGCGCACGCACACGCACGCACGCACGCACGCATGCATGCACGATAGCACGCATGCACCCATACAGACACACTCACGCTCAAAGGCAATAAACATGAAAAACAACTCCAAGAACCCTAAACCCCAAGCCCCAGGACCTTTCACCTACAAGGCCAAAGCCCCACAACCCCCCCCTCCCCCCCTTTCAAAGCCCCACACAAAGCACCAAAGAATGCAGAGACCCCCAAGTAGAATCCGCCCTAGAGCCTGAACAGCTGCGCCTTAAGCCTTAAACCCCTGAGCACAAAAACTCTAGACCCTTACCGCCAAACCCTTTAAGCACTACAAGCCGTAAACCCTGAGTTCACGCAAGGTCTAAGACCCTAAGACCCAAAAAACGCCCTTAGAAACACCCAAAGCCCCAGACCTTGAAATTCTAAACCCTAAGAACCCTAAACCCTAATCAGAAGCCGAGCCAAAACCCGGAAGGCGCCATCTTCACCATCAAGGAGTTCGGGGCCACCAACAAGCGCCGGGCGCTGATCGACTCGGCGGCTTGGGCCGCAGCCAGTGGCAAGCACTCAGGGGGGGTTTTCGGGTTTCGAGTCGAGGGCCCCTAGGGTTTTTCAAGGGCTTGGGGCTCAGGGCTTAGGGGTTAGGGAACTATGAATTGAACCGGCATGTTGGGATTCTTTGTATGATTTTTACGTACAGATGTGCTTACAGGGCTCCGGGCATGGCCCTGACCCTCTTCAAACCCTGAACCCTATAAACCTCCAACTGCAAGTTCCAGAGGGACGCTGGGGTGCAGCTTCCGCTCCTCCGCAACCCCTGAACCCTGAACCCTCCTGTCGGGTTCAGGGGCAAACCGTGCTTCTCCTTCCCGACCTTTTGGGATGGCAGACCGCAAGCCTGAGCCCTCCAAATCGGTAACGCTTAAGCCCCAAGTGTACACACGAAAGGCCCAGGCTCCTCCATGCATTTCGGGCAGTTGAGGGTTCAGGGTTTGGTCAGCTGTGTCGTGGTTGCACAAGAAGGGCGGTCCTGCATTACAAGCCCTGAACCTGAAACCACAAAACCTGACTAAACCTGGTAAGACGCACCACCTTGTGTGCTCCCTTCCTAGGGCGTCGTTGTCGGCTGGATCAGCCTGGTGTCTGGAGCCCCAGAAATTGCTGTTAGCCTCATCATGTAGGGGTTCAGGGATTTTGGGATGAAACCCAAAACCCTAAACTCTGGAAGCCACTGAGTGCTTGGATTTTTCAGTAGACCCTACTGCCTGGGCTTGAAAAGCTGAAGGCCTCAACCCTACCAGGAGTGATGCAAGTCTTGAGAATTTAGATCCTTGTTTCTGGGCCTGGCCCCGCTGGCCCTTAGACCCAAAGCCGTCGCCTAAGCCCTAAACTGGGATGCTCCCCCTTCTTCTAAAGCCCCCCCAATTATCATCCCTATTAGCAAGGACTGTCAGTCTAAGGGGAACATCCCAACCCTAAACCTAGAGGTTTGGTGTAAGGTTTTCTTTCTTTTTTCACGTGCTCGGCCAAGGACCAAGAATGGAGAGATGCTTGTCGGCAAAGGCGGGCTTGCTTTGACCACCGCGAAGCCTAAGTGGGCAAGTTTCGTTTCTCAAGAGACGGGTCTCCTAAAGTATTCCCCGCAGTACCATCACCCCCCTTATACTGGGAACTCCCCCCAACCCCCCCAGCGGGTACTATCTTGTTGCTGGAAAACCTTTGACCGTTGTTCTCTTGACCTTGTGGCTTTCCTTGAACATGGGAAGACACAGAGGAATCTCCAGACCTAGGGTTCAATCCCTAGGCCCTTCAGCCCGAAACCTCAACCCCTAAACCCTACATCCCCACACGCCACAATCCCTAAACTTGCAACACCCCTAAAGCCTAAACCGGTAATACAACTCCAACTCTTTGGGTTCATCCCACAAGACCGAACCCTGCGGGGTGTTGCTGCTGGGGTTTATTGAAAATGGATTTCGGATTGCGGCAAGGTTTTGTCTAACTTTCCCTAGAACTCACGACAGCATTTTTTGCCGATGTTCGTTAAAGCCAGGTGTCACCGACCTTTGGTTTAAGGGAGGTGTGCAAGGGAGGTGTCTGAATGTGAGGTCTGAAGCCTTCGGAAACACCAAGGATTTCTGCAAGCCAGGTTGGTCTTACCAATTTCTTTTAAAAGCGCGGGTTTCGAACACCTTTGGGAGCACCAAAGCTCTCCGCACCTTGCTAAATCCTGACGTAAGCTCAGAAGCCATCCCAGCCTGTCCTGGGTCGTCCTCTGTAATCCAGGGGTCGAGCTTTACGCGAAAGCTTCCGTCGAATGCTTGGAGTTTCATGGATACTTGAGAAGTAAGGCCGCTTACATCGCAAGTCTATAGAAGGTACTTCTATACGATCTAGATATATATGTATACCCATGAACCTCCGCGTGCCTGCTGAGCTGTCACTCGTGCCAGTTACCAAAGAGAAGGCAGCTGGCTCGACCATGCTGCGTGGCTGAAGTTCGAGTTTGATGGGAATCTGTTTGTCGGCCGGATTTCAACTGCAAAGCCCAAACCCTGAAACCCCTCAAATACCAAAACACCCAACCAAAACCTAAGCCCTAAGGCCCAAAAGCGGGAGTTGTTTTGCCCCATCCAGAGCTCCAGGGACACCTAAGTCTACACGCACCCTCTCTCGCTCTCTTTGTCTCCCTCTTTGTCTCTCGCTCTCTCTCGCTCTCTCTTCCTTTCTCTTTGACTTGATTCTTGGCGCTTCGAGCTCGTGTGGTTTAGGGTATAGGGTTTAGGGTCTTGGGTTTCTTAACCTTTCCTAGTCATCGACGGCTTTGCGACTTGAAGGGTTCCTGGGTTCCCGTAGCAGCCAGCTCAGCAACCGCCTCTGCTCTTCTGCTTGTTTAGGAACACCCGAGAAGAATTCGGAGCGCCCGCAAACATAGGGTGCAGGGTTTCTAGGGATGTTTTGGGGAACCGGGCCTGTAAACCGCAAAGAGCCCAGAACCCTATTCGAAAGCAAAGGGGTTAAGTGTTCTCTTCGCGACTGTGGTGAAAAGTAGGGCCCCGAAGATGGGCCCTTGGCCAAGTTGGCGGGAATATAATAACCTCAAAGGCATCTTTCGTCCGAGGAACCCGTACTTCAAGCATCTTCAATCCCTAGATCGCAGCGTTTTAAAGGCTGACCTTTTGGCCCAGTGCTCCCAGGTTCGGCACAAGCGCTGGGAAGATCAAGGACCTCTCTGTGGCCTGAACGACCTTCAAGTAACCACAAACCCTCGACCCCCAAGCAGCGGATGCTAAACCCTAAACCCTAAACCCTAAACCCTGAACCCTAAACTCTAAACTCCTAAATCCTTGTAGCCTAAATCCCAAGCCCCCCCCCAAAAGCCCGAGCTCGGCAAAAGAGAGCCAGGAGATGCTGGAGGCCGCGCGATCCGGGGACGTCGACGCGTTGCGGAAGGCGAGCGCTCAACGACGGTTTTTTTGGGGGGGGGGGGGGGGTTTGGGGTTTAGGGTTTAGGGTTTTTTGGTGGTTTTTGGGCTCTGGGATGTTGAGTTGGGGGTTTGGGGCTTGCGGTTGTGTAGGGTCGGGGGTTGAGGGGCTTTGGGGCTTAGGGCAGTGACTTTGGAGGTCGAGTTAGGGTTCACTACGGATTTCGGGTTTCTCTTTTTCCTACGTACTCTGTGTGTGTGTGTGTGTGTGTGTGCGTGCGATCGGGCGGAGCTGTAACTTGAGATTGAGGTCCATGGACAGAAGAAGCCGCTAAATCACAGCCCTTCTTTCACCTCCCTCCGTCCTAAACCTTACATGAAACCCCAAACCCCGAATCTTCCAGACACTATGCCCAATCCCTAGAGCCTCGACGGTTGAGCCCTAAACTCTATGAACCCTACACCCCTTTAAACCCTAAACTCCTTTAAGCCGCATACTTAAACCCTAAACCCCGATAAGCCAACCCTTTCAACGCAAAAACCCTGTAAGCCCTACAAACCTCATAAACCCCGATAAACCCAACAAACCCTATAAACCCCTGTAAGACTGTAAGCCCCAAAACCCCTAACAAGCAAAGCACTCCCCGACCCTGTCAGCTCGCGGAGCCCAGCTCCGGCATCATGCCGGGTCCTCATTTTTTTTACGCGGACTCAGGGTTTTGGGGGGATGGTTTCGGGTTTAGGACTTAGGAATGAGGGTTTAGGGCCTTTTGGTTTGTTTAGGGTTGGGGTAGGTTTAGGGTCCTAGGGTTGGTCATTGGGGTTAAGGCGCTGGGCGGGTTTGGGGCTTAAGGATATAGGGCATGGGCTTCAGTTTTCGGTTTCTCTGCGCTCTGGCTAAACAGAATCTCCATTCCACATTATATAGGCCAGGGTTACATAGCAAGAAAGGTTTCCTTCTCTGACAAGCACCCGGTCACAGGTGCTAGTAGTTCGGGATTTAGGCTTCATAGGGCTTAGGGCTTCAAAGCTCACAGAGCATGAAAACCCTCCCAAGCCCTGAGCTCAAAAGACTAGTCCCGAAGCCCTAGGCATCTAGACCCTAAACCCTGAAGCCTCAGAAACTGTAGACATTCCAAATTTCTGGAAAGTGGAAGAAACCTGAGAAGCCTTTGAACAAGAACTCAGAAAGCCAAGGGCCAAGTTCACCCAGAAGCCGAACTTGAACGCCTCGGACGTCCGGGGCAAGACGGCCGCTGACCCCGGTTCTTTGAGTTCGTTGTTGCTTTGATTGGTGTTTGATGCTTTTTGTTCTTAGAGATGTATTGTTCAATTTTGCTGGCTTTTAGGATGGTAAGCTCTTTGATACTTTGTTGCGTTGGTGCTTGTAGTCTTTGTTGAGAAAGGCGCTTGCGGGCTTGTAGGTTTGTTACGGGTGGCGGGGGGTTCTAGGGTTGGGGTCATATCTCTTCTTGGGCCAACAGAGTCTGCAGAAGGCTCAGAATGGGGACGGGTCCACCCCATTGCAAAAGGAATAGAGTTTGGGGCTTGGGGTTCATGATGTTTAGGATTTAGGGCTCAGGTTTAGGGTTTATGAGATTTAGGGTCTCGGGTCCTCACCCTGCGGGGGGAACCGGCCTGTGAGCAAACCAGAGGAGTTGAGGGTTCGAGGTTTCCCGGAGGACGGCACCAGCTTTGCTGGTCACGTCCTGCGTTGTCTGGCCAATGGATGGAGGACATCCCTAGGGCCTCAAGGGTCTCCCTGCTGGTTCCCCCCCCTCCCACCCCAGGCCTTGACCTATGCCGCCAGCTTCGGGAACAAGGAGGCCAAGGTTTTAGGTTGAGGGTTGAGGGTCTAGGGTGTGGAGCTAGTAATTATGGTTGACAGGATTTCGGGTTGAGGGTTTGCTTTAAGGTGCGGGGCGTTGAGAGGGTTTAGGGTTTGGGGCTTCGGGGTTACAGCCCTACGCGTTTAAACCCAGTGCACTACAGGGAGTGTTGTGCCAAAGCTGTATCGGGCTGTCATTGCGAAATGTCCCGGACAAGTTGTGCCCTGGCCGCGAAGCGCCCAAAACACTTAATCCCCCTCTCCCCAAGCCTTTACACCCTAGATAGGGTTCAGTGTTTAGGGTTTAGGGCGGGAATCTCAAATCCCAAGCCCTAAACCCTAAACCCTAAACCCTAAACCCTAAACCCCAAGCCCTAAGCCCTAAGCCCTAAGCCCTAAGCCCTAAGCCCTAAGCCCTAAGCCCCAGGTTGTGGACTACCTTTTGAGCAAGGGCCGGGAGATCGAGATCAATGCGGCGCCACGACTGGTCCCAGTATAATTTAACGGTCTACAGGGTCTAGTCTGGCCCTGGACTCATGGGGGTCCCGAGCTTTGGGGCTTTAGCGGGAGAACCTCCTGGACAAAATCGGGGTTTAGTTAGGGTTCAGGATTTAGCGTTTTGGGCTTGGGGCCGGGAAGCGGTTTAGGGTTTAGGGTTTGCGGCTTAGGTTTTCGGGCCTAGTACTTCACTGAACTGTCTCTATCTTTCCAGCGCCGGCCTGAACCCTTTGCCTCGACCCACAACGACTCCGAGGTGGACGACACAGACAAGACCGCCTTACACCACGCTGCCAGAAGGCCTGGTCTGCTGGATGTTCTAAGCATGCAAGGGTTTAAGGTTTCGGGGAAAACTTCCCCTGATACCTCGGAAAAGCAGCATCCCTTACAACAAGGGCCGAAGTCACCTCATTCAGCACGACCCCCGATCATGTGCACACCAAACCGGCTATTTGGCTACCCTGAGCTCCCAAAATGGACCTATGACGATCATCATGGCTGCAATGGGGTCCTTGTCTTTAGGGGTGGTCCCCCTCAATCCTCACGCCCTTACCTCCCAAACCCTAAACAATTAGACCTTAAATCCTCACACCCTAATCTCCTAAACCTGAAATCCTCACACCTTAACCCTAGATCCTCGCACACGCTAAGTTCCTCCTCATTATTGGGGGAGGGGGGCCTGGAGTTCTAGGGGTCCCCTTAACCCCCTACAGTTACGCCCCCTAAGCGCTTGTCAACACGCTAACACTCCTGGGCACGAAGCTCCAAGTTTAGTGTTTGGGGTGTAATCAGGCCTGTCGTTTTGGGGTTTAGGGTGTAAGGGTTGAGCTTTTTCGGTTTTTGGAGTTTAGGGCACACGGTTTTAGGGTTTGGGGTGTAGGGTTCAAACCCACATCCCTTGTTCAAGTGTGGGGTGAGGGTGTAGGCACTGGGGCCTGAGCCCCCAAACCCTTCCTTGTGGGCAGGACTTCGCCATCGGATGAGGAGCGTCAGGCAGCAGACACTGTGATGTTAGAGAGGGGCCCTTAAGGCCCTAACCCCTAAGGCCCTAAATAAAGAAAAAATTAGAGAACTAAAAGAAGAATGTATGCCTAAAACAAATGGAATCAATGCAAATAAGCCCTAACCCCAGCCCTAAACCCGGCCTTACCATCTAACACAGGTCCGAGCCCATGGTGCAACTTGCATTGCAAGTCTTCAAGTCGGTGCTTGAAGGGTTTAGGGTTTAGGGTTTCGGGTCTAGGGGTCCCAGCCTGTCCCAGGCCCCAATCTCCAAAGAAAATCCACTGAACCCGACTCTTCCGAGCTTTCTGCCGCAGCGCGACACTTGGCCAGGCGGACATCATCTCCATGCTTCTCACGGCCAAGGCTTACATCGAGGCGCCAGACACCAAAGGTCCTCGAAATCGAGAGGGCTGGATTTGGACCTTACACCTCAAATCGTAAACAGTAGGGCACCCTTCGCTTCTTGGGGGCTGATGTTGGGATCTCTGGTTTTTGGAGAGGGGGTGGTCAGACGAAAGCCGGGTTCTTCTGGCCTTAGTTTTGGTGGTCCTCTAGGGTTTGAAACTTTGGAGTGGAGCTTAAAGTCCATCATGGCGATTGAAACTCTTCAGTCAGGAGAGTGCCTCAGGGAGCAGACCCTCAGATGTGGGGGGGGTGGAGTCCCATACCCCGTAATCTAAACTTATAGCCCCTGCAGGCTGATGTAACAAAGCCCAGACTCCAGGACACAATGAAAGGTAGCCAGGAGTTTTTTGCCCTGTAACCTAATTATATTTGGTCTAGGGGAGCCCTGTTGATGCAGCCTATCCAACCCTAAGGGGCTCGGACAAAAACATCATCAGCATCAGCGGGCCCCCTGCTGGGCCTCAAGGGGCTAGGACGGGAGCATCATCAGCATCAGCGGGCCCTTTGCTGGGCCTCAAGGGGCTCGGACAGGAGCATCATCAGCATCAGCGGGCCCTTCCTTTGCTGGGCCTCAAGGGGCTCGGACGGGAGCATCATCAGCGTAAGCGGGCCCTTTGCTGGGCCTCAATGGGCTAGGACGGGAACATCATCAGCATCAGCGGGCCCTTTGCTGGGCTTCAAAGGGCTAGGACGAGAGCATCATCAGCATCAGCGGGCCCCTTGCTGGGCCTCAAGGGGCTAGGACGGGAACATCATTGGCATCAGCGGGCCTTGCTAGGCCTCAAGGGGCCAACATCATCAGCATCAGCGGGCCCTTTGCTGGGCCTCAGGACGGGAGCATCATCAGCATCATCAGCATCAGCGGGCCCTTTTCTGGGCCTCAAGGGGCCAGGACGGCAACATCATCAGCATCAGCGGGCCCTTTGCTGGGCCTCAATGGGCTAGGACGAGAGCATCATCAGCATCAGCGGGCCCCTTGCTGGGCCTCAAGGAGCTAGGACGGGAACATCATCAGCATCAGCGGGCCTTGCTGGGCCTCAAGGGGCCAGGACGGGAACATCATCAGCATCAGCGGGCCCTTTGCTGGGCCTCAAGGGGCCAGGACGGGAACATCATCAGCATCAGCGGGCCCTTTGCTGGGCCTCAAGGGGCCAGGACGGGAGCATCATCAGCATCATCAGCATCATCAGCATCATCAGCATCATCAGCATCATCAGCATCATCAGCATCATCAGCATCATCAGCATCATCAGCATCAACGGGCCCTTTGCTGGGCCTCAAGGGGCCAGGACGGGAACATCATCAGCATCAGCGGGCCCTTTGCTGGGCCTCAAGGGGCTAGGACGGGAACATCATCAGCATCAGCGGGCCTTGCTGGGCCTCAAGGGGCCAGGACGGGAACATCATCAGCATCAGCGGGCCCTTTGCTGGGCCTCAAGGGGCCAGGGCGGGAGCATCATCAGCATCATCAGCATCAGCGGGCCCTTTTCTGGGCCTCAAGGGGCCAGGAGGGGAGCATCATCAGCATCATCAGCGTCAGCGGGCCCTTTGCTGGGCCACAAGGGGCCAGGACGGGAACATCATCAGTATCAGCGGGCCCTTTGGTGGGCCTCAATGGGCTAGGACGAGAGCATCATCAGCATCAGCGGCCTTTGTCAGCGGGCCCTTTGCTGAGCCTCAAGGTGCTAGGACGGGAACATCATTGGCATCAGCGGGCCCCGTTTGCTAGGCCTCAAGGGGCTAGGACGGGAGCATCGTCAGCATCATCTTAACCCATCAGCAGCGTGACTATGCATCTTATGACGGTTCCTGCAGCCATATCGCCTCGAAGTGTGTAGGGTTTTTTCTGGTTTAGGGGGCAAGTTTAGGGTTGTTAGAGTTGCACGCTCAGACACTGCCAGGGTGCAGGAGTACCGGCTAGTAATGCTGGTGACAGGGCTTCACATGCTTCACCTTTCGCGGTGTTCATTTCGGTCGGATGTCCTTGCGGCTCCATGTGGCTTTACTTAGCGGTCGAACTGCGACGGTCACGGTCGATGGGGATTGCACGACGGGTGATGTGAGGCACGGGCAATCTGGGACCTTTCGGGTTTAGGGAGCAGACCTGAAAAATGTGTGCCCTTCTCGCTGTTTTAAGCCTAAACCTCTCATCGAGCAGCCATGTTGGGTGAAGGGTCAGGGCCGGGGATGTACTTTTGCTCATCGAACGGAGTTGTGCATGTTGCACTCCCTGCTGAAGCCCCAGGCCCCAAATCCCGCAGTGCACCTCCTCTGGAGGCTCACCCCCAGAGAGTCAGAATCATGAGTTGACATTGTGGTCGTGTTCGCGAGTTTGCCATCTAAATCCCGAACCATCAACCAAGGAAATCTCCTCCTCCCCCACACTTTTAACGCCATTGTCGATATAATCATCATTATGTTCGGGGCTTTTTGGGCGGTTTCGGGCCCGCGACCCTAAACCCTAACCCAAATCCGATGCAATGCGCCCGCAAGCGGTTAAAAAGTTTAACCTGAGGAGTTGGGCCCAAACCAGGCAAGCCATGCAAGCCCTAACAAACCGCGTGAAGCCCTATATGCCCTATCAGCCCCAACCCCTTAGCTCTATGAGCTGCGCCCGATGGCCTCACGAGCCCCACAAAGCCTAGACTTTACCCAAACCCCAAACCATAAACCCTAAATCCCCAAAACCCGAAAAAAACCGTGGAACCGTAAAACCCTAATACCCTAATGTCCTAAACCCCTAAAAACCCTCAAACCTTAGTCCCAAAACCCGAAACCCTCAATCAGTAACACCCCACAGGCGCATGGCCGAAAGCAGACTGGGATGCCGGCTGGGCCGCCTCTTGCGCCCTGGGGGGCAGGTGGGGGGCGCCCTGCGCGGGTACGGGGGTATTGTTAGGGGTATTGGTATTGAGGGTATCAAGGGATCAAGGGCATGAAGGGATGAAGGGCATTGAGGGTACTACATTAAGGGTATTGAGTATTGAGGGCACCAAGGATATTGAGGGTACTAAGGGTTGCAAGGATGTGCCGGTTTAGGGCTCTGGGTTTAAGGGCTTTGGGTTTAGGGTTGCCCTGAGCCGTGACTTTCAACAAATTCAGTTCCTGAACCTCACAGCCTCGAACCCTCCTGCGCGCCGAATGTCTAAATAAGCTCAAACCCGAAACCCTAAACTGAACTCTGCTGCTGTTCCTCCTACTCCTACTCCTCCCCCTACTCCTCCCCCGACTCCTACTCCGACTCCTACTCCGACTCCTACTCCCACTCCTACTCCCACTCCCCACTCTGCTCCTACTCCTATTGACTGGGAGGTGCTTGAGGAAGCGGCAACAGTTCTGTCGGTCGGTCTGGAGGATGGCGAAACGCTGGCTTCCGAGGCCGCCTGTGGAGCCTCACCTGAGTCCATACTTCACGCGCGCGCATATTCCAACAATTCAGGGGTATTGGGCTCCCTGCAAAAGCCTGGAGCTTCTGAATCCTAAATCCCGCCCCCAAAGGGCGCATGAGGGCTTAGTGGGGTTCATAAGAGTTTAGGGTTTGGGGTTCTGGTGTTGGGCTTCTGGGGTTTAGGACCTGGGGCTTGGTTCAGTGTTTAGTGTGGAAGCCCCTTGCACGCCCCGAGAAAGAGAGTCCTATCCCCTAAGCCCTAAACCCCTAAACCCCAAACCCCCAAAACGTCAACCTTAAAACCCGAAACCCTAAAACACTTAGCCCTAAAACCCTCAGACTTTGAAACGCTTTCAACACCAAAGCCCCAAAACCCCCACAACCGTAAACCCTAAACTCGAAAACCCTAAACCCTCAACCTTAAACCCCCCAAAGCCCCCAAGCCCCAAAACCCCAACCCTTAAGCTAGCTCTAAACCCCTAGAACCCTCAACCTTTAACCCCCCAAAACTCCCAAAGTCCCAAACCAGGAGGTGGGCGCACTAAAACCCTAAAACCCTAAAACCCTAGACCCCCAAAGCCATCCAGCACCAAAAACCCCAAAAACCCTAAACCCGAACTCTAACACCCTAAACCCCTAAACCCTCAACCCCCCCCCCAAGCCCCCCAAAGCCCCAAACCAAGAGGTGGGCAGCTACGTCCTCGCGGCCACTTTCGAGGCCTTCGCGCTGGTGGGGCCCAGGGGGTTGGCCCCCCTCCGGCGTTTCATGGGGTTTGGTTTGAGAGTTTTAGGGTTTAGGGTTTAAGGTTTAGGGTTTAGGGTTTAGGGTTTCGGACCTAGGGTTTACGGTGTTAGGGTTCCTAAGCCTCTAAACTGTTAAATCTGGTACGGTACAATGGATTGAAACTGCGGTTACGTATCATGAGTACTCTATATCGGCTCTATATATGGGGTTGTAATCACAGTTATACGAACGAATACTTTCCCGAGTAGGGACGAGTCTCGCTGCGTGCTGATTTTTGGGTTGGGGTGGAGGAGCTCGGGTGATTCGGGTTTGGGGGATAGCGGAAACACATCAGGTTGCCCTGAGTTCCACGCAGATTTGAGTTGCATGCGCCAGTGCATAGCTGAGGCTTCCGTGACGAAACCCTAAGATCAAAACCCTAATTTGCTCAGGTCTAGTTTCATAGGGATCCTTACGGGCGGCTCTCTTTGCCGGATGGTTGTTCGGAGCAGGGCTAGCTGTGGGGGGGGGGCTGGTTGCCTCTTAGGGCCCCTTGTTTTTGTTGAGGTTGCCTAAGAGTCTGCTGAGGTGTTAGCAGGGTTTGTCACAAGGGTCCAGCCTCAACTTGTTAACCACTGGGCCAGCAAGCCCAAGCGAAACCCTAAACCTTCAACCCTACAGACCCTAAACCAGCAAGCCCTAAACCCCTTAAACATCCTTAAGCGCCTTGATTCTCCTTAAGCCCCCCTAAACCCCTTTGGCCCCGATGCCACAGAAGCCGAGGTACGCGCTTGGGGGCCTTCCGCCTTTGGTGGCGAGCTGAACCGAGAGCTGCGGGCCCCTTTTGGGGGCTTTGGT